GTGATGGATAGAGAACAAGCTAAAAACAAACGCGATTTTTTGTACAATCAGGGTCAATAATCCAGAAAGTTATGGTCTGAAATGCGCAAATATCAAAAGGGACTGAGATCTTTGAGATATAAAGATATGTTTTAAGTTTCGTCAAAATCAGATAAAAATTGTGACCTCTAGAGTGTCCACAACCTTCGTATTACGTACTTTTATACACTTTGCGTACAAAGAGCGGCCATTTTGTTGAGCAGTTTCATTTTAATTTTCACAAAATTCGAATTCAACCTTCATTATGGTTTTAAAATCAGAAAAAAAATTTGTGACCTTAAGAGAATCCGCAAGCTAAAAATACGATTTTTCAAACAATCAAGAGCCAAAATCCAGGAAGTTATGTTCGGATATCCGCGATTATCAAAAGGAACCAAGATTTTAGTGTGTGACGGTGATATATTCACACGTTTTTTTTTTAAATCGGATAAAAATTCTGACCTCTAAAGGGACCACATGCTAAATACGTGATTTTTTGTACAATCAGGGGCCATAATTCAGGACGTTGTGATCCGATATGCGCGAATATTGAAAGGAACCAAGATCTTTGAGGTACAAACATGCTTTTCAAGTTCCATCAAAATCGGACCAAAATTGTGACCTCTAGAGTGTCCACAATCTTGATATACCAGATGTTTACATTATTTGCTTACAAGGGGCAGCCATTTTGTCCGTCAGTTTTGGTCTGATTTTCACGAAATTCAAACTCAACCAACCTTATGGTGTAACGGTGATATATTCAAACGTTTTTTTAAATCGGTTAATAATTGTGACCTTTATAGGGACCACAAGCTAAAAATGCGATTTTTCGTACAATTAGGGGCCATAATTCAGGAAGTTACGATCCGACATGCGTGAATATCGAAAGGACCAAGATCTTGGGTTATAAACATGCATTTCAAGTTTCATCAAAATTGGGTGAAAATTGTGACCTCTAGCATGTCCACAAGCCAAAAACATAATTTTTCGTACAATCAGGGGTCATAATCCATGAAGTTATTGTCCGATACATGCCGAGATCTTTGGAAGATAGACCAATATTTTAAGTTTCGTCAAAACCAGATAAAAATTATGACCTGTACAGTGTCCACAAACAAATTGTGGACAGCGTATGCACGGACAGGGGCGACGGCGTAATACGTCCGCATGAAATGTGGGCGTATATAAAACTGCTACAACTACTGGGGTTTGTGACCTGATATAATGCCACACTGTCTATCTTTTACTTAAATAATATCAACCAGCGGCTGCCAGGCAGGATACGCTCACATTTTCGAGAGATGGATAGAGAACAAGCTAAGAAGAAAGTGATTATTCCTACAATCAAGGGCCATAATTCAGGAAATTACAATTCGATATGCGCAAATATCGAAAGGAACCGAGATCCTTGTGTTATAAACTTACATTACAAGTTTCAACAAAATCGGATAGAAATTGTGACTTCTATACGGTTCACAACTTTGATATACCCTATTTTTACGCTATTTGAGAACGAAGGGCAGCCATTTTATCTGTCCGTTTTGGGCCGATTTTCACGAAATTCGAACTCGGTCGTGCTTAGGGTGTAACGGTAATATAACAATACGGTTTTTAAAATCGGATAAAAATTATGACTGTCTATAGGGTCCACAATCTAAAAACGTGATTTTTCATACAATCAGGAGCCATAATTCAGGAAGTAACTGTGTGATATGCGCGAATATCGAAAGGAACCGAGATTTTTGGGTTATAAACTTATATTTCAAATTTCAACAAAATCGGATAAAAATTGTGACCTCTATAGGGTCCACAACCTTGATATACCATATTTTTACACTATTTGAGAACGAACGGCGGCCATTTTGTCTGTCAATTTTGGGCCGATTTTCTCGAAATTCGGACTCAACCTTCCTTAGGGTGTAACGGTGATATAATAATACGTTTTTTTAAATCGGATAAAAATTATGACCTCTATAGGGTCCACAAGCTAAAAACAAGATTTTTCGTACAATCAGGGACCATAATTCAGGAAGTTACAGTTCCATATGCGCGAATATCGAAAAGAACCGAGATCTTTGGGTTATAAACTTACATTTCAATTTTCAACAAAATCGGATAAAAATTGTGACCTCTATAGGGTCCACAACCTTGATATACCATATTTTTACGCTATTTGAGACGAACGGCGGCCATTTTGTCTGTCAATTTTGGGCCGATTTTCACGAAATTCGAACTCAGCCATCCTTAGGGTGTAACGGTGATATAATAATACAGTTTTTTAAATCGGATAAAAATTATGACCTCTATAGGGTCCACAAGCTAAAAATGCGATTTTTCGTACAATCAGGGCCCACAATTCAGGAAGTTACGGTCCGATATGCGCGAATATCGAAAGGAACCGAGATCTTTGGGTTATAAACTTACATTTCAAGTTTCAAAAAAATCGGATAAAAATTGTGACCTCTATAGGGTCCACAAGCTAAAAACGTGATTTTTCGTACAATCAGGGGCCATAATCCATGAAGTTTCGATCCGATACATGCCAATATCGAAAGCAGCCGAGATCTTTTGGGGATAAACCTATATTTCAAGTTTCGTCACAATCGGATAAGAATTGTGACCTGTAGAGAGTCCACAAACAATTGTGGACGGACAGGGGCGACGGCATAATATGTCCACATGAAAATGTGGGCGTATAAAAATACTTTACTTGTGTGCGTAAAATATTTCAGTATTTGAGAGAAAAACTACTGTTCCTTAATCTCTTATTTACCGGCATCAATCTATTTATGTATTCAGCGTTTTGAATGATGGATGTCACCAGTTGGCTACATCATGTATTTTTGTGTCTTGTAGAAAAACACCAAGGTGATCATGTTGATGTCATGTTTAAACAGTGCCATTTGTTACCATAATAAGAGTTAGAATTTTGTTGTTTTCATTGTGTCTTGTAACATTTGTGAAACCTCAAATTGTTAACGAAACTGAACAGCTAGATTAGATTCTGCTTAACATAAGAAAGGTATGAAAGTAAATTAAGACTAATAATGAAAATAGATCAAAATTCAAATTTTGAAATAGCCAATTTTGTAAGTAACTGAAATTAACATAGGAGAGGCATTAATAGGTTAATTCATTCCACTCAATATGTCTGTGCTAAACTTACAAATTAATTTTAATATTCACAATTATTTACAAATTAATTTTAATATTCACAAATATTTACAATAAGTTTTTAAATCAAATAATGCTGAAAAAAAAAAATCAATAATCTTAACCTAAAAATACAAATCCAAATATGTGCATACAAAAGAAGATTTAAATATTTGAAAGGCTTTATAACTTATTAAAAAAACAGATAATCAACAACGGCATCTCCGACATTAACAATATAAAAAAGGTTTGCAATCTTTTCAAGAAGATAACATTATATAAGTAAAGCTTTAATACATTATATAGAGATGAAATACATAAAAGTTAGGCCAAGAAAAAAAACTACCTGTGTTTACTGTTACATGGCCAAAAAAAAAAAAAATCTTGAAAATACAGAAATTTCACTGTTGATACTTGACTAGATAAAATCATACCAAGATAAAGTTATAGGGCCTTGGAAATGATTTTGGCTCAGAAAAATAGGGTTGGTCTGGTAAACACAGGTATTTTTTTTATTTCAGCCTTTTCATTCAGATATTTATATTTTTGATTACTAAAAGCCATTTACAAATTGCACAGTTTTCAAATATTACACAAGTCCATATTGTGACAGTAGAGAATTCCAAAAATATATGCACAAATAATAGTAATTTATAATCACTTAATGTCTACTGTATATGATTTTGGCAGGTTTGCAAAGGTTTGTCAAACCTATGCCCACCAAGCGTGACAATAGGAATTTTGAATGTTCTAATCTGTCTAATCAATAGGAATTTTGAATGTTCTAATCTGTCTTAAATCTCAACAAGAATCAAATTCTACAAATAATTAATTGTATCTTTCAGTTTTGCTTAAAGGCTCAATACCACTCTTGTTGTAACTGAATAATATGTCCCAATCTTTATTCTTGTCAACAAATTGTACTATTTAAGAATATTTCAATTAATTGATGATACAAATTTCATCTTAACACACCTTATTTAAAAATATTGAAATATTCAACATAATGGTTTGAAACGTCTAACATAAACCTTTTCAAATGAAACTTCGATTTAAAAATATTTTCGAACCCTCTGGACAAATAAAATAGGATGTAATGGATAATTTACACAACAGGTAGGACACTTAAACATCTAGTACTTAGATAGAGATATTATTTATTTTCTGGAGCTTTCAAGCCAGCAAGAGTGTTATTGTCCCTTTAAATTCTTCATTGGAGTGAAATGCAATGAAATGAAATGGGGTTTAATGTCCTACTGTTCTGCTCCGATTGGGATAATTAAGACTGTAGTTTTCTTAAAGTTGTATGTTGATGAGATCAGTGGATATGGGTCGAGTAAACAACCATTCAGGGTAAGGTTGAGTCGAACAATTCCAAGTAATGGAAATAAGGGCTGAAATTCCAATTGGTGTGTTGGGTTAGGCTATCACATATGGATCAGTGGATATGGGTCGAGTAAACAACCATTCAGGGTAAGGTTGAGTCGAACAATTCCAAGTAATGGAAATAAGGGCTGAAATTCCAATTGGTGTGTTGGGTTAGGCTATCACATTAATAATTTTACTATCGAATCTGTTCTTAATGGGCCTTCACATTTGCATGTCAAATTTATAAACAAATCTGAATATGCACCACTAGAGTAACATACCTACATATACCTAACTTTGGTTGAAATACACCAAGCAGTTCAGAAGAAGAAATCGACAATGGAAAATAACTGAGTTTTGAACATCTGGCCCCAGAGAGTGAAACATATGTTATTTGCTGCATGATCTTAATTCCTAATTTTACAACCAGTTGTCAAGTTTGAACAATAAAGATATGTAAATAATACTTTTCTTCAGCTTTATTGGTTTAAGACATTCAATCGCAGATCCATAACAGTTAATAAAATATGAACAATATTTAAATAAATTTAAATCTCAAAAAAAAACAACCTATGCACACATCACTTGCTTATTTTTGTCTTATAATAATTTTAGAGACTGTCATACAAAGCTTGACCAGAATTTGAATTCTGGGATGTTTGTTGGAATGAGTTTTCACTTTGAACAGATAACCTTTTTATTGGGCTCCTTTTAAGAAATTGTTTGACCCTCACCAAAAAATTTGCAAAAACAACATAGCTTCCATTTCTCTCTATGGAAGGATGAAATTCAAAATCAGCCACCTCAATGTAGGGCTTTTTCTTCAATTTCCAGAGGTAGACACCACCAATAATAACAATTACAGCCGCTAACAAACTAAATACTAGTGGTATGGTTACCACTGAAGAGCCAGATGAATCTGAAAATATTATTTTTTCATTGTTTATAAATATCAGCAAACAAAACAAAAAATGGGCGTGGGTCGGGCATGGACCAAAAACAATAGGGATCATCCTTAGGGTATAAGGAATAAGTATAAAGTTTCAAGATGATTACTTAAGAATTGTGGCCTGTAGGTGACACACACACATTCATAATGTGGACGTATAACAAAAAGAGATTTTTTGTACAATCACTGGCCATAATTCAAATGAAATGAAATGAAATGTGGTTTTATGGCACGTCAGCTCCAACCGGGCTATATTGCGCCAAACATGGTGAATATTACAAGACAGGCTAAATTATATCACAGAAAAACATTATATGCATAAATAAAAACAATATCACAGTTAGTAAAATTAAAAATAAAATACAACTTTTATGCATATAAATATTAAATACAAAAATGAAATGATATATATATATATACAATTAAAATTTATGATAAAATCCTGTCTCCTTTAAAAAGTCTAACCCTTTACCATATAAACCCGGTTGGGCAAACATGAGATGTAATGACTGATAACGGTAAAAATTTGATCTAATATCCTTGAAATGCTTTCACTCAATCAAAATGTGCTTAACTGTCAAAGGAACATGACAGTGTTCACATTCTGGGGCCATTATTCAGGAAATTACAATCCGATATGCGCGAATATCAACAGGAACCAAGATCTTTGGGTTATAAAGATATATTTCAAGTTTCATGAAAATCGGACCAAAATTGTGACTTCTAGAGGGTCCACAACCTTGATATACCATATATTTACATTGTTTGCATACCAGGGGCTGCCATTTGTCCGGCAGTTTTGGTCCCATTTTCACAAAATTCGAACTCCGCCATTATCAGAGTGTAACTAATATATTCCAACGGTTTTTTTTTCAATCAGATAAAAATTGTGATCTCTACAGTCGGATATATAGAGAATCTCCAACCAGTCTTTTTGGATATCAAAAAATATCAACACAAGTTGATAAAGTAACAAAAAACAAGGCTCTGCCGAGTTTTTTTTACTTTATCAACGAGTGTTGATATTTTTTTTATATCAAATAAGACGAGTAGGAGATTTTATTTATCACCCAATCCCTTCTTACATGCACAAATAGATAAATATAATTCTTTGCTGTAGATTTCACTTTTACTGAACATTACGGCGTAGTGATACATCATTTTTTGACAGCAATTCAACTATTGCAAAGTCCTTTCTATTGACCCAGTGTTTCCATCAAGGTCAATTGAATAACAATAGTTCATTTTTAATTAAAAAAAAGTTATTTTTAATAAGAAATGAACTGTTCTTTGGAAATAAAAAAAAGTAGTTCCTTTTCAACTGACCAATTAAATTCATTAAACTCCTAAGGAGATATCGCAGCAGATTATGAAATATATCACACAACACAAGCGATATCTACTGTAGAATGTATTATTGGGTGATAAATGACATTGTTGCAATTGTTAGTCTTATGATAATGTAATTGTTGATGAATAAGAGCCGCTGTATTTCCGAGCAGTCCATAAAGATTAAACAACTTAATCAAGGGTAAAAGTTTTTAAACATAATTATCAACCAATATTGTAATTTAATAGACAAAAATTGGATGAAATATAAATTTGAAGCATATATAATGATTCATTCATAAGACTGAAGCATATATAACGATTCATTCATAAAAATAAAAAAGAGAGATTTTAATAAATTGCTTGCGCGTAAGGGTCTTTAACAGTTGGAGGAATCTGGAGAAGTTAGAGAAAACCCATGCGGTTGGAAGGCAACCCTCTACTCCTTGTCACGTACAACTGGGGAATCGAAACCATGCCAGCCAAAATTCCTAAATATTCCATTGATAAGTATAAAACAAAAATAAGTTTACCTGAATCATATGCATATACAAAATAATTTCCATGCATGTAGCTTATATCATTATAAACCGCAATACCAACATCATGCCAACCCCTTTGTTTTGGTCGTACTAATATCTGATGGAAACAACTTGTATTGCTGAAGACAGTTGGTGTGCAGGTCACATTGTCATTCATGTGTGTTCTGTTTAATGCTGTTGCATTCCAACAAACTCCTGTTGGTGAACTGGAAATATTAGACACAGATGATTTAGTTAACATAAATTGCAATAATGAATTTATAACACCTACAAGGGTCCACAACCTTGATATACCATATTTTTACGCTATTTGAGAACAAACGTCGGCCATTTTGTCTGTCAGTTTTGGGCCGATTTTCATGAAATTCGAACTCAGTCATTCTTAGGGTGTAACGGTGATATAATAATACGTTTTTTTAAATCGGATAAAAATTATGACCTCTATAGGGTCCACAAGCTAAAAACGCGATTTTTCGTACAATCAGGGGCCATAATTCAGGAAGTTACGTTCCGATAAGCACGAATATCGAAAGGAACCGCGATCTTTGGGTTATAAGCATACATTTCAAGTTTAAACCAAATCGGATAAAAATTGTGACCTCTACAGTGTTCACAAGCTAAAAACGTGATTTTTCGTACAATCAGGGGCCATAATCCATGAAGTTACGATCCGATACATGCCAATATCGAAAGGTACCGAGATCTTAGGGGGATAAACCTATATTTCAAGTTTCATTGAAATCGGATAAAAGTTGTGACCTGTAGACTGTTCACAAACAATTGTGGATGGACGGACAGGGGCGACGACAATATACGTCCACATGAAAATGTGGGCTTATAAAAATTGTGGTCTCTAGAGGGTCCACTATCTTGATATACCATATTTTTACACTATTTGCGCACGCTGGGTGGCCATTTTGTCCAGCAGTTTTGGTCCGATTTTCACGAAATTCGAACTCAACCATCATTAGGGTGTAACTGGATAAAAATTGTGACCTCTAGAGGGACCACAAGCTAAAAATGCAATTTTTCGTACAATCAAGGGTCATATTCAGAAAGTTACAGCCTCACGTGTGCAAATATCGAAAGGAACCAAGATCTTTGGGTTATAAACATGCATTTTAAGTTTCATTAAAATCAGATGAAAATTGTGACCTCTAGATTGTCCACATGCTAAAAACATGAATTTTCATACAATCAGGAGCCAAAGTCCATGAAGTTATGGTCCGATACATGCCAATATTGAAAGGAACCGAGATCTTTGGGAAATAGACCTATATTTCAAGTTTTTTGTCAAAATCAGAAAAAAATTGTGACCTGTAGAGTGTCCACAAACAAATTGTGGACGTCCGGACGGACAGGGGCGACAATAATACGTCCACATGAAAATGTAGGCGTATATCCTATCTCTTTCTCAACCCCCACCCCAACAGTAACATGCAAAAACAAAACATTAATATACCTTCCCAAACAGCTAACATTAAGCTTGATGACATCCTTAACTGCTACACTTGTTCCACCTTCAATGTCTAAGACAGTCAGTCTTTCTGCAAACAAAAACCAACACATACCAGTAAAGAAAACGTTTTGAAAATAATATAATACAGATCTGAAAAAAATAATAAGGCAAGGCATTCATATTCGCAAACTCACTGTCCAGATCCTTCCCTGCTCGCTTGGAGCATTTTTTTTTCCAACATTCATCCAAATAACGTCAACCAAACAAATGTGTGAAGCATTGCCGCTGTTTTTGGTATCACTCCACTCTAAGCCTATACATGTATGCATCGAAATGACCAGAGAAATCTTGCTCAATTTCCTGACAACACCCAGCTGTGACTCCCCCATAACCCTACTTGTGCTATAAGCTTACAGAAGTACATGTACATTGAAATTGACAAAGTAGTATTAAAGATTGAAGGATAACATAAGATCAAACAGGTAGTGGTTGAAGGATTATATAATACTGAAGACTGAATTATGCAGATCAAATGTCTATTGATAGGTGGCCTTACAAGAAAATATAATCTCACTAGCAGCTAAGTCATGCATATAGTTGCTATGATTTTAACATGAGCTCTGCATTTTCATGTCAAAGTCTGAAATTGAACCGAGATCTGAAGAACATAAGGTATCATAACTGGTTTTATTAAATTCAGATAGAAAATGTTGACTGTGGTCTGAATGGATAGACAAATGGAAATTACGACAATATACGTGTCCATCAAATGTGGACACAACGGAAAAACTGCATATAATATCTGATTATTATTTTGATGATATCTAAGATAAAGATCTAGTACCTAACAATCTAATAAAAGGTATATGCAGTTAAACAAACATTATGCAAGAGCTAAGTCTACCTATTGCTGGTCTTTTTTTAGGCCTGAAATGTTATATAAACTATTAATGAGACATTTATTAACAAAACAAGACCATAATCAACCCTCGATGGCATCGCATACTCTAGATTTTAACTAGATTAGAACGGTTCGCCATTTAAAAATGGGAAAGCGAGGCTAAGTCTCGAATATACCAGTATCCTGGTTACCAAAATGCACACATTTGGTCAAAACTACAGTGATAACTTGGCTCAGAATGAAGTAATTTGAATGAAATTTTCAATGAGCTATTATAGCAACAATGGTCAGCTCTATATCAAAATCTCACATACTGTATCTTTAACTAAACTTGAAATTTGATAAATATGTATCATTAAACAACTGATAAGAAGAGGGCTTGGGTGACTATCCCTGTCACTTTCAATGATGCAATTTGTTGTCAGTTTCAAACTTAATACAGTTACAATAACTAGGGAGGGAATTTGATATTATCTTCCATTTGAAATGATAAAAATTATATGATAAAAATAAATTCCACTTAACATCATTAGTCATTACTGTTGGTTTGAATTTTTTGAATGTCAACAAGATAAGTTTCTTGGCAATAGCTTGATACATATATTAGGCTTGGTCTTGTGATATTCAGTACACAACCTTTGTACTTGAGATAATTAATGATGTGAATAGTGAATACTGGAAAATAGACTGAGACGCAATGAAAATGCAGCACTTATAAAAATAGATGATTGTAAATATTGTCTGACAAATAAACTTTAATCATGCTATGAGAATGATGTCTTCAAGGTGATACACACAATTTTACGGTGCAAATATGGGGGATATGAAATTAAATAGCATAGTTCGCTGTAAAAATCTTGGGTCAGTACAACTCCTACAGGTTTTTTGAAAACACAATGACATGCAAAAGATGGGTACCGGAACCTTTTCTCGAGCGCTTGGTTGGATGCCATCACTACCATTTTCTGACTAAATAAAATGATCGTTTCCAGCACACGAGTAGTATAGATCGACTAAAAAACAAAACCTTAATTGTGGGTCAGGTTATATTTAAGGCCAGCCTCAAGAATTAAGCATCTGTGGGACACAACTGCAGCATTGCAAGAGAATAGAGAAGAATCTTAAATGCAGCCATGTGGCAACATTGCAAGGCGTGTGATGCTACTAGATTAGGGGTGGACACATGTTATTGACTTTTGATTTCTACCCTTTGTGTCTATATATGTTTGACTGTAAAGTAAAATTATTATTTATTGCCTTGTGGGTTGTCCAGCCTGCAATTATACCAGCATCTGCAATCATTAAGTCAAATCATTGGTGTGTTTTCTTTGTGTCTCATTATACATCAGTTTTAAACAAATGTCAATAGATAAACATGATCAATCATATCTATCATTTGGTTGGAATTCTTTGAGTGTTTTTTTTAAGTACCGATTTCTGATAACGTCTAAATACCTTTCTAAATCTTGTTGACAGATCAAGTAAGATAGATGAATCAATGTACGAAAATGTATACCGTATTTTTCGGTGTATAAGGCGCACTTTTTTTACCAGGTATTTTATTTTCTAGAAGGGATGCGTCTAATACATAGTATTAAGCAAATCTTGGCTTTTCTGTGTGTCAACATCGAGGTCTGAAGTTGATCATATCGACAACAGCAATAAAGATGGCGGCCATTTCCCATACCGATATCCCGTATACCGTTAGTCATAGACGACAGTGGCAACAATATGGGTCAATAGCGGTTTAGTGTTATTAAAATATCTGCAAAGATATCGTAAATAATTAGATGACATATTTTTCTGCTATTCCGACATTCCGATGTCGTCATTTTTCGTGCAATAAATATGGCGGCCATTTAAGATACGGTATCGGCTTTTCCGTATACCGTTAGTCATATTTCTATTATTCCGGCTTTTCCGTATACCGTTAGTCATAAACGACAGTGCTAACAATATCTGCAAAATTCTCGTTAATATTTCTATTATTCCTGCGTATTTGATGACATATATTTCTGCTAATCCGTTTACCGGTACAGTTAGCCACTGTCGCAATCCAAACAGTGTGTCGTCAACGGTGATATTAGTCAAGTTGACGAAAAGGCGGGGCTTACGACAGACAAAGAGTTTTCATTGGCTATTAGAAGGGTAATTTCCATTGAGCACACGCTCATTATACCATAGGCTATGGGTATTGTCTGTTACAATGACAGCGTTAATGGGCGGGATTATAGTTAAACTGACAGAATACCAATTCTCTCTCAATTTGAGGATAACGTGCGGCGCTCCACCTATTCGCTTCTTTACTAGGTTTCATGTCGGTAAGTTTCCCCTTCATCGCCCTCCAACGTCTCACGTTTGACTCCCCCAAACTAAATTCACGACCCGCGGCCCTATTACCGTGTGCTTCAGCGTAACTAATTACCCTCAACTTCTCCTTAGCGGTATAAGCGGTTCGTCTCGTAGCCATTCTGAATAAATAATTTTTAAGAATGATGGAATGTTCACTGGTGTTTTATATACATCGGGGTGTTTTCTTTGAGCAAGACTGTCTTTTAGTAACCGTTTTAAGTTACCGACGGTTTTCATTCAACATGGATTCAGTGATTGGCCCATTGTTATAATTTACCGGTATAGTTAATTATCTACCAGTGAGTTGTTATCGTTTTCTTTATGAAGTCGTTTGTAGTTGACAAAATCATTGTTTCTTTGATTGGTATTAAAAATGCTATTGTATTATTTTACCGGTATAGTTAATTATCTACCAGTGAGTTGTTACCGTTTTCTTTATGAAGTTGTTTGTAGTTGACAAAATCATTGTTTTTTTGATTGGTATTAAAAATGCTATTGTATTATTTTACTGATAGATCTAAATGCTATTGTATTATTTTACTGATAGATCTAAATGGCTACAATCTGGGTATTGTCATGACGCGTGGAGTGGGCGGGGCAACAGACGCTATCGTTTGTCAGTTGTTTGCATAACTTGGAGTAAACTGGAATTGTTGTTTCTCTTTTACCGGTAGTCAGGATTTAAGTTGTGAGTAGCTGATCATGATATATTATTTCTACAGGTATTATTTAATTTGTTTATCATCAAAACCGATTCATTTATCACAGACAATTACTCACGAATTTAACACGATGTAATAGACGGCCATGTTTGTTGTGGGCGGGACTTGAATGACAATTTCACTACCATACGAGCAACAGAATTACAGCTGAAAGTTATGCAATAATGCAATTGCGTGTTATAATTTATATAAACAAATGTAACAAAAGCAATTTATTTCATAAAGAAATATAATTATATAAAGCTTGATACGGCTAAATATCGGTAATTATTATAACTGTAAACAATAGAGTTTGACCTAGTTACTGGAGATCGCAGGTGGATTTGAGTCACATATGTTATGGCACGAGTTTCACACGCGCTGGGAAAGGGTGCGCCTAAGCCACACATATTATTTTTTTTCCTGAAACACCTCTGCCAAAGTCGCCCTGCGCCTTATCTACGCATGCGCCTTATACACCGAAAAATACGGTAATTTGCCCTTTCTGACCCCATCTCCATCAATGGTCTACACTACATGAAGATCTGACAAGTTATAGTGGGAGTTCACGCCAGGGGTCAAACAAGCGGCTTTTGACCCTATGATGTCAGACATTGATTAATCAATCGGCATTGATGTTTCTAGTGGTTTACCCACAGTTCCATGCATAAAAAGGCCAAGAACTCGCCGTAACAGACCGTTTCATTGGCTTATTCCTCAAATCAAGTAAAACGCCTGTTACATAACAACTCTTCCAGATCCTAGTGTAGTAAAGACAAGTATAACGAAATTTTGAACAATAAAAACAAAACGAAATAGGATCTGCATTTTAATCAGATCGCATCTACATAGGACTGACCAACTTCATCTGAACAAATCTGAATAAGCACCACCTGAGCAAGAAACTTACTAAATATGGTTGAAATCCATCTAGCTGTTCTGAAGATGTCTAGAATGATAAACAAGAATGTGAATGTAAAAATACCTAGGTGCAAATACCTACCTATAGTAGTAATATTCTGAGTAAAACGTTTACATTTGTCTGCGGATGAATTAGGTTGTTTACATCTGTTAACCACTAATAACAAATCTGAAAGAACTTCTGGATAATTTATTCTGTCCATTGTTTTAACATTGGAATATGCAAATGCGTTGGCCTCAATTTTGTAAGAACCCTTTTCAGGTATCTGAAATGTGCATTCTGGTTTCGATGTAGCTTTCATCAATTTGTTATTCTTGTACCATACAAAATTAAATCTATATCTCTTCTTATCAAATTTATCTTTCATATTCAGTTTTAAAACAATGGGATGATCTGTTGCAAATACAGTCTTGTTTCTTTGAAAAGGAAGACTCTGGTTTACTTGTAAATCACCATTTAAACTTTCTGAAGAAAAAAAAATCTATGATCATTGTAAAAGAAAAATGATAAAGATACATATTACAAGATAATTATATGTAACGTACTCATGAAGAATTTATTACAATATGGCATTGCCAAATTCGATACATGAATGAGGCCAGAATCTGTTGTATTAGGATCTGTGCAGTATGCCGTAGTAGAATGAAACCTGCATAGAGATGGTACAATGTACATTTTGTTTCTACATATTACCACTTACAAAAGTTGTGAAAAAAAGAAACAAACTTTACACTAATTCGGCAAGTTACATTTATAAATAAATTTTGCCTGGATGATTACATGTTTATAAAAAGCTAAGCATTAGTAAAGTTAACCCAATTATTAAGACCCTTATTGGGATTATACTAACATTAAAAAAGTAATATGCGAGACTTGACTCACAATTTCACTCAAGACTAGCAATCTTCTTTGATGGCTCAGCATTTAGCACACATAATAAATACAAAAACATAATATGGAACATAATTAGCTTACTATTTTAATTAAAGAACGTTTCATTGATAAAGTTAAGGAATGTCGCTTTGATTAAAAAACTAATTGTGTTCCATATTATGTTTTTGTGTTTATCAAGACTAGCAATGTTAAAAATATACAGGGTATTAATTTACTAAGAAACTTTGCATGATAATGGGTTAACCAAAAGCCACCATGTCTATGCATGTATATTGTATATTCAGTAACATGGTTCTTCACTGGAGCTGCATGTGTCATTGTACGCCAATGCCATCGTAGCTTTGGTGATTTCTAAAATTAAGAGACAAATAACATACATTAAGATCTGGATTACCTGTTAAAATAAACGTTGTACTTGAATGTGCTATCACTTTCTTCTTAGAATCCTGGTCTCCATAAACAGCAACGCTCATTAAATACTGTCCAGCAACTACACTATCACTCTCGAATGTCTTTATTATTGCAGCCTGATATTGACCTTTGGAAACTTCATAAGACTGGTTTGCATTATTAAACCACTGATAATGGAAAAACTTTGATTGAACGGTGCGACCTTGATGATCCAACAGGGAAGCATTGAAGATAATTTGAGAATCCAAACAGGCAGGTCCAGAATTTGATAGCTTTAAAGTAAAATTCACTGAAAGAAACAGAAATAACAGGTGTTTTACTTTGTACATATAACTTTTTTACAGATATGTTATATATTCAAACGTTTTTTTTTTTCAATCAGATAAAAATTGTGATCTCTAGAGGGACCACAAGCTAAGAATGCGATTTTTCGTACGACAATTAAGGGCCATAATTCAGGAAGTTATGATCCGATATGCACAAATACATGTATCAAAAGGAACCAAGATCTCTGTGATATAAAGTTACATTGTATATTTGAAATTTCATCAAAATCGGATCTAAATTGTGTCCACTAGAGGGTCACAACCTTGACATACCATATATTTACACTTTTTGCGTATGAGGGGCGGACATTTTGTACGGCAGTTTTCGTCCGTTTTTCATTAGAGTGTAATGAGGGACCACAAGCTAAAAACGTGATTTTTCGTACAATCAAGGGCCATAATTCAGGAAGTTATGATCCGATATGCCCTAATATCGAAAAGAACCAAGATCTTTTAAGTTATAAACATGAATTTCAAGTTTCATCAAAATCAGATCAAACTTGTGGCCTCTAGAGTGTCCACAACCTTGTTATAGGCCTACCATATATTTACACAACATGCATTTCAAGGTTCATCAAAATGAGATGAAAATTGTGACCTGTAGAGCGTCCACAAGCTAAAAACATGAATTTTCATACAATCAAAATTAGATGAAAATTGTGACCTGTAGAGCACCCACAAGCTAAAAACATGAATTTTCATATAATCGGGAGCCATAATCCATGAAGTTAAGGTCCGATTTATGCCAGTATCGAAAGGAACAGAAATCTTTGGGAGATAGACCTATATTTTAAGTTTCGTCAAAATCGAATAAACATTGTGACATGTAGAGTGTCCACAAACAAATTGTGGACGGGACGGACAGGGGTGACCCCGACGACAATATACGTCCACATGAAATGAAAATATGCTTGTATAAAAAGCATAGTAACACTGCCTTATAAGGAAAGTGATGGGCAATGTTACCACGCGCGATGTTTGCAGAAATTTCACCTGGGGGTGTCATGGCGGATTGTACATTATAAGAAATATCGCTACGAAGATGTAGAATGCATTACCATAAAGAAAAACTGTTCGGTAACTATTTTAGTGGTCCAGTCTTCACTATTATTTCAATTCAAACTGTAATGATATGTGTTGACAATTGTGTGTTTGAACCGATTTGTAGCCTACTTGTGCAAGGCCCCTTATCCTGTATCAATTGTAGCGCTAAAGCACAGTTTAGCCCAAAATATTGTAGCTATGGCAATACCCAGCACTAGTATTCGGTAAAAGGACTAAGGTTTAATGTTAAAAGACACTAGTTTTTGAAAGAAGATTAGTAGTCGTTGGTGATGTGTACAACAGTGATATTAAGACGGATGTACTTTTTACCGCCGACCACCGCCGACTTAATGCTTTTTACCGCCGACCGTCGTGTAATTACCGCCGACCAAATACTTTTTACCGCCGACCGCATTGTAATGACTTTCGACCGTAATATAATTACCGCCAACCAAATACTTGTTACCCCCGACCAAATGCTTAATGATTCCTTGTTACCGCCGACTTTTTATAAAAAAGAATACAACAAGAATGTTATTTTTTATTTGAGGTGTAATGTCGAAAAACATTCATATATATTTTAAAGAATATCGAAGAACAAAACTACAATTTAGATATTGAAGGGCAAATATATCAAGATTGTTTCAGCTACTGGTTATAAAAAAATAACATTTTAGGCCTATCTTCTATTAGTGCAAGGGTTAGGGTTAGGGTTGTCGACAATATTTATATATAATAAAATCTATATTTTTATCAAACTCTGTGTATTTAACCAAATCTATTTTTTTTTCACTAATAATTTAATTAATTTTATATAGTCGGCGGTAACAAGGAATCATTAAGCATTTGGTCGGCGGTAACAAGTATTTGGTCGGCGGTAATTATATTACGATCGAAAGTCATTACAGTGCGGTCGGCGGTAAAAAGTATTTGGTCGGCGGTAATTTCACGACGGTCGGCGGAAGTCGCCGGTGGTCACCGGTAAAAAGTACCACCCATATTAAGATGTGTAGACCCTGAAACATCACGTGCCAATCAACATGATTAAGGCTGTAATTTTATTTTTTTTATCTAGAAATTGAAACCGTCATAGGCCTAGTATCAAATAATTTAAATCAGATTGAGATTTACACGAAATTGGTGTAAAATGTATTTGATCAGTCAAACTCATCATTGTTTTTACAAAAAAAAAAAAAAAAAATTCAAATATCTTTTTCAATAATATTTAATGAGGTTTGGATTATCTAGTCTGTACCAAATAATAATAAAACTTAATAAAACACTTACGTTTTTCACTGGGTGAAAAGGTTGGCATAGTAAACACTGTAGTCGTTTTCACAGAAGGTACAGTTACAGAGTCCACATTATCATGTGTTCCCTGTATTGCTCCAATACTAGGAAATGCCAGTAAAATAAAATATATCCATCCTTGTCCATTCAAATTCATTTTTTTATTTAATACTAAAGCTATAGATCTAATAGTTCTAAAAACATCCAAAATCCAACTTGATAGGCTACCACCTCACAGTGTCCGCCGTCACAGAGATTTTTAGGTAACTTTGGTTTAGGTTAACAAAACATAGATCTACATGTAATATTAAATATTCACAATAAATTTATTAATGCCATTTCTTCCCCGCCTATCGCGGAATTGTGTGAATATCAAAACCAGCATTTAAACATCGTCAGGTATTCTACAGTTATTACATGAGCATAACTGATCCACTATTCCTGAAGATGTTGTTGTCATTTTCATTATCGCAAATCACGAGTTCAGGTACTTCCGCTAGGAAGCTCGGGGCGAGTCGCTATACTATTTACCGGAAAACACCGGAAAAACACCGAAAAACACCATGTTATACTCAATACCGGAAAACACCGGAAAAACCTAACTCTAACCCCAGCACACAGAGGACCAGGCTCCGGTTTACCTATTTCGGTATTTAGGGTTAGCTTCGGATGATAAGAAAAACCGAGGTCCCGTGTATACATTGGAATGCACCATGGAGGGTAATATATACACCTCTATGGAATGCACGTAAAAGATCCCTTGGCAGTTGGAATTCGATATAAGAGTAGGCGATAGTGCCGCTGCCCGGGCAAAATTTCCCTCATAGCACACTGTATGGCGTATGTCCGTCTTCATTAGTCCAGTATAGGAGCGGAACAGTAGGACGTTATAAAGCCCAATTCATTTCATATAATAACCATGCAATTTAGGGTTGTATAATTTTCCAAATGATCATCCCACTACCCTGTTTACTTGTTCGACCTTTTCCTGACATTTTTTAGTTATTTCCCGCCATTTTCATTCCATTTTAAAATATATTTAAAGATACATTGTTCAAGAGCTAAATTTGCCTATAGCAGGTCTTTCTTTAAGGTTTATATAAATTATTAACTAGACATTTGTTAACATGACAAGACCATAATCAACTCTTGATGTCATCGGATGCTCAAGATTTTAACTAGATTAGAATGGTTCGGTCATTTAATGATTTAATTTAAAAATGGAGAATCAAGGCTAAGACTCGAATATACCAGTACCGTGGTTACGATAATAAACAAAATATGCACACATCTTGTCAAAACTACAACAGTGATAACTTGGCTCAGAATAAAGTAATCTGAATGAAATTTTCAATTCATTTTTCATTATCTTTTTTTGAACTATTATAGCAAGAACGGCCAGCTCTTTATCTAAATCTTACATATTGGGATGGGCATTCAAAGCGCGAGATAATGATATAGATATTGTGATATCACAATTAATGCTTGCATCAATGAAATTGAATCACAATGTGATCCTATTAATTCATAATAAAAATTTGATGTCAAATGGGGTGTTGAATTTCTCTCTTTAACCAGCGGCTGCCAGGCAGGATACGCCCACATTTTGCAAGAGACGGATAGAGAACAAACTAAAAACTAACGGGATTTTTTTGTACAATCAGGGGCAATAATCCAGGAAGTTATGGTCTGAAATGCGCAAATATCAAAAGGGACTGAGATCTTTGGGATATAAAGATATGTTTTAAGTTTCATCAGAATCAGATAAAAATTGTGACCTTAGAGGGTCCACAACCTTCGTATTGCATACTTTTACAAAATTAACGTACAAAGAGCGCCCATTTTGTCGGGCGGTTTTATTTCGATTTTCCCGAAAGTCGAATTCAACCTTCATTATGGTGGAATGGTGAAATATTTAAACAGTTTTTAAAATCGGAAAAAAACAATTTGTGACCTCTAGAGAATCCACAAGCTAAAAATGCGATTTTTCGAACAATCAGGAGCCATAATCCAAGCAGTTACGTTTGGATATACGCGATTATCAAAATGAACCAAGATCTTAGTGTGTAAATGTTTGGTGATATATTCACATGTTTTTTTTTTTAAATCGGATAAAAATTGTGACCTTTACAACAAGCTAAAAACATGATTTTTCATACAATCAGGGGCCATCAGGAAGTTAATATCCTATATCCCCGAATATCGAAAGGAATCAAGATCTTTGTGTTATAAACATGTATTTCAAGTTTCATCAAAATCAGATCAAAATCAGGGGCGGATTGGGCCATCGGGCGATAGACCGAAGGGCCGGTTGGACAAAAAATGAAAATAAATTTTTTGTTCAATTCGTCTAAAAAACCCTTTTCTGCTGAACATTAATTGGGGGGGGGGGGGGTATTGGACCGGCCATGGAGCGTTGATGATCATGTTGTATGTGGCCGGTGGCTTTAACGGGCCGCCACGCCATCACTGGATTCTGGATTGGGCTGGTATAATAGACTTTCTGGGCCGGGTGTGCTGGGTGTGAGCCGGAATTCGGAATCCTGCAATGGGGATTCCGAATTTCATCCGAAAATTTCATCGGATTCACCCGACACTGTCGCCAGAAACGTCTGCCGATGGTTCGTAACTCCCCCAAAAAATTCAATTTTAAGGCCTCGGCAAAATTTGATGATAGCTGGTCTTGACGATACAATGATAATACGTTAATTAATAATATGACGATATGATAATTTCACAGGTTGATGGTTGTAAATTACTTGCAGGTCGGGTTTTTGGCCTATATTAATCGATTTATGAGATATATTATTTGACAGTGATTATAATCAGATATGCCACCAAATCGTATATTTGGGGTTCATTTTTCAAAATTTTCATGGGGGAGAGCCGCTCCGAAACGGGAGCCCGGGCCGGTTCCCGGCCCCAATCCGCCCCTGATCAAAATTGTGACCTCAAGAGGGTCCACAACTTTAATATACCAGATGTTTACACCGATTGTGTACGAGGGGCGGCCATTTTGTCTGGCAGTTTTGGTCCGATTTTCACGAAGTTCGTACTCAACCTTCCTTAGGGTGTAACGGTGATATATTCAAACGTTTTTTTTAAATCGGATAAAAATTATGACCGCTATAGGGTCCACAGGCAAAACACGTGATTTTTCGTACAATCAAGGGCTATATAGTTCAGGAAGTTACGGTCGGATATGCGCAAATATCGAAAGTAACCGAGATCTTTGGGTTATAAACTTACATTTCAAATTTCATCAAAATCAGAAGAAAATTGTGACCTCTAGAGGACCGACAATCTTGATATACCATATTTTTACGCTATTTGAGAACGAGGGGTGGCTATTTTGTCTGTCAGTTTTAGGCCGATTTTCACGAAATTCGAACCCAACCACCCTTAGGGTGTAACGGTGATATACTAAAACGTTTTTTTTAAATCGGATAAAAATTATGACCTCTATAGGGTCCACAAGCTAAATACGCGATTTTTCGTAAAATCAGGAGCCATAATTCAGGAAGTTACGGTCCGATATGCATGAATATCGACAGGAACCGAGATCTTTGGGTTATAAACTTACATTTCAAGTTTCAACAAAATCGGATAAAAATTGTGACCTCTATAGGGTCAACAATCTAAAAACGCGATTTTTCATACAATCAGGGGCCATAATCCATGAAGTTACTAACCGATACATGCCAATATCGAAAGAAACCGAGATCTTAGGGAGATAAACCTATATTTCAAGTTTCGTTGAAATCGGATAACCAGCGGCTGCCAGTCAGGATACGCCCACATTTTGCAAGAGATGGATAGAGAACAAGCTAAAAACAAACAGGATTTTTTGTACAATCAGGGGCAATAATCCAGAAAGTTATGGTCTGAAATGCCCAAATTTCAAAAGGGACTGAGATCTTTGGGTCCACAACTTTGATAATGATATACCAGATGTTTACACTATATGGGTACGAGGGGCGGCCATTTTGTCTGGAAATTTTGAACGTTTTATTTTTTAAATCGAATAATAATTGTGACCTCTATAGCGGGACCACAAGCTAAAAACGCGACTTTTTGTACAATCAGGGGCCATAATTCAGGAAGTTACGATTCGATATTCACGAAAATAGAAAGGAACCATGCATAATCATGTATTTCTTCAAATTTCATCAAAATCAGATGAAAATTGTAACCTCCAGAGGATCCACAATCCTGATACACAATATTTTGACACTATTTGCGAACGAGGGGCGGCCATTTTGTCCGTCAGTTAATCGGTCCGATTTTTACGAAATTCTAACTGAAACCATAATGGTGATATATTCAAACGGTTTTGTAAAACGGATACAAATTGTGACCTCTATGGGTCCACAAGCTAAAAACGCGATTTTTCGTACTATCTGGGGCCATAATTCAGGAAGTTATGGTCCGATATGCGCGAATATCGAAATAAGGAGCTGAGATCTGTGGGTTATGAACATGCATTTCAAGTTTCATCAAAATCGGATGACAATTGTGACCTCCAGAGGGTCCACAACCCTGATATGCAATATGTATGACACTATTTGCGAACGAGGGGCGTCCATTTTGTCCGTCATTTTCGGTCCGATTTTTACGAAATTCGAACCAACCATTCTTAGGGTCTAACGGTGATATATTCACACGTTTTTTTTTAATTGGATAAAAATTGTGACCCCTCCACAAGCTAAAAACGCGGTTTTTTCGTACAGGGGCCATAATTCAGGAAGTTATGGAAGATATGCGCGAATATCGAAAGGAACCGAGATCTGTGGGTTATAAACATACTTTACAAGTTTAAACCAAATCGGATAAAAATTGTGACCTCTACAGTGTTCACAAGCTAAAAACGTGACTTTTCGTACAATCATGCAGGGGCTATAATCCATGAAGTTACAGTTCGAACATGGCAATATCGAAAGGAACCAAGATCTTAGGGTAATCGATAAACCTTAATCGTCTGGGACTGGCCGAGAGCCATGGTGGCTTGGTGAGTAAGGTGATAGCTCAACAACCAGGAGGTCCGGGGTTCGATCTATTTGCCAGTGAAGTTCCCTACAAATTTTCAGTGTGGTTTCCCCTTGTCAGTTGTACAGGATGGATGGATGGACAAGCAAGGAACTTCGCAAGTAAAAGAACCCATGACATTTGGAATTCGATGAATTTACCTTGTAGAACACGAAATGGTGTATGCTCATCTTTCAAACACTGTCTGGAATTATAAAGACACTAAACCTACTCTTGACTTATGCTAAATTAATATTTGAATTGGATTGAGTTGATGTGTTATTACCATTAGTGACAACACCTATACAATTAAATTTTTGTTCTGAAAGATTAAGTTCAAGTACTGACTAAGCGTAAAATTTTCATTGACGGCAGACTGTCAACTCATCCCACAATACAAATTGGCACATAATGAAATCCACAATTTAATTTCGGTCCCAAATCAAAGATGTCTAGACATTTTAATGAAGAAAATTATCTCTTTCCTAACAGACAGAAGTTGCATAATGTAATTGGCCATGGCAGTGTAATTTAATGTAAGCGAGCCATGGCTACTATACCCAGCTGATGTTTACAATTGTGTCTTATTCTCATATTATTTATGAGTGGAAAATATTTATCCTCAAACTCGGTCAAGATATTCAACTAATGAACAACTACACCAAGTTTAAACAATCAGAAACAGAGTTACTGTTTTCCAAAATTTGTAATGGACCGAAGAACAAACCCATTTCAATAGGCTACTGTTTTCTCCGAATTCAGGTACAAAAAATGTGACATAACATACCAATTTAATTTTAATATATTATTAACTAGTCCCTTTTCCCTCGAGTTTCAAGTACGTCCAAGCTGAACCAGAAACTGAGTCAAACGGCGTCACTGGTATCGGTAAGATAATTTAAGGGATTTTGATACTTTCTTACATGTGCAGTCCCATACAAAATTTATTAACTAATTCTCTTTTCTAATTTTGATACCGATCATGACAAATAGTCAAGTAAATCTAGAGTACATTCACATTTATGATTAGTTTAATAATCATTAATTGTGAAAAATTAAACCTTTTAAATATTTCAATCTATACATACACAAGAATTCAGACAGGTGGACCGGAGCGACAACCAAATAAAATTTTATGTATAAAACAGACTCAAGTCAACAACGGTTTAATACTAATTACACATATTTACATTGTACAAAGTAATAAACAACTAATAAAAACACATTTAATATTGCATGACAAATATCTATCAACATAGAGCATGATTTTCTTATACATTTGAATTAAAAAACATAGGTTGATAGGCAACAAAACAAACGCACATACCAACAGCTACGGCATCCAAGCCTCAGTAAAATATTTTCACAAAATCTTCCACAAACTTAACAGTGATGAATGTGAAGCCCACAAAACACAGTTTTGTAAATCAAGGGGAATAATTTTCAGAAAAGGTCCATCTCTTAATAAGCTGAACAATCTATTAATATTTGGCTACAATCCAATAATAAGTATTGCTTCTAGAGTGTAAACAAAGTTTCATAAATCATTGGGAGTAACTCTATTATTAAAATTAAACAAAATATATCCAATATAATAAGTGTTACTTCTACAGTTTTAACAAAGTTTCATAATTCAAAGGGAGTAACCCAGGTTATAATTTTCGGATATCATTCAGTATCAACAGGCACTGTCCCGAACATCCTACTAAAAATTCAGTATTGTCTTATGATAATTATGGCTCCTAGTGTGTTCAAGTGTGATGGACAGCATTTTATTTATTTAAAACAAAGGCGTAAGTAACATGATGCAAAACAAAATAAGTGATTAAATATTCAATAACATTTGAGCAATAGTACCAAGATATCTTGTGATAATACCTACAATAATACTGGTGATGTGTAAAAAAATAAATTCTTAATATAATTTATACCATACTTGATATTTTTGAAATATTGGTACATCAAGCAACAATTGTTTTCTCCAATAAGTTGATTGTTAAACGTTTTGAACAAATTTAAAATGAATATATTATATTTCAAACAAAACCCCAACAGAAATACAGAAACTGCAGTCACCAACAGCCCCACTTTGTCCAGTCTGGATATCCATCAGAGAAGATTTTTGAAAAACTGCATTACAAATTCTGTCAATGAAAAGATAGCTACGAAATGAGGAGGTAACTCTGAAATTTGCCATTGCAAATTTTTATTTAACAATCTCTGCAAATTTGCAAAAAATCAGATAAAGGATGTAGTGTGTAGAGCATTCACAGGAATAGTTCTACCTGATGACGTATATTCATCTACATTAGATGTGGGGATATAAAAATATACAAGATATCACTAGCTCAAATATGTCAGCGTAATAGCTTCACCGTAAAAATAAAATACAGTTTGGTTCCGTACTTGTAAACCGTTAAATCTAAATTCTGTTTTTAATATTTAGAACATTACATTTTAATATTGCACATCACAAAAACATATCACAAGTGGTTCAATTCTTAATAACATGGACCATTTCTTTTATACTAATTATTTAGCTATAATTATTTTCCTCATGACAGAGAGAGAGAGAGAGAGAGAGAGAGATAAAATGGGGTTTAACGTCCACTCGACACCGACTAGGTAATTTCGGGACTAACATATGGTTTAATTTTATTTCAATAATTCACTTGTGCGCAGGGGTCTTTAGCAGCAGTGGGAGGAAACCGGAGGACCCGGAGCAAACCCACGAAGTTGGATAGGCAACCCTACTCCTTGTCACGTACAACCGGGGATTCGAAACCACGCCAGTTGACTCAATGACAGACCTTATGATACAGCACACACATGCTAACCATTCGGCTATCCAACCCTCTGAACTCCGAAAGAGTACTGACATGTGTCGGATAAATGTATCAAGTGGCATCATCATTTCACTTTTATTCTTAAGACTTTAATAATAGTCTTTATCAAGCTGGTGTAGAGATTTTATTCCGTACCATATACAATATACATGGGAAACTCAAAACTCGCAGTATAAAAAGTAGTTAGCTCCCTTACATTAATAATTTCTAACTGCATTGGTTTCAAAAAATTTTTTTACCTAATAACTTCTGTAGCCTATATTATGCGCTATCGACAAAGTCATGCCATGTCATGCCAGGTTATGTCCACTATCTAGATGCACCATGAACTATTGTGATAATGTGGAAAAACCTGCCATTTTGAACTCTTAATAAATCTGGAAGTTATACTTCAAATCAACTTTCTGATATTAGTTGTTAGTATAGGTCAAGGTTATCTAAAATATATATAGGTCAAAGGTTATTAAAGTACATAGTCACATGATAGTAGGTTTTAAATATGGAAAAAATTTCAAAATGGAACTGGAAGTAAACAAAATCGAAATTCAAAAATCGGCTCTATAAGAATTGTTCCCACCTCGGCTGACTTCAAAACAAAAAAAAAGTTTGCGAAAATCGAAATTAAAATGTCGGATGAATATCAATTTGAAGCATTTTTTATCAAATCCAATATTGTGGCCAAATGGTTGAAAATGTTAATGAATAAGGTTTCTGAAAATGAAAGATAATATCTGGGGCTAACACAAGAATATGTCATTTTTAGTCTATTTTAAAAAATCGGAAGGCCTCTGTAATTTCCGTATGTTTCCGGAAGCTGTAACAAAAAAATTTAATATGCCATTTTGAAGGCATCAATATGTTTCTTATTCCTAACAAGTTTCCACTTGATACTCAAATACATGTACTAATGGAGATATGAAATCTTGAATGTCTGGGGCTAACACCACCATACGTCATTATTAGTCTACTTTTAAAATGGAGAGAACTATTATGTTTCCAAAAGCCTTAAAAAAAAATAGTTTAACATGGTTTTTTGAAAGCATCAATGTGTTCCTTATTCCAAACAAGTTTCAACTTGATACCTCAAATACTAACGGAGATATGCCATCTTGAATGTTGAAAAAATGCTGCAGAATTCTTTCACAAGTCTTTGATGCTAAAATTAATCAAGCGAACTTCCGAATTGGCTGCAATTTCTGACTAAAATTGGCAAAAAAAATAATAATAATAATAATAAAAACCATTACGAAAACAATATGTCAAAGGTACCGAAACACGTAACTAAGTGCAGGTAGCTATAGTTTACTTAGATTCGGTATTTCTTCAAGAATCATAACTGAACTATTTATGCTATATTATGTGCCAATGAACACCCTGAAAACTATTATAGACTATTAGTAAGGTCAGCTGCCTTGTAAATAAAGAGGCTATCTATAGAATAGCACTATTAGACTTACGCAACAGTATAAACACCAAAATACTTTCAACAATGGCTTTAATTCACAACACTCTCTAAGCTGATAAAGTTTCTCTGTTCATCACACAATACCAAATCCTTCTGTATGTTGTATTGCCAATAATAATTTATCTTTTAGTGCTTGTTTTGATTTATATTTGGGTAAGTCTAGTAAATTAAAACATGTATGAGCTACAGGTAAAAATTCTTCTCCTCCACTTGTTGGTTGTATCACCATCTACAAAATAAAAGGCTCCAAATAGAAACTCAGCATTTCATAAATAATGAAAAAATCCTCTCACTAGTAGCTGATGTCCGTGCTGACAGTATACCGTGACATATAACTTAAGTCAAAAGAACATCTTGAAAGTAGCACTGACAATGTTCAATAAAGGGGAAAATCCAATGCGTGATCTAAATTTCTATAATGATGTTCTTCCTTTTTTACTAAAAAAAAAATCCCAAATACTCTGACCTCCAGAGTGTTAACAAGGTTTTAATCATGGGGCCAATACTTTGCTTAATTATTCAGACTTTCTAAAGTGTTTCTCCTTGTATATAGCTAACAATACAAGCAGGATTTTCTTCTCAAAAACCTCAAAAATGGGCAATACCTCTCAAAAGAAATTGATGCACAACTTTGAATTTTGAAAGGAAAGCTACTTATTAAGAGTTACTTACTTTCAACTGTTCCATTCCAAACACAGAAATTCTATCACTACCAGTTAAAAACACTGAATTAGACAACATTCAAATTTTTTTTAAAAATAATTGAAATGAAAGGAAATGTGATTTGACATCCTACTTATCATTTTCGAAATAAAAATTTTATTGTTACTTTTAAAACTAAAGACGTATTTATTTAAAAAAGGCTTTTACCCAATGATCCTTTTACTTTATAGATAGGTTATTTGACAGTGCTATTTGAATTCCATGTAATTTTATCACAATGACAATTTGTATTTTTGATGTTTTATCAACTATGTTCTTTGTTATCTTGTTTTATTATGTAAATATAATATTGTCTTAGTAAAGCACACATAAGCACATTTATGTTTCAGTTGTATGCTATAGAAATGTGTAATAATAATAATAATAATAGGATCAACAAATCGAAAATTTAAATTGTTTATTCCAGACACAATAAGCCATGATGGGCTAATCATAAAAGAACAAATAAAACATACTTAAAAACTTTTTCTTGTTTTCTAAACTCATGTCATAAAATACTTCCCAAAAATATTGTATAGTTTGATGATAACGATGATATTCATCTTTATATTCTGTATTCTGAAAAAGAAGAATTAGAAACTCTTCTTTATTCGGCTAATATGTGAAATTTGGTCGGACACCAAAGTTTCAGCCCACTCTTCATCTAATGCCAACAAGTACAAAGACAGACTTTGGTTTTTCTTCCAAATAATTACACACTTTTCCTTGCCAGAACCTTGTACCTGCACTACTGACCAGAAGAAACCATGCTAAAATATATGTTGATGTTTGTGTGTTTTCATAATTCAATCAGATCTTATTTCCTATAATTTAATACATGTATCATACCTTTTCCATCTCCATAAAATCGTAATTTTCATTTCCTATCACCATAGCTTGTAATTCTAATGGATGGAAGAGTTCCTGTAATAAGACCATAGTAAAAAAATATGACTAACAGACAAACGTGTAGCTTTTAATATTTTTTATCAGGGATCTCTGATTGCAAAATAAAACAAGACCTTTTCAGGGGAAAGAGGCTGTCAGTTTTGAATTACTGTCGAGGTTACTGTTTCAAAAAGCATATGTATCCAACTCAATTTTAAGTCATTTACCAACTGTAAGTGACAAGTGGTTGTAAGGTACTGAAAATTGGGTTCAGATCTACTTCCTTCTGGAGAGAGTGAGAATTGGGTTTTTTCAGTTTTTATATGCATCCGACACCAGCTATGTCATTTTGGGACTTACATATCATTCAATTTTATTTCAATAATTCGCTTGCGAAAAGGGTCTTTAGCACAGGGAGGAACGCACAGAAAACCCACAAGGTTGGACACCCAGCCCCCCACTTCCCACTAGACAATTGCCCAATGATAACTGTTCAGTACCGATAAATAACTTACCAAAACTCTACTACCACATACTTTAAGAAAACCACTACTAAAGGCACTATATTGATTCTCAACAGATGTATTAAAAACATGATTAATATATGTATCTACATATTCTTTTCTGAAAAAGAAAAACACCAAAAACTGTGTAGTCAAAAATGCTGGAATGGTGTTTATCATAATATATTTTTCTATTTATTGAATTGTGTGCCTGGCAAAATGAGCATCTAGATCAATTTATCTTTGTTTAGAAGTCATGTACAATTAAATACATATTTTACCTATTGTCTTTATTTACCATCTTTTTAGCTCCACCAGTACATAGTTCTACTGTTTCAGATTCCCCAAACAATTCTTGAGTTATCTGTAAACATTAATGTATTTCACATTAAATTTATGAGAGTAGGTTGATAACATTGAAGCAACTAAGGTCTAATATGTAGGCTATATTTTCCTGTCAGCCATTGAGCTTGCTGCTTTTTTGTCAACAGTGTTTACAAGTTTCATTAGTAATAGTATGAAGATTTTTGAATGGATTAAAGATATAGTTCCTTTTTCTGTGTGATTCTCAATCTAGAATTGCCAATTGGATAATATATTCAAAGCACCAGGAAAAGTATATTTGTAACCAAAACCATTACATATCTTACTTCAAGCCATGTGCAATGGTGCAATCTTCAGACTGTAAGATAGCTAAATATCTGAACACTTAATAAACACAAAAACAGAATATGGAACACAATTACTATTTTAATTAAAGCGACGATTAATGGTTAATTAGCTGTTACTTGTTTTTGTATATAAACCTTCTGTACATTATTTTCATTATCATTTGCTTGAAAACGTTGAGAGAACCCTCAACGAAATGTCACTTTAATTAAAATAGTAATTGTGTTCCATATTATGTTTATTACATATGTCAATTGCTAAATGCCGCTCAAAGAAGATCTGAACACTTGTTCACAATCTTTTATTGTGGGCTTACTCTTAAAAGAGTCACTTATTTTTAGTTTTTTTAGTTATTCTAAATTAACCATTTAAAAAAAAATGAAATAGATTCCCTAATTTAACTTGATGGAACATAATTATACATAAACAAAAAATAATTACATTTATATTTGTGATAAAATACTGTACCTCAAAAGTCAAAGCGAACGTTTCTTCTAAGTCGCCCTCAAATTCTAGGACATTCTGAAGACTTCTGTGGATAAGAAATGTAATGCAGTCTAGTAATGATTACTACCATCACATCATAAATAACTTATTACACAAGCATTAGATAAGACCCAAAACCAAAAACTTAATTGACAGTGTTATACAATATGGTAAGTTAAGAAGGTGTGGTTTTACAAATTATTAATAATATACTGATCTTTTGTTAATGTATAGAACCCATGGGTGTTTTTCAGGGAATCCAGTGTTTTCTAGTAAGACTGGAAACTACTTCCCATATACCAAAATTGCCATACTTTTATAGGAAATAACACCCAATAAATACTATAATTACTTTGCTACTGTTGGTGATAATTCTTTAAGGTCATCTAAAGTTACAGGTCTGAAAATATAACAAAAAAAGAAAAACACATTCATTATCATCTAAAAATGTACTGTGAACATTGGATCCTTGAACAACTATATATACATTTTTATTGTAGATCCTATTTCGTTTTGTTTTTTATAGTTCAAAATTTTGTTTTACTTGTCTTTACTAGACTAGGATCTGGAGGAGTTGTTATCATTGAAGTGTTCTGGATGATGTGAGGGATTAGCCAATGAAACGGTCTGTTACTGTGAGGCACACAGAATTGTGGGTAATCCACTAGAAACATCAATGCCGATTGGTAAATCAAACATCTGACATCATATGGTCAAAAGCCACTCATATGACCTCTGATGCAACCTCCCAAAACAACTGGTCAGATCTTCATCTAGTGTAGGCCGTCGAAATTATAAATCAGCGGCTGCCAAGCAAGATATGGCCACAATTTGCAAGAAATGGATAGAGAACAGGCTAAACAAAAAGCGATTTTTCGTAAAATCAAGGGCCATAATTCAGGAAGTTACAATTCCATATGTGAGAATATCGACAAGAACCAAGATCTTTGGGTTATAAAGATAAATTTCAAGTTTCATCAAAATCTGATCAAAATTGTGACTTCTAGAGGGTCCACAACCTTGATTTACACTATTTGCATACAAGCGGCGTCCATTTTGTCCATCCGTTTTGGTCCGATTTTCATGAAATTAGGACTCAACTATCATTAGAGTGTAACGGTGATATATTCAATCGCTTTATTAAATCGGATAAAAATTGTGACCTCTAGAAGGACCACAAGCTAAAAATGCGCTTTTTCGTAAAATCAAGGGCCATAATTCAGGAAGTTAACATCTGATATGCGTGAATATCGGAAGGAACCAACATCTTTGAGTTATAAACATGAATTTCAAGTTTCATCAAAATCGGATAAAAATTGTGGCCTCTAGAGGATATACCATATATTTAAACAATTTGTGTACAACTGGCGGCCATTTTGTCCAGCAGTTTTGATTTTTAACCTCGGCCTTCATTAGGGTATAACAGTAATATATTCAAACGTTTTTTTTAAATCAGTTAATAATTGTGACCTCTATAGGGACTACAAGCTTAAAACACGATTTTTCGTACAATCAATATCAAGGGCCACAATTCAGGAAGTCACGATCCAATAAGTGTGTATATCAAAAGGAACCAAGATCTTTAGGTCATAAACATGAATTTCAAGTTTCATCAAAATCGGACCAAAATTGTGTCCGTTAGAGGGCCCACAACCTTGATATACCATATATTTACACTATTTGCGTACATGGGGTGGTCATTTTGTTCGGTAGTTTTGGTCCGATTTTCACGGAATTCGAACACAACCATCATTAGGGTATAATGGTGAGATATTCACCTCTAGAAGAGCCACAGGCTAAACATGCGATTTTTTGTACAATCAAGGGCCATCATTCAGGAAGTTACGATCTGATATGCTTGAATATCAAAAGGCACCAAGATCTTTGTGTTATAAACATGTATTTCAAGTTTCATCAAAATTGGATCGAAATTATGATTTCTAGAGTGTCCACAACCTTGGTATACCATATCTCTGCCTACCCTAAACACAAAATGCTCATCTTCGAACTCCATCAAGGCATAGGCCTAATAAACACTTACACCAAGTTTGAACATTCTAGCTCAATTAGAAGGAGAGTTATTGTGTCCCAAAAAGTGTGACAGACGAACGAACCCATTTGGTGGTGTTAGCCCCAGATATTATCTTTCATTTTCAAAGACCTGGTTTGATAACATTGCCAACCGCTTGGCCGCCATATTGGATTTTACAAAAAATATTCAAATCGATATTCAGTCGCCATTTTAATTCCGATTTTCGAAACCTTTTTTTTTGTATTGAACCTACTCCAAAGGGCCACAATTTTTGGGGACCCGATTTTTAAATTTCGATTTTGTTTACTTCGGGTTTCACTTTGAATTTTGTTCAGACTTTTCACCTTCTATCTGGTGACCTAACCTTTCCATGACCCTTGACCTTTGTATGTATGATGACCCTGAGGTCTACTAACAATTAATATATAACTTTCGGTTTTATTAAAAATGAGTTCAAACTGACAGGTGTGTCCACTTTAACAGGTATTGGATGTTACTATACTCAATAATTCTTGGTGTAAATTGAATGTTGAAGTGACAAAGTGTGACGTGACATGACGTAACATACCGAAAAACGTTAGTACTCCTTAGGAGTTCTAGTATTATTTTTAAGTCTACATTCTAGCCATGCCCATGTGTCACATATATGTTTGCAATCTGAAATCTAACAGCCCTGGTTCGGAGTCCTAATAACATTGGAGTATCATTTCCACTGCATCAAGAAGATGTTCCTTGGAGTATCTAATCAGGACTTATGTTTAAATGTTTATGAAATGAAGAAACTGTGTCAAAATTCATACAATCCATACTAAAATCAATCCAAAGTATAAAATATAATATTAGCACCTTTTTAAGAGTTTCTTATAGAGTGCCAAGGGAAATGGTAGATTAATAATAGTAAAATTATAGATAGCTAAGCCACATAGTATACCAATCAGATGAAACATATCATTCTCTTCAAAAGTCTGAAATAATAACAATAATATCATTCACAAAAATATCAAAAACAACCTCTTGTCATTTTGAGACTAATATACAGCTGCGTTTATTTCTATGACCACATGTGCAATACCAGGGAGGAGACTTTTGTCCTGGACAGCAGCGTTTCAGCTTCCTCTTTTATAATCAAGTTACATATATAAAAGGTCTTATGATCTACAGATATAATCATATTTTTGTTCCAAGTGTTTTATATACACCATCCAAGTGTTTATAATACATAGTACCATTTAAGTGTTTTACCATCCAAGTGTTTATATACCGGTACATAGTAGCATCCAAGCGTTTTATATAAATGTAGTACCATCCAAGTGTTTTATATACATAGCACCATCCAGGTGTCTTATATACATGTAGTACTAGTACCATCCAAGTGTTTTATATACATAGCAGCATCCAAGCGTCTTATATACATGTAGTACCATCCAAGTGTTTTATATACATAGCAGCATCCAAGCGTCTTATATACATGTAGTACCATCCAAGCATTTTATATACATAGTATTAACAGGCATTGTTAGCCATGAAAACCTGCCCTGCCCCTCTCCAGAAGTGATATCAGTTCATCAGGTGATCTGGAGGAATTCCCTACATTACCTGCACAACACCTGTTAATTCTATACCTACACAAAGCAATAGTCAACTTGGGATGACAGAATACTACATGTAATCACTGTTCTAAATAATAACATCTACATCATCTAATCAAATATATGTTTCATTGGTAAAATGGATTAAAGATAGAAGATTAATATTGTACCTGTGGACTAAACCATTTTAAAGATGAGTCTTCATAAAACCTAAACATACCATATTTGGTATCCGTAACTTCCCTCAATAATAACATAAAAAATTCCTAAGAAAAGGATAATAAATTTATAGTATATTATGCAACAGCACATTACAGTTTGAAGCATTTTATTCTCCAAAAATATAATCGAGATTGGCCCTTTAATTAGTGTGCACTAGAAATTGAGTTAAAAATATAATAAATGCTGAATTGAGTTATTCAAGAAAGTCATTAAAACTAGTATAAAGATAGGTTGCCAGGCAACGAAACATACACCCACAGAAGCTAAATTGTCCGGGCAGTCAACAAGAGTTGTCGCATATTCTTACTTTTTTCGGTAATGAAACATTTATAATACACTAAAATCTGATTAACTCATGAAGTAATTATCAGAAAACCATTAGAATTTGTTTGGTTTTTATAAAGTTCTGCCCCATGCTAACATTTTGTATACAAAACTTTTAATATCATGGATTTAGCTGTTCGAGTCATAAAAATTCATTGAAAATCAATATACTTGTTCGTCTCAAGATCTTAAACTCTGTGTATCAAATTGAAGTCAATCAGATAATAACTTTAGCCTTTAGAGTGGAAATCTTTGAAAATCAAGGGCCATAACTCTGGCAGTAATTATCAGAAATCGCTGAAAACCAATAGGCTTCTTCGTCTCATGACCTTAAACACTGTGTATAAATTTAAAGTCAATCGAATATTAACTTTGGCCTCTAGAGCGTCCACAAGATTTTTTGAAGTGATCAAGGGCCATAACTCTGGCAGTAATTATCAGAAATCGCTGAAAATCAATAGGATTCTTTGTCTCATAACCTCAAACACTGTGTATAAATTTAAAGTCAATTGGATATTAACTTTAGCCTCAAGAGCATCCACAAGATTTTTTGAAGTGATCAAGGGCCATAACTCTGGCAGTAATTATCGGAAATTGTTGAAAATCAATAGGATTCTTCGTCTCAAGACCTTAAACACTGTGTTTAAATTTAAGGTCAATCGGATATTAACTTTGGCCTCTAGAGTGTCCACAAGCAATTGTGGACGCCGGACGGACGACAATATACGACCACATTTCAATGTGGGCGTATAAAAACTTAAATAAATAAAAGTGATCTGCGATTCATTCACTCACCACACATGTAATCAATTATTATATCTTTTACAAATATAAATCTTCCATTAATTACTATTGATTGTATCTGAGAACAAAATGATGGCATAGGCAGTCAGTACCCGACTCACCTCTCTTTCATAAAAAATATTTTTGAAGTGATTGTGCCATATTTAACATAGTAAATACATGTAAAATTCTAATCAAAACTATACAGAAAAACAGATTTATGTGTATATAAATGTATGTTTTATATGATGTAAGAAATTAAGCCAAAAGTTTCAAATTTATTTTTCAATTTAACTGTATTGATTATCTAATATTGTTCTCAGATAGAATTTGTGTTTTTAAATGCTTGTTGGATTTTTTGAATAGTTACTTTTTGATCTTTCATGACATGAACATGCAGTGGAAATATTTTGTTTTAAATCAATCTCTTCAGTTTTTAACATTTTAAAAAAAATAAAATCAAATATTATCAAGTATTGTTGCATGCGATTAGTTCATGGTATTCATCAATTTATTAACTTTTAATTAACATGATTACAATAACCACACATAACAGGAAACATTCAAACCTTTCTTACACCCCCCTCATCTATAGCTTCTTCACCCAGGAAAACTACCTGAAAAATTACAGAAAAAAGATAAGTAAAGCAAAAAGCAAAAAAAACATGTGCACACAATGAGATTTGTTTACCTTCTTCACTCCACCAGCATCTATAGCCTCCTCTCTCATAAATATTACCTGAAATTAAATAATCTACATTGACAAGGAAATGAAATAAAATGAAATGGAGTTATGCCATTTAGTCCAAAATGAACATAACCTTTTAAATTTTCCATAGCAATCTTTCCACATGAAATAGTATCTGTACATATCAAATTAAGACCAGCAGTTGCCTGGCATGACACGCATATATTCTGCGAGAGAGAGAGAGAGAGAAATGGGGTTTAACGTCCACTCGACACAAACTAGGTCATTTCGGGACTAACATGGTTCAATTTTATTTCAATAATTCACTTGCGCGTAGGGGTCTTTAGCAGTGGGAGGAAACCGGAAAACCCAAAAATTTAAATTTCGAGCAATGAAAAATTCGACGACCTTTTTTTTCTATTAACGTTTAGAGAAAAAATATAACTAACTTATTTCTATGAGATCCACACTGCCCGAAAACTATTTTCTCGTCTTGTTCTTGTCCACTGCATGCCCGAAAATATGCCCGAATCTCTCTTATGATAGGTATGCCGGAAAAAACAGTATTGATTTCGGGCAATTATCTCTTATGACCCCCTGAATAACTTTGAGCTCCTATGCCTATGCAATTAGGGGCGATTATCCAGGAAGTACGGTCTGAAATGCACGAGATATTTTAAGTTTCATCAAAATCAGATAAAAATTTTGACTTCTAGGGTCCAAAAACTTGGTATTACATACTTTTATACTATTTGCGTATAAGGAGTGGCCATTTTGTCAGGCAGTTTCATTCCTATTTTCACGAAATTCGAAATCAACTGTCATTAGGGTGTAACGGTGATACATAGAAATATTTTTAAAATCAGATAAAAATTATGACCTCTAGAGGGTCCACAAGCTAAAAACGTGATTTTTCGTAATATCAGGGGGCCATAATCCAGGACTTTACGGCCCGATATGAGCAAATATCAAAAGGAACAAAGATCTTTGGATTATAATGATACATTTTAAGTTTCAACAAACTCGGATAAATATTGAAAGAAACCCGAGATTTTGGGGAGACCTATATTTCAAGTTTTGTCAAAATCGGATAAAAGTCGTGACCTGTAGAGTGTCCATAAACAAATTATGGATGGACGGACAGACAGAGGTGTGGGCATAATACGTCCACATGAAAATGTGGGCGTATAAAAAAACAATGTTTAATATTTCATTTTGCACAATAGCTTACAGGCAGTGGCGGATCCATGAGGGGGGACCCCTAAATGACAGTATTAACAAATTCACTGTTGATTGAATTTTTTATTGATTGGGGTTATGTAGCTGATGAAACTGAATGTTATACTGACCATTGACACCCCCGATTTTTCAAAATATTCTCCGAAAACCACTGTACCCCTTAAATTTAAATAGCATGTGTCCACCACTGTGTACAGATATTTACAACACAAATTAATTATCATCAGGATAACAAATGATATATAACTTACTTTTAAAGGCTTTTTGAGATCAGCACTGCTATGTTTACTTAATTGTTGCAACGTTTCACGAACTATATGTTCTCTTGTTACAAATAATACTAAACAAGGGTTAATAGGATCTATGGGCATTCGATTTAATAATGTACTAAAATTTACTCTTGCTACTTCATCTATTGCCGACTGAAATAAAATAAATTAAATTAAATACAGTTATTTTTCTCAAAGAGCATAAGACTTTTGAAAAAGAACACTATAACATCTGCTTTCTTCAGAGACTATTGGTTTTGAGATTAAAAGGTATATGATAACCACTGATTGAAAAACATATCCACACTCTTACATACCAGCAAAATTATACTTGATAACAAAAACATTACATGCATATTTATCATGAAAGTTCAAAAGACACTTTTTTTTCAATCTACTGGTACAAATATTAAGATAGCTGCGTTGTCATTGCGACTCGGAATATTTCACAAATACAAACATTTCAATATTTATTTACCTGCATTTGCATCATAGCATCTGTATGTAATAACATACTTTTAGCTGCTGCATCAAACAGGAATGGATAGTTACAATAATGAAGTTCCTGAAGATTGCAAGTTTACCATATAAAATATATAAGAAAAATGTATAAATATATATATTGTAGAAAATGAAATGAAATGGTGGTTCAATGTCCTACTTTACCGTACCAACGAGGCTAATGATGATGGAGGTGAAGGGGATTATATACAAGACAATTATATTAGTGATTGTTCAGGCATATATCTATTCTCGATATGATACCGAGTTGCTGGTATGATGAAAATAATGTACTGATAATATACTAACTTTACTATTAGTTTGTATTTAATTCATGAGAAACACACAGCACACCATACATTTATGTAATGTACACAACTATTTTTGCGACTTTGCATAAGTTATAAATGTTGATAACTATAATTAACTTACATTAGGATTTCTGTTTGTCTGTTGTACCCAACTGACATAATCAACTTTAACATTAACTTTATCTTTTAATATAGAGATATAAAACTGGTGATATGGTATAATCTGACCATTCTGTTCATTTACCTGGAAAAAATTAGGAAACAAAACAATAGTTAGTTTTAAAAAGAAAGGTTGTCAGACAACAAAACATACGACCCAGCAGCTAAGTCATTCAGGCAGTCAACAAATTTTGTCGCATATTTTTTCTTTTGTCAGTAATGATAACATTTACAACACATGAAAATCCGATTGGGAGTAATAAACCCATGAAGTAATTATCAGAAACCATTAGAATTTGTTTTGATTGTTTGTCTCATGACCTAAAATAATTTATATTAACTGTAGCCTCTAGAGTGTCCACAAGATTTTTCAATGTGATAAAGGGCTATTATCGGAAATCGTTGAAAATTGAATAGGATTCTTTGTCTCATGACCTTAAACACTGTGTAAGATAACGTATGTTTATTAGTTAGTGCAGGAGGTAGCACCACACCTAAACAAAACACATAAGCCAACACACGGACAACACACAATATAGATGACACTGCAAGCAATAAACAACAAACGTATATATCAAATCAAGCGAATGGAACATGGGTGGGAGTTGGGGGCAGCTGCAAGCGTTTACCGAGTTCTTGTAGTAATACTTGCTTCACTCAAAATGAAAACAAACTTGGAATAAGGGAGAAGATTCACAAATGCTGTACCATTTTAGTGTGAGGCATGATTGGTGTTGTGTTACAAGAAATCTCAATGTTGTCACCTTAAAAAAGTAGCTTATTCATAACTAAATATTTTCGAGAAATGGTAAAAAACTCACAAGAAATTAAAGATAACAATGGCTTTCGACAGTAACTGAAGGGTTCAAAACAATATAAGTGTGTGAAAATTTGTAACAGCATTATGTAAAGCAATATTGTAGTATTTTGTAGTATGAGGGAGGATGATCTGTGTAGGCAAGTCTAAAATTCATTAATTAGCACAGAAACCATTATGAAAAATACTTACACAATTCAACTTTTTCAAAATTTCCATGGACACTATTAAACTATGTTTTCTTTTCTCTGACTAAAAAGAACAAATTATAGATTGTTGCAGTAACTATATACATTTTTCTGAAGCCATAGTTGAATGTACATATCTATTCATATATAGATTAAAATTAAAATCGTTCTCGATAAATAATAAAGATATTTACCTCTAATACATTAGTAGCTGGTAACTGCAAAATGAATTCTACACACTGTTTATAAATCTGAAACACATTTTTTTTTATTTATTTAAAACTACATACTGGAATAAGCAAAAGTATACTGAAACGTTGCAAACATTTTTATAGACAATAAAATTCACAATAAAACAATATAGAAGAAATACTTACATACACTACTCTGCTAAAAAATGAGGCTGGAAAAGTTGACCACCATAAGTCTACAAACAGAATAACACAACAGCATTGAAATAAATACATAATAGTTTTATTTTATCATCCAATATCGCTATCCATAGATAATATCACTTATAATTTATTTTAATAATTAGATAACAGGCCTTTTGACTTGTAGAGCAATATTTAGATGACAATGCCCACCCACTCTACATTACCTTGTCTTTGGCTTCTATATATAGCATTAAAGGACAATATGGGTGCCACGGCCATTATCCCATATGTGTTAGAACTGGTTAAACACATTCCAAATATAATTTGAACACAGATATCATTGCTATGATAGATGCATAACAAAGATTTGAAGAAACGGAAGTAATGCAAAAAAAACACGACTAAAGTAACAAGCAATATCAGTTAGACAGATTTAGCTCTTACATAATGCAGCTTTAATGTTATTACTTACCTATAACTTTAGAAGCAGCTTTATCTAGACTGATTATAGAATGACCTAATGGCACTATAAAACTACTATAATACTTGGGTTGATCAAACAGATGGCACTCTGGTAACATGAGATATAGACGTAAGGCTTCAACATCAGGTGGGGAAGTAGGTAATCGTCGAATTAAATCGTGTTCTAAACATTTACAGATCTGTAAACAAATCAAATTATGGTAACATGTGCCTTGGATGGTAAATAACATAATACAAGAAAGTGGATCTACTAGTACTATAAGATTCAAAATAGATATAAAGATACTTAAAGTCTTGATGCATCATTTAGTGCTATAGAAATTCCTTTCAAACTACAATAAGTTTAATCTCTAATAGGAATATTAGTCCAATAATGGTTCAATTCTATTCAGTATTTACAGAGTTATGATAAATTTAAATTTGATCAATCTATGCTGCTCTAAAGCATAACATGACGCCGCCATCTTTTATTGGTAGTGTAGAAACCTAGTTTAAATCCGATTGAATCCAAGTCAAGCGATTATTTAGCATTAAAGTATTTTGATGTCTTAATTAAATGTTAAATAATCAATCTGAGTACATGTTTAGAGTGTATTAAGCTGTGAAAAATTTCATATTTCAGCGGGAATGCAAATGACACATCAAGACTTTAATTATGATTGTGAAAAAACTAAGACATTCTTCGAGTTGGATTAATTCAGAACAATAATTTCTTATCATTCGATTCTTGAAGGCTTGTCCTTAAATTTCATATTTTAGCGGGAATGCAAATGACACATCAAGACTTTAATTATGATTGTGAAAAAACTAAGACATTCTTCGAGTTGGATTAATTCAGAACAATAATTTCTTATCATTCGATTCCTGAAGGCTTGTCCTTAAATTTGTTGATTGTTCAGTAACAGTCAAATGACACACGTGACAAAAACCATGCCCAAACATACTTTTGTAATCCGATTACCAGATTTTAGATGAAATTTTTCATAAATTATTTCTTTGATGCATTAACAGAGTATAGTAAAGGCACCGTCAGCTGTGCACTGATGTATCACCTACGCATTTATGTATAATAACAGCATTATTTAATAATGCCAAAATAACATTTGCTGTTCTGTTTTGAAAGAAAAACAATGTTTGGTTGTATAAATTACCCTTTGTATAATTATCACATTTGTTGCTTTGGACATTTCATTAAATTCATTTCGTACTGACATTAAATCAACACCATGATTTTTACTACTGCTGCCATAATGTTGCTCATTACTGAAACAAATTATATAACAAATTACAATTGTTCTGTATTGTATTAAACTCAAGCAGTTGCCAAGCAAGATATGCCCATATTTTGCAACAGATGGGCCGAGAACAGGGGAAATCAATAGGGCTCATCCTCTCTTTGTCTCAATGCTTCACATCGAATTAGATCGTTCGTTCGTTTCTGGGGTTTTACGTCCACTTCCACCTAAGGTGATATCGTAGACAATCGAATTAGAAAAAAGTTATAGCCTTTATATGTTTTTGGAAAAGGGGGCATAACTCTGAAATGGAAGGTCTGATACACACCAAATTCAAAGTTCAAACACATCTGAGATCTTTTGATCGTTAATATACTTTTAAGTTTCATCTAAATCAACATATATTTCACATTTTGTATAAACGGAAGGTCTGATCATCAGACTCTGATGCACACCAAAATCGAACTCATCCAAGATCTTTTGATTCATAAGTTTTACACGCAAGAAACATTAAATGGTATAAATGATGGTTTCATGATACCCCTGACTTCGTTTTAAACCACTGCTACTACTGGTATCCAATTTATTACTAATTGCAGTTGAGCCCCAATAAAGTTATTTAAATGGTTAAGGATTCCTTTCCATCTTTATTTGGATTCACATGGAAATGTGGGTAAATAAAAAAAATGTGAAGAGAAAAGGAATATACTGAGACAGGAATTTGGGTGGTAGAGTGATCTAACTGTGTCTTGAATTATAAGATTTGTCAATGATATAACCCTAAAATAGGTATGAACATGACTAGATGTAGGGTCACCTGCACACCTTTGCCGGTTTATTCTTGTTTCGATCCACTACTAAATACCTCTGCGTGCTGCGCAACCAAATTATTAATGTAAATATTTAATATGTGTTAAGTCTCTACGTCAACTAGTTTGATTTAAGCGAGCTAATACCCATTATACTAATGAAACTAACTGTGTCCAAATTGTGGGGGGATCTGTCTTATGTTTTTCAGGAATGGTTTCACAGAAATATTTAATCTGTGAAATAGTAATAGTAAAAATGTTCTAAATTTGAATTTTACCTTAAAAGAAATGTTGCATTCAAACATGATGCATTGGAAAATATTTTTGTTAATTCTCTGTAAATAAAAAAAATAAAAACAATGTGTACAATTTAGTAATGTATGTGCAAATTAAGATAGAGACACAGATGTTTTTTGCAAATTTATACAAAATAAATATTCAAAACAGTAAAATATAAATATATTTTGTTATTTTAAAGATATAAAAGGATTATAAAAGGATATAAAGATATAAAAGGATATATTGTGTTATATTAAAGATATAAAAGGATATATATTAAAGATATAAAAGGATATAACCTACTCAGATAATTCCATAGGAATTGTATCTGCTGACTGTAGTTCACACAATTGTTTAATATGAGCAGACGTGAGTGAGAGAATTTGACTTCCAACAGCTAAAACACGAAAATCAACTGGTTCTTTATCTACCTTTAAAATAAAAACAAACTTGCCTTATTAGTACATATTCAAGAAGAAATCTAGAAAATGCATGAAAATCTTTTTATTCTAGAATCACGGGTCTTGTAGGTATTCATGATTAAACCTCTCCTAGATTGGAAGAAAGTCCTTCATTCCTTAACAAAAACAATTAACACAGCAACAAAAAGCATTTACCTTTGTGTTTAATGGTATGACAAAATTTGAATCACCACCAGCAAATATTTGTTTAATTATCACAGATTTCTTGTCTTCATCAACTTGCATACTATTTACAGTAGGTTGAGGTATAAATGGCCATTGCACAGGAAATGGTGAACTTTTAATGTCTGTGGATCCATTACCAAGTTGACCAGTACCACCTAGTCCGAATGCATATAATCGTCCACTACTTCTTACAAAAGCTAAGGTATGTCGTCTGCAAAGACAGATATTGAATAAAAAAACATATTTTCATACAAGGATGTTGCACACCAGGGATGCTACTTCGCCATTTATTCCGGACATGTCCTACACGATTATCCGAACGCAAGACCAGGAATATGCCCAATCCGATATCAAGATATGGTGAAAAATGTTCAAAATTCCAAAATATATTGACTGTATGAGTGTATAAGTACTACTCATCTCGATTTTCGTAGATAATAGGCAGGATTGTTTAGGTAATTAAGAGTGATCAACCCTTTTATGGTGTTAAACACCTACCTTAATTGATTAACTATTTAATCTGCCTTGATTGACTTTCTTAATCAACGTAATTTCCTTTACATTATAATCCTGAAAACAATTTGTGGTTTCTCCTTTGTCGGACATTTTAATCCCATTGATTGTCGGTCGATGAGATTAAAAGTAGTCAAAGATAATAAACTTGTAAGCTAACCTTTAACTGTCATTACTTTCAAACAGCAATTTTGATAATCCCGAAAATATACAAGCTCGATAATTATTCACAACACAATAACTTTTATCAGTAGCCATGTTTTCCCACCTGGCACACAATTTGCCATCACACAATATTTTAATCATTTTCTTTTCACTGGACAACAAAATATTCTGTAGGCTATAATCATACGAAAGATAGGTTGCCAGGCAACGAAACATACGCCCACAGCAGCTAAATCGTCCGGGCAGTCAACAAGAGTTGTCGCATATTTTTACTTTTTTCGGTAATGAAACATTTATAATACACTAAAATCTGATTAAGAGCAACAACTCAGAAAACCATTAGAATTTGTTTGGTTTTTATAAAGTTCTGCCCCATGCTAACGTTTTGTATACTGTATCATGGATTTAGCTGTTCCAAGTCATAAAAATTCATTGAAAATCAATATACTTGTTCGTCTCAAGATCTTAAACTCTGTGTATCAATCTGAAGTCAATCGGATATTAACTTTGGCCTCTAGAGCGTCCACAAGATTTTTCGAAGTGATCAAGGGCCATAACTTTGGCAGTAATTATCAGAAATCTTTGAAAATCAATAGGATTATTCGCCTTGTGACCTCAAACACTGTGTATAAATTTAAAGTCAATCAGATATTAACTTTAGCCTTTAGAGCATCCACAAAGTTTTTTGAAGTGATCAAGGACCATTTCAATGTGGGCGTATAAAAATGTATCTTTCCGAAGTGTGGACTGTTATTAGCTAATACACAACAGTTTAATTTTTCTCCACTTAACAAACTACTTTGCTGCTAAAATGGCACTTGGCCACGAACTTGCATTGCTTTCTACAAAAGCGAACTAGAATGGTTCATTTTGGCGGAGAAAACGAGTCACATATGTGCAAATAACAATAATATGGCGACCATGCCTGCCTGCATTGCATACAGGTGTCGATGCTACACCGATGGAATTTTAAAATACAGTTTCAAAAAGAAGACAAACAATGTTTCGGCATCACAAACTATTCTTATCACAGACATTTTGCTTTAATTTTCTCCCGCATAAATGAAGACACATAATTTCGGAGGAATATTACTGGTGTGAATTTTAAACAGATATGGGTTGGTACGCTTTCATTCTATAGTATTATAAAAACACATAATTTTGTAGGAGTAGTACTGACATAAATTTGTATCCTGTTACAGGAATGAAATATGAAAAATAGTGAGGTGCACCTATCTTTTGGTATTGAGAACAGGATTCGATATGCTACATAAAAATATTTCTAGTTGAAGTCTATTAAAAGGGAATGGAAGCTATTTCCTGAAGCTGACAAATGACTTTTGGTGACCCAATTCTGGTCTCTATAGGTAAAAAAAAAAAGGAAGCCATAAAATGTCGATGAGTTGTTACCTGCCAGTGGCAATCTGTGTGACATCACTTCCCATTAGTTCCATAACTTGTTTTGGTAAAACTTCATTCTGTGCACTACAATGACCTAGCTGACCATAGCTACCAGCACCAAACGTAAAAACACCACCACTCTGTAAAAGTAACAAATAAATAAACACAACAGAAGCTTGGAATTGTTTTTTTGTTTCAATTACAACAGCATTGCTTTAGTTATCTAAACTACATGTAGTAAGTCATTATCATTAGAACAGAAATGATGCAGTAGTTAACTGTTGCAAACTCAATGTCAAGTCTTTGAATTGTATACACTAATGTCCTTTTAATATTAATATTAGTAATAGTTGGCTAGCACAGGGTAAAATTCTTCTTACACAAACAAATCTGATTCAAATGTATGAATATAATAGACCGTCTTCATTAGCCAAATCAGAGCAGAACAGAAGGACGTTAAATCCCATTTCATTTCATGAATATAATATCGAATGGACATGTCACAGGAACAAAGAAATATTTTCTTTTGCCACCCTTCAGTATATAATCACAAGATTTTTTTCAATTTGTGGTCAGTCCTTTTAAAACAAGAAGTAAAACATTAACCTGGATATTGAAATAATTAACAATAAATTTAATATCGGTATTTTCAACGAAACCGTCAAATTTGGCTATGAAGTAGTAAAATACCCGTCAATTTATAGTGACATACCAGATTTCACGCTATATAGTGTTTTCTATTCACAGGCATTACAATTTTTGACAATATGTAACAATAAAAAAACTATTTCTTTCCAGAATAAAATCTCTTTATTGTAAGTGCACTGCCAAAGGCAGTATACAATTACGCATTTTAAAAGAAATTTCGAAACTTTCATTTCTTCAACATACTAAGTTTGACATTTCTTAAAAGTATATAACCGACTACATATTGGATAATGATCTAATTTAATATTTATTCTAAATTTTCTGTAGTTTCTTAATCGTGTCTGGATTATCGCCCTTATTTTATGCCTTTATATAAATACACCTTCATAGTACAATTTCTTCAACATACCTGTTTTGCTTTTCTTGTAGGGGTATTACATATTATTATATTTTGTGCAATTATATAGCTGAATAATTCCGATTAGTTCCTAAATCGATAGTTTATAAAACTTTTGGCTTTATCTTATTTTGATTATCGCCCTTTTTTTATTGTGGTTTTAATTACATTTTCAAACTTCTTGTAACATATAGCAGATCATGACTCATGCTAGCATTACACAATGGTTTCTCTAGGTTATATTCCTGATTGTTTTCAAATTTGAATGAAGTCTGTATCACTACAAGCCGGGGACTGTACAGTGCAGTGTAAATTATGTGTGGTGCAGTCCCCCTGCACTTAATAATAGATACTGCTGTATGGACTAATATATTAATAACAAATTCCTAATATAGGCCAAGTCTACTTCCACTAAAAAAAATATGAATTCTGATTCTACTGATCTAATAGCATGCATACACCAAGGAATATTTGTCAGCAATTGGTTTGCGGTAATGTATACAACCCGAAAGCCTGTCCCCATGTTTCTCTACTAAAATACAATATATTGCTGTAACACCATTAGGGTTACATTTGATTGTAGAGATAATCTATTTATTCCTTTGGTGGATGCCGATTTAATCAGATTTGTACAATAAACTCACTGTGCCAGTACACACTTTAATAGACATCACCATAATGATGACTGCAATCTGGAAGTCTGAAATGTATTGTGTGTTTTGCCAGACAGCTTGCAAACGACAAGACAACATGATGAGTAATGGGCGAGTAATAATCCTTGTGAAGGCCTCAGATTAATCGTACTAAAACTAAATTATATTTAATGTAAATTACTACCTGTGTTAAAGCTGCAGTATGATCTTCTCCACAACTTAAATATTTTATCTTTTGATTTCTTAATGATTTACATAATGTGGGAAAAGGACGGTCTGCAAAATACAATGTTGAAATTCAAAGCATTATTCTTTTTTGAAGAGTTATATTCGAATAGATCACAAATCACAGAACCTTATCCAACTACTTTTGAAGATGTGTAAATTTTAGTTAAATTAATAATCTTACCTCTTTCATCATTAACACCCAACTGTCCAAAACTATAAATATAAATAACATTTGTTTTGCTATAACTATAACAGACTAGATTTATCAAAATTTCAAATATGATTTAATACTACAGTATAAATTTAATCTATTACTAAATATATCTTAAAACACAATAAATTTGGTTCTAGATTGCCAGACAACAGAATATACAGCTACAGCAGCCAATTCATTTGCATGGGTCATAAATGTAATCACATACATGTTATTGTTTGTAGGTAACAGAGGCACTTAAAAGACACCAGAACCTGATCAATGGCAACTATGTACCCATGAAGTAATTATCAGAAACAATTAAAAGTGAAAGTCTTTTTATTCTTCCTAGTGCCTATATCGTACTGGTACTCTCAATATTTGTAGTCAACAATTGATTCACATTATCTTGATGTCTGATTTTTGCCAGTGCAGGCAGACAAGTCCGACATATATATACTATTCAAAAAAAGTAGGGGATATTTGATTTTTAAGTGTTATTAAAGTCACCTAATGAAACTGACGAAGAAACAAATGACAAAATGAAATGAAGTTCACATTCATCGATTTATTCCAAATGATCGTTAGACTAAGTAAGGCACAGACTGACCATTATAAGGGTAAAATGATACCCGGGGTCAAACAGCAAAGTTACCACAGCATCACAACCAAGTCAGTAACGGGTAAATCCTCCTCTGTTTGCCAAACAAGCATTGATCCGACGTGGCATACTCCTAATGAGACGTCTAAGGTCATTTTGGTCCAGATTGTCCCATTCCTGTTGCAACGCAGCAGCAACTTCTTGGACATTGGCAGGACGTTGTTGACGTTGACGTAACCTCTGTCCAAGCATGTCCCAGACATGCTCGATGGGGGAGAGGTCGGGACTCAGTGCTGGCCAAGGTAATGTGGTGATGTTCTGTTGTTGGAGGTAACCTGTAACGATCCTGGCCCTGTGACATCTTGCGTTGTCATCCTGGAAGATGAAACGGCGGCCATGACGTCGTGCGAACGGCACAACATGGACTGCCAAGATGTTGTCCCGGTAGTACTGGCCTGTAACACGCCCTGCAACAACATGTAAAGCCGTTCTTCCAGCAACAGTGATGCCTCCCCACACCATAACAGAACCACCCCCAAATCAATCATGTCGGATGACGTTAACGTCTTGGAAGCGCTCGTTTCGACGACGCCACACCCTCCTACGTCTGTCCAAAAAATCAACAGTGAACCTTGACTCATCTGAAAACATCACATTGCTCCAGCGTCGATTATCCCAGTGTTGACGATCCCTACACCAACGACGTCTTGCCTGAATGTGATGATCTCTCAAACAAGGGATCACGCGAGGACGTCGGGCGCGAAGGTGACCCCAATGCAGTCGATTCCGAATCGTCTGGCCACTCACTCTCACACCAGTGTCTGTTTGAAGACGAGTGCTGATCTGATTTGCTGTGATGACACGATTTCTCAAGGCCAAGGTACGGATAAATCAATCCTGGGCTTGAGTTGTCGCCCTTGGTCGACCTGAGCGTGGTCTGTCCTGTACAGATTGTGTATCACGGTATCTGGACCATAGCCTGCTTATGACAGACTGAGAAACATTCATCGTCCGCGCCACGACCGCCTGTGTTGTGCCGATCTGTAGCATGCCAAGGGCACGTAACCTTTCATTTTGGGTAAGCCGACGCATATCAAAATTTGTTTTCTGGTCACTAAAACAATTAAACTGATGTTTCCACCCTGGAATTCAATGCCACAATGACTGTAACATTCAAAGTCAGAGTCGTGCAAATCTTGGGTTGGACCCCCATGATGATCCCAAGCATCACCTGCATTCCATGCGGTAGCTATTGGTGCGTTTGGGCGTCACATGTAACTGGAAATGCTTCTTCTGTTAGGTTCTATAGTGACTTTTTTCGTAGTCATTTGCATATTTTAGTATTATGCCCCCAAAATCAAATATCCCCTACTTTTTTTGAATAGTATATATAGATGAAACAGAATTGATGAAATCAATAGGCTTCTTCATCTCATGAACATAAATGCTGTCTTTATCGGATGATAACATCATTCTCTAGAGTGCCCAAAAGTATTTGTGGATGATAGGCAGGTGGAGGTGATGACTATATACAACTGCATTTCAATGTAGGTAAATAAAAAGTATTTACCTGTTCCTTCCCCAACCAAAGACAGCACCAGACTGAGATAATATAAAGCTATGATTGCCGCCAGTAGCTATTTGTGCAACTGGTATACCCTTTAAACACTCTATAAACTTAGGACTTGCTCTATAACTTATATTCTGGTCACATCCTAACTGACCATGATTATTGGCACCCCAACTAGCTACCAATCCCTCTGAAAAATGCCAATCAAATTAAAATTACATATTTGTATATTAATCTAATTTCTTTTCATGACACCAGGCCTCACACTCTAAATCTAAAAAAAATTCTTGAAAGGGAACCAGGGTATCAGATGTTTGTGGTTCTACATTGGCAGGGGGAAGATGTATTTACAAAGAACATTTAAGTTACTAACTCTATAGCATTTTTCAAACTATACCTTTTCCTAATATGTTAAAAGTGTAAACAAATTTCACAATTTTCGAAATATATTTGACTGGCAAATGGTTATTTTTCTTTTCAAATATACTCTAGATATACATTTTCCCGCTTGTGATGTACCTATCATCTTTATCTATATAGTATCATACAAACAATATCTATATACTGACATATTATACTTTATAATATTTTGTTCTGTAACATGTATAAACATGTATTAATGCAAATAAAAGGATTTCAAGTTTTACAAAGTTCAAATGCTTATAATTTTTATCAGGAGGATAAATTGATATGTATCTAAATATACTATTGTTATTACTGTGCATGCAAAGAAATAGTAAAACTGACAAACTACTACTTTTACCTGAAGTCAGAACTAAACAGTGATTATTACCACAAGCTATCTGTAATACAGAGTATACTGCCAATGTTTTCACTAATCTACAAAGGATATAAATAGATAGAAACATCATATAGAGAACCAAAATTTAACAAAAGCGAAAGCTATTCCAAACATTTCCTTAGTTTGCTTATGTTCATACGTTTTGTTCAATTACTTTTCTGAGATCAGTGAATAGGTCTAAATGTCGAAGGAAAGAAATGAATCATCATCAATTGATAATCAAATGAACATAACCCTTTAACACTTGGTACGTGTTAGAGTACATGTAAATATACCTTAACAGTATTACCCTAGGGCTGTCCAAGTGCTAAATGGATAAATAGGTCTCTTTTCTTTATTTCAATCATCTGCTTGTGCATGAACAGAGTGGCAAAAACAGTAACAAACTTACTTTGGTGTTTTTTGTTGATCTTCAGCAATACCTTCTCTTCCTAACTGACCAAATGAATTATCACCCCATGTAAAGACTTCTTTAGCTGTAGTTAATACCATGCTGTGTGATAAGCCTGCTTCTACTTTTAAAACATGCTGTGACTGTATCTTATCCACTTGTTCTGTTTTTTGAAAAAAGATCATAATGAAAAAAGACTCTTATTATTATACACATACCTCATACGATCCTGTCTTTGTTACCCCAGTCGGTGAAGAAAAGTTAGATGTTAAACCCCATTTCATTTCCTCATAATATACATCTAACATGTTAACTGTATATCCTTTAACTGTTATTAAAAGTGTACATTAGATAAATCATTCTTTGCTTCAGTCTACCATAAGTGGGAGGCACTGTGGCTCAGAGAGTAAGGGGCTCAGAGAGTAAGGGACTCTAGCTCACTAACCAGGAAGTCTGGATTTTTCTGCATGATTTCCCCTGTCAACTGTCAAGGAATAGCCGATTAGCGTTTTGTTGTATGGATGGAACAAAAAGCAACACATAAAAAAACCTTAGTAGTTGGAATTTGATGATGAATATGGTAGGCGAAAACACTGCTCTCTAAGAAAAATTTCTTTAATAGGGTATACTGCATGGATGGTGTATGCCTGTCTTCAATATATAGCCTGGTTCTTTCAAGAACAATAAGGAGGACATCATTCATTAACAAGTCTTACAAAAACTGCCAAATATCATTCACAATGGCAGAAAATTTAAAATTATCAATGCAATATGCTCTGGACTATCAAGGAAATATATCTTTAATAATGGGATCAACTTGGCCTTTTCAAAGTATTTATATTTTACCTAATCGAGTACATTGTGTATTCCGTCCAAGTTGTCCATGGTCATTATTACCACAGCTATAGAGTTTACCATCAGCTAAAGATACCAGAGTATGTTTATCACTGCATGATAAATCAGTTATGGGAGAATTAAATAATGTGGGCAACAATGATGGTAAAAATAAATTTTCATCCACTCCTCCAACACCTAACTGACCATGATCTGTTTTACCCCAGCACAGTATACCAGTCATTTTGCTAGCTATATTTCACACATTTAATCTGAAATATGATTAAATTAAACAGTTAAATAACATGCATTCATTCCAGACAAGACTATCCTTACGATAGTATTCTTGAGTTAAATTAATTACATCCTGAAAAAAGCCTATGGTTCTTCTTATTAATGGGAAAAATAAACTCAAAGACTGTCTCTTAAAATATGCTTTGTATTGCAGGTCTGTTGTATTGAATTAGAGCAGTGATGAAAGTATATATTTTAATAGTACCCTGCTTTCTTCGAAGATCGAGGGACAATGAACAACTTAGAATTAAGTAAGGGTTCAAAATGCATAATATATTTTGGGACATCTAACCTCTTGTGTCATTTGATTGTATTTTACCATGATACAAGATGTTTTGATACTTTTTTATGATATTAAGGGTGTTCAGCAGTCTAAAATGCGTATTTTAAAACTAGCACTGTAAAATTTTTTTATAAGATATGACATTTTGTGTTATTTGGGGTGACAACTACATATTAATCACCAGAAAAATACCAATTTTATTTACCAACTATATTCCAATCTTGGCCCAAAAGCATGATAATAACGGGTGCTGATGACAACAAAAGTCAAATTTTCTCAGTTATGCCTGCATGGATTTTCATCAAATTTAGCATGAACAATGCTAATTGCAATTCCAAAAAAGCCACAGAACAATTTTTGGCTATAGGCTGTGGTTTGTCTGGCATCCATGAAAACACCAAACCAGCGGTTGCCAGGCAAGATATGCCCACGTTTTTCGTACAATCAGGGGCCATAATCCAGGAAGCTATGGTCTGGACTTAAATGCACGAATATCGAAATGGACTGAGATATTTTAGATATCAACCGTTATTAGGGTGTAACGATGATACATTTGAACGTTTTTTAAAATCGGATAAAAATTGTGATTTTTCGAACAATCAGAGGCCATAATCCAGGAAGTTATTGTCTGATCTCCGCAAATATCGAAATTAACTAAGATCTTTAGGTTATAATCATACATTTCAAGTTTCATCAAAATCGGATACAAATTGTGACCTCTGGAATGTCCACAAGCTAAAAACATGATTTTTTGTACAATCAGGGGCCATAATCCATGAAGTTTCGATCTGATACATGCCAATATCGAAAGGAGATAAACCTATATTTCAAGTTCCGTCAAAATCGGATAAGAACTGTGACCTGTAGAGTGTCCACAAACAAATCGTGGACGGACAGACAGACGGCAGGGGTGACGACAATATATGTCCACATGAAAATGTGGGCGTATAAAAATGATGAGGTTTCTTGGAAATTCTATTAGTACATACTAAAAAGAGATATCGATAATATGGTGTGTATTTTACACATGGAACAAGTGTGCAAAGTCTTAATAAGATTGGTGTTGAAAAGTGCATATTTTTTTAGACAACTCATGGATATGACAAGACTATGAAAACTAGAAAAGAATGGAGGCCTGATGTGTTATTGTTGTATCTTACAATGTTACTCTGATTTCTATATCTAATTTCTAAAATTTATCTGTGACTATAAGAATCAACAATAACATTTTATTCAAATTATTTACTGTAAGGTTTCCTAATGACTAAGTTACACTTTCAATTTCATTTTTACTTCCTTGCACATCTAAACTGGTTACACAGTGCTAAATATATTGTTATCCTATTTGAAGATATCTATCTAAGACTAAATATTAGCCTTCTATAATAATTATATAACTAATATGGCAAACACTCTGCCAGGTTGTCATATAAATTTATTATATATTAATACATCACCATTATCAAATTTCTTGGCATTGCCTTGAAGAGGACTGTAGTCGTTAACCTGAGTAGGAGCTAAAATTCGCACCGGTTCCGTTTGGGATAAGATCTTAGTAGATAATGAATTATAGGGGTCTAAGTTACAAAATCAAAATTAGGACTAAAAGTAATAAGAGTAAGACGATATGATTAATATTATTATACTTATTAATATTATACATTCATATAAAATCAGTCACACATAAATGACATAATGAATCGTGACACTGTACCTAAGCAATACAAAACAAACAAAATCTTTTTCCAGACCTTTATTTCATGTTGTTGTTGAATGTTCTAGAAATTGTAAAATCATACATTATATTGGATGGCTTTTTATTTATGCCTATAAATAAACAGAACCTTGCGGATGCAATCTCCGAAATTTTGGCCTACCAAGAATTGACGTATTAGTTATCTCCCCTTCGAATTGGTGACTTAGTTATCCAGTTTGTTGTTGCAAACTGTAAGGTCAAAATAAAAATAAAAAACCCTGTGTCGACTTACGGCTTACCCTAGCCAAAATTGCCGACCCTAGAGTTCTTCTCTTACTCCCAGGCCGTAGATAACAAACCTCATCTCTCAACCCTAAGCACATCAGTATATCTCAACGTTTTTATATAGGTACGTTCTCGTAGTATAGCATTATAACTATATTATAACTCGGCCTTATCCATGAAGGTGTATTATTTTTGGATGGCCGAATGGTTAGCACGTGCGCGCTGTATCATAAAGCCTGTCATTGAGTCAACTGGCGTGGTTTCGAATCTCCGGTTGTACGTGACAAGTCAGGGTCGCCTCTCCAACCTCGTGGGTTTTCTCCGGGTCCCCCAGTTATTTGCTCCCACTGCTAAAGACACCTACGCACAAGCGAATTATTGAAATAAAATTTAAAAACATATGTTAGTCCCGAAATAACCTAGTTTGTGTCGAGTGGACGTTAAACCTCATTTCTCTCTCTCTCCCTTATCATGATTTTCTTTGGATGTCGATTTATTATAGTGATCCGTAACGGTAGCACGATTTACACCAAATCACCCCAAATCTACCCAAAATTCACCCATATCCACCATTATTTAACCACGTAGCCGAATATGACCCCTCGTTTATTTCAAACAATATTATGTCAGATATCAACCTGAAATTGGGAAGTTTGAGTTCTTATTAAATGGGGGTTGTTCTCATGGGCGTGGATTTAGGGAGGGATGGGGGGGACGGGTCCGCCCCCCCCCCCTTAGAATCGGAAGGGGGAGGAATAGGTCTCTGCCCCCCCCCCCCATGATTTTGATCGCCAGGACAGATTTTCAGGTTTATATCCACATGAATGTCCCGTTCTGAAAGCTATCTAACCACTGCCTTGGCTCTCGCCACAGTAGGCTAATTCATCTTCACGATATCTTCCTCCTTATCGTAGTCAATTTTACCATATCGTCATCATATTACCCCTAGTTACAGCTTTCATCGAAATAATTAACACTGGTAAACTGTTCGTAATTATTATTTGGGTTTGGTACCGGTAATGAAAGGTTCCAAGGTTCGTCCGCCCCCCCCCCCCTCAAAAGTTATGACAAATCCACGCCCTTGAATACCACCTTCCTGTATATGCACGAAGGCACTGTAAAAATAGTCCCACGGAAAGGCTGTTTGTTAGTTAAACAACAGCCTTATTTCGGTCGAACATAACGTCATGGGGTGATTTTTGTCGCTCAACTGTGGAAGGCTGCATTTCCTTATTTTTGCAGCTACGAACCTGACATTTTCACAGCCACACAGGAATACATGCAGGGTGATTTCCTGAACATTTCAGCTTGATAGCTCCAATATTTAAAAAAAAAAGCAGGGGGATACACTACAACAGACTGAAAAAAGCACGGCATTGCCAATGAACGAACCCTGCCTTAATTGGTCCCTTCTAGTCCTGGTACCTCCTCTGCAGAGGCACCTCCCCCAATTACAGCCTTCTGGCATTAATAGAATGCAATACAGAGCATTTAGGCCTACATGGATGACACTATGATGCCCGAGAAATGACATTTTGTCAAATTTACCATATTTAGTCCATATCTCTATTTTGACTGAATCTAGCAAGCTGAAATGTTCACAGCATACTATGGGGCGCCGTTTGTAAAATAATTATTTAATTTTTTTATAGCAAAAAACATTAGATTTAACGCCGAATATATATATTTAGATAAATATTAGAACAAAAATGGCATATATGTAAATATCAAAAAAATATTGTAGCTAAAAGTCGAGTTTTTGGTCTATGAAAAACTTTAAATGTTATATCTTGATTTCACATCGCTTAATTAAATATATAGCTAAAAGTGCTGTTTTTCGTAGGTATAAATGCTAAATACTAAATCACTGAAAAATCTAAAGTTAAATATTTAGCTAAATATATAAACATTTAGCTAAATATATAAACATTTAGCTAAATATATAAACATTTAGCTAAATATATAAACATTTAGCTAAATATATATATATTTAGTTAAATATATAAACATTTAACTAAATATATAAACATTTAACTAAATATATAAACATTTAACTAAATATATAAACAGTTAACTAAATATATAAATATCATGCTAAATATATATGTTTAGCTAAATGTATAAATATTTAACTAAATATATATTTGTGGTCCCGCCAATATTTCTATTATCGTAAGCGACACAAAAAACTGCGCATAAAATGATGACGTGTACGCGACACGTGAGCCTTGGCACAATAGGCCTACTAGCAATTAGAAATGGAAGCTGACCACGAACTGCAGTCAATGGAAAGTTGTACACTACGTCCTACTGTTCTGCTCCTATACTGGGCTAATGAAGACGGGCATACGCCATACAGTGTGCTATGAGGGAAATTTTGTCCAGGCAGCGGCACTATCGCCTAATCTTATATCGAATTCCAACTGCCAAGGGATCTTTTACGTGCATTCCAATGTTTAGACGGGACCTCGGTTTTTCGTCTCATCCGAAGGACTAGACGGCTGTCCTTGTCAGGCCCTCCGTCCTGCATCACTGACAAGGGGAAACCACGTCGGAAAATCGACGTCGGAAAATCGGGATGAACTTTCTCGGCCAATGCTGGGATCGAACACCCGACCTCCAGGCTAGCGAGCCAGCGCCTTACCCACTTAGCCACCGTGGCTCCCTTACAACAAGAATTATTTTACAAACGGCGTGGTACGGTTGCGCTTTGTAATTTAACTATGTTTAGCTAAATATATAATTATTTAGCTAAATATATAATTATTTAGCTAAATATATAATTATTTAGCTAAATATATAATTATTTAGTTAAATATTTAGCCAAATATATATTATTTAGCTAAATATATATTATTTAGCTAAATATATATTATTTAGCTAAATATATAAATGTTTAACTAAATATATAAATGTTTAACTAAATATTTTAACATTTAACTAAATATATATTTAGCTAAATGTTTAAACATTTAACTAAATATTTAGCTAAATATTTATATATCATCAAATCTCTTGTTTTGGTCTTAATATTCAATGCTAAATGTTAAATATGAAAATAGAGACAAATCAAGAAATATTTATATATATTATGTTAAATATTGTGTTTTTGTTGTATTTTTAGTTTAAAAATTAAAAGTGAAAAATTTGCACAAAAGTCGAGATTTAACTATATAAATTTAAATTAAATCTAGTGTTTTTTGCTATATAAAAAGCTAAATAATTAATTTACAAACGGCGCCCCATACACAACCACCTCGTAATATAGCGTGATTCTCTCAAAATTCCAGCTTCCTATTACTTCAGAAATTAAGTAAAAATGTCAGTGCTGAGATGTTGCAGAGCAGAAATGACATTTGCCCCTTGCACGTGCGCAATGCTGGAACCAATGGTGTCATGACTACCAAACTCCGGCTACATACTAGTCACGGCACTGCCAAAGTACCCTGAAAATTGCAAGGCGATATCTCCATTCCTTCAAGGCGTTCGTACTTGACACTGTCATCTCAAATTGGTCACGTGACGCCATTTCCGCCATTTGCAATTATACCGACCCATTCTTTTGCTTAAATAAAGAAAATAACACCCAATATTCTTACTCTTTTTATTGCAAAAGGATCCTGAATATTTCTAAAAACTGTCATAGTTGTAGCGTTTGGAATTATTAAAATATATAAGCAAACATAATATAGGCGATAGTCACACGACGGGAAGGTTGATTGTTAGTCTAACAGACTTATTTCGGTCAAACATGACGTCATGAGGCGATTTTACGGAAGACTTCCTGGGGTAGATTTAGTTCAAGAATACTTAACCTGGGTCCAGCCAGTGGGCCCTTATGGGCGTTTGAGGCGTGATCGACCCATTTGGCTAAAGTCTAGGTGGTAGGCATCCCAAACTTAGGCTGCCTGTCTACAGCTAGCTCCGCCTGTGAACAGGCCCTAAGCTAATTACCAGACATTTTAATTCCTACATCGACGATTTTAGTCGAAAACACTGAGTATGCTTTTAGTAATTTTTAGAAGTATTTATTTCTCTTCTATTGTCATATTGAATGAAATTAAATATGTTTATTTAGCCGCTGTGTGTATGAAAGATGTCAAACTAATCAAAGCCGAATCACAAAATAGTCCTCTAATTATTCAATGGCGGCGCCCATAAAAGGTAATTTCACAGAGGCGGTTTTGTTTGCGAAGACAAATTTAGGAGTATCTAACCTTGTTTTGAAAGATAAACAGATTGAAACTCTAAAGACAGTTAACAATGATAAAGAATTTATTGCAATATTACCCACTAGTACATATTATATATCGTTTTTACCGGATTGGCAGAAGTTTACATTTTGCTAAAGACACGTGTTTACATAAAACACGTGCGTGCTCGGGTTATTTTTACTCTGTTGTGTACACAAAGCGTTAGTCCGGCCGATAAGTCCCTCCCCAAAATGATCACGTGGGCGTTTTAAATGGCGGCTAATTGGGGCAGTGATCATAATGACGTATGACGTAGATGGATATCGCTGCGTGCAGTTTGGGTGGTAGGACTACATGAAATTTTGGGACTTTTTCGATCCCAAGGTCAAAGATCAGGTCCCATTCGAAAGGTCAATGAAAATGAACTGTCCATCCATGGTCAGGACCTTTGTTTTACCAAGCGGGCCCGGGGCGGTAGATATATCGGTGACCTTGACCCTTTCAGATGACCTACCGGGGTCACGTGGTCCGGGATGACACGTCGGAAGGTCAAGGTCCGGTGGTCATGACACTATCAGAAGAGCCCCTAGGGGGCAAAAACCGAAATATTTCCGGGGCCCCTAGCGGGTCATGGTTGACTTTTGGTGTGAGATTTTAAAAAACAAATGTGGGGTCGGTCTATCGAGTCACCAAATCCCGGGCCGATCGGGAGACATTTTTGGGGGCAAATTTCCATAGGAAAATCAAATAGCCCAGTTTTTACTGGTTTGGTCAAAGGGAAGATAACTCGGTAACCCCGAACCGGATCTGATGACCTTGAGGTCGCGGCCTCTTAAGCTAAATCAACCCCTTGGAGTCGCGTGGTGACCTTGGTTTGACACTCATAGGTCAAGGCCAATGTTAAATGACCATTATGCGTCATTTTGACCCACTTCCGGTCAAGGGACCGACGTTGGGGGCTTCGAAGTATGGGGCCATTTTGGCCCACGGCTTCAACTTTTAGACCTCTCGCACTTCCGGTTCTGGAATTTGGCCCCAGTTTCTATGTATCTCGGGCACCGTAGCAAAACCCCGTGAACGCAGCAGGGTTCCATAACATGGCTCCTCAAGTCATCTGTATTACGTCTAGGGGCGTGCACCCTAGATTTTTTGGGGGAGGCATGACCTTAGGGTTCTGAACAAATAGTTGTTCAATTTTTTTCCGAAACACTCCCTGGAGAGTCCCAATTCGAATAAGTGAACTGGAGAAAAAGTATTTTTTTACGCATGCGTGAAGACCTAGCATTACCCTAACCCACAATTCTAGGCAACAATCACGTTCCCTAACCCTGTCTACATCTCGTGATCTTGGGGAAATCTGCAGATGGCCTTGGTAAATAGATCTACTATCTAGCCCCTATTGGGCATGATGGCAGTGTAGTGACCGACGAGGTTGTCAATATCTAATTTGGTCATGGTAGACTATTAAGAACTATTGATATTAGGCCTATAACTGTTACTTGGCATTGATATAAACTGAGACTTGTCACTATAAGAATCGACCTGAAATATCCAGGAACCTCATTTGGCTCGCTAAACGTGTTGCCGCTGGGTATAGTATTTCGTTCCAGTAGGCCCGGTACCAGTTTACTCGGTCTGGCCCTATTGTACGTCAAGACACCGTGCATATAAATTATCAATTCATTTAATCTTAAAGTATTCGCCTTCTACTCCGTGAACCCCAAAGTTCATCGTGTACGATAATCAAGTTGAAGTCTTCTGTGCAAACTCATAGGCCATAATTGTTTGATTGGTCGATGCAAGTTATGTTAAAGGACAACATTGGTGCCAGTCATTATCACATATGTGATAGAGCTGGTTACACACATTCCAAATATAATTTTAACACAGAGATCATAATTTTGCTACGATAGCTGAGTAATACAGGTTTCCTGAGTCGGAAGTGACGAACGCCAAAGGAAAACACGAGTCATCTCTCTATATAACTGACTAATGTGACGAATGATAACGGATATACGGGCGAATTTCTGCTCATTCACAATGACGCTAACTGTTTTTGATATGGTAAATTGTTTTAATGGATAGGTTGACCCCTATGACCTATGTATATACACCAAAATCACAGTTCTGTCATGCCAACGTGAACAATATTATGACAGTTTATATAGTTTGGTGGCTATTTGGCAATCATCTTGGATTTCAGGATGACGTCATGTGATTTTCATCTAGTGATTGGTTTTATTTAATGTATTGCTTGACCCCTAAATCCCGGGTAAAACACCTCAATTCCCCCCTAACATGAAAAGCAGTCTGTAATTTATTGTACACGAAGTATTCATATTTTATCAAACAAAAACGATGTAATATAGCATCCCTAGGCCTACTATAAAGCTATTATTTCATGAGTACCAGATTTGTCGGTCAATACTGGATCGTGAGAGACCCTTTGCATTAGTTTTCGATGCTGCTTAGGTAAGTAACCTGTTAATGTATAATGTCTTAACTCGAGAAAGTAACTAGCGGTTGCCATAGAAGATACGCCCACATTTTGCAAGAAATGGACTGAGAAAAAACTTTAAACGCGATTTTCGTACAATCAGGGACCATGGACCATATTTCATGAATATCAAAAGGAATCGAGATGTTCTAATATTATTATTATTATTATTAAATCAGTTAGATTTGTCTGATCAGGTATTGAGTGGATCGTGAATTTGCAAACTACAATCGCTAAAGAGAGATTTTCCTACAATCTGGGGCCATAATCTAGGATGTTACGGTCCGATATACGACAATATCAAAAGGAACCAAGATCTTTGGGATATAAACACATCTTTTAATTTGCATCAAAATCGGCTAAAAATGGTGACTTCTAGAGGGTCCACAACATTAGTATTACATACTTTTACACTATTAGCGTACGAAGAGCGGCCATTTTGTCGGGCAATTTCGGTCCGATTATCACGAAAATCGAACTCAATCGTCATTCGGGTGTAACGGTGTTTTATATTTGCCATAATTCAAGAAGTTAAGGTCCGATTACACGAATATCGAAAGGAATCGAAATCTTTGGGATATAACCATATGTTTTAAGTTTCCTCAAAATCGGAAAAAAATTGTGACGTCTAAAGTGGCCACAAGCTAAAAACGTGAATTTTCGTACAATCAGGGGCCATAATCCAGGAAGTTACCGTCCGATATGCGCGAATAGCGAAAGGGGACGAAATCTTTGGGATATAAACAATCGGATAAAAATTGTGACCTCTAGAGGGTCCACAACCTTGATATTACATTATACCCTTTGCATACGAGGAGCGGCCAGTTTCGGTCCGATTTTAACTCAATCTGCATTAGGGTGTAACGGTGATATATTTGAACAGTTTTTTACAATCGGATAAAAAGAAATTGTCTTCTAGAGGGACCACAAGCTAAAACGCGATTTTTCGCACTATCAGGGACCATAAGCCAAGAAGTTACCGTCCGACATCCGCCAATATCGACGGAAACCAAGATCTTTGGGTTATAAACATATATTTCACGTTTCATCAAAATCGGATGCAGTCTAGTTTCTACCAGCTAAAACCGTGATTGTTTGTGCAATCAGGGGCCATAATCCATGAAGTTACGGTGATATATTTGAACGGGTTTTAAAATCGGATTACAATATTGTGTCCTCTAGAGTGTCCACAGGCTAAAGACATAACCAGGGGCCATAATCCAGGAAATTACGGTCCGATACATATCAAACGGAACCGAGATTTTTGAGATATAAACCCATACTTCAAGTATTGTCAAGATCAGATACAATTGTGACCGACAGGCGTCCGGACGGACATGTGCGACGACAATATACGTCCACATGAAAATGTGAGGGTATAAAAAGTAAATCTTCACATGCAGATGGTTATGGTAAAACTATTAAAACTATTATAGATCCATGGTTCCCTGTAAAACTTTGATAACATTCCCTTTCAAGTCAACACGATCTCCCTGTAAATGGATATTGACATCTCCCCCTCTTGGAGAACACTGGCGAGCTGTAAAAAAAAAGGCATTACAGTTATTATTCAATTTGTCGGTAATTATATCCTCATGTTATTTTCATGGGTTTGCAATTTGAACTGAACCATTTTTCAGAAATGCAAGTATGGTCCTGACCGAACATCACCAATGAGTACCAATGAATTTATTTGTTGCGCCGTCTTTTTTTGACGGTACGGTGTTTTATATAGACCTTGACGACACTTGACTTTGGTGTGCCATCTACTGAATCGCCTATATGTGAAGAGGTCAGAACACCTCAACATCTGAGATATTCCACAATAACAAATCGTATAACAGACACTGTTAAAGTTTGAACATGTAAAGATCTAGGGAAGACCCACATTTTGTCTTACCATAAAAGTCTATTTTTCCTAATTTCTTTGACCAATAGTTAGCTAATATAGTATGTGCTGAACCTGAAAATAATTAATGGTAGATTACAAATAAAGTAGCAGTATAGCTTGTAGCTTTAAAGATGCATTATGTAAGAGCTAAATCTGTCTAATGCAGATCTGTCGTTTGGCCTCAAATTTTCACATGTCAAGCCCATAATTAACTCTCTAGATCATCGAATGTTTTTATTTCAACGGATTTAAACACAGTTAATAATTTTATTTAAAAATGGGTAATTGAGACTTTGTTTAATATCGTAGCAACGGTAATGACAATCGACACTACACTGTTCTTCAAACGGCCATAACTCCGTTTAGAATGAAGTAATTTGACTGAAATTGTCAACATATTCCTTTTTCATTATCTATTTTGTAACTATTATAGCGAGAACTGTAAGCTCTTTATCTAAATCTTACATAATGCACCTTTAAACTAATTTGAAAACAAAAATTAAGTAAATGGGTGGATAGTATTTTTTATATTATATAGTAGACTCACCTGTTACTGGGTCTTCATCAGCTCCGAGCCACGGGCCAAAAACTCGACTAACAAAATCATATCTATTACCGTCTGCATCTTTGAATGCGGTGTCGCCATCAGCGCTCATAGTAATAACAGCAACTTTCAATATTCCATTATCACCTGCTTTATGTATGGTTGGTATATCTGGCCGCCATTCTTCAAATTCTTTCCTGTGTTACAAAATGATACTGTTGCCAAAAACACAAATACGCCCACCAAAGCTTCGTGAACGGAGGAGCACGAAACAGTATTGTGCAACTCTGATTTTTGGGGTTTCTTAGGGTTTCTTAATTAACTTAAAGGACAATATTGGTGTCAGTCATTATTGCATATGTGATAGAACTGGTTAAATACATTCCAAACATAATTTTAAGACAGAGATCATTGCTACGGGAGACGTGTAACAAGCACGTGAAGAAACGGGAAGTGACGCCAAACATGACAAACACGAGTTGTCCTTCTATACCATAGACTGAAGTAACGAGCGGTAACAGACAAACGATCGAATTTCATTTCACTGATAATTCCGTTGAAGTTGAAAAGTTATTATATGGGACAGTGAGAGGGTATCTCACAATTCAAAAATAGAATTGGCTGTCACTAGATAAGGGACACGAGAAAAAGTAGAAAAATCCTGTGCATTCCCCCGTTTTTATTCATTCTGTTCTTAATAAAAACATGGTAATGCACAGACTTTTTCTAATTTGTTCGTTATCTTTTATCTACTGACAGCCAATTCTTTTTTTTTTAATTGTCAGATATCCTCTCATCGTCAGATATTACAACTTTTCATCTTCAACGGAATTTTCAGTGAAATGAAATTCGATCGTTTGTCTGTTACCGCTCGTTACTTCAGTCAGTTATGTAGAAGGACAACCTATGTTTGTCATGTCTGACGTCACTTCCCGTTTCTTCACGTGCTTGTTAGACATCTCCCGTAGCAATGATCTCTGTGTTAAAATTATATTTGGGATATATTTAACGAGCTCTATCACATATTTTATAATGACTGACACCAATATTGTCCTTTAAATGACAAGAAGACAATTGTTTTAATCGTTGGTAATGTATATTATATAACATAATTATAAGTACAAGTAACAAAAGAGCAATAGAAACATATCTATAAACTAGATAAACAAGAAATAAAATAAAACCAAGTACGAACAATCCAAACCATTAGACAAAATTCGAAGTCCTAAAAAAACAGTATAGGCAAAATAGTGTAATAAGGCAAAATAGTGTAATCAGCATATGGACTGTTCACCGTATACAAAATACACGACAAACAGTGGTAACAGGTGTCCGGAAGAGTAAGCTTACCCTGCCTGGTGCCACACCCACCATAGCTGCATCCAAACTATTAAGCGAAATCTCGGTAAAATAGCGTGATTGGCCAATGGACTATCGGTATGCAAAATGCACGTGATGAACAGTGTTAACGATGTAGTAGACAGACATTATCCGGGAGATTGAAATGAAATGAAATGGGGTTTAACGTCCTACTGTTTTGCTCCGAACTGGGCTAATGAAGACGGGCATACGCCATACAGTGTGCTATGAGGGAAATTTTGCCCGGACAGCGGCACTACGGCCTACTCTTATATCGAATTCCAACTGTCAAGGGATCTTTTACGTGCACGCCAATGTGTACACGGGACCTCGGTTTTTCGTCCCATCCGAACGACTAGACAGCTGTCCTTGTCAGCCCCTCCGTCCTGCATCACTGACAAGGGAGAACCACGCCGGAAAATCTGGATGAACTTTCTCGGCCAATGCAGGGATCGAACACCCGACCTCCAGGCTAACGAGCCAGCGCCTTACCCACTTAGCCACCGTGATCCCCCCGGGAGATTGTATACGCGTCAATTAAATATATCTAGAATAATAGCCGAGAGAGACATGTTATATTTACCAATCAAGTCAATATGACGCCCATAAAACTTTTTAAAGGTTTTAATAAGTTTAGTTCGCAAGTATCCCTGTAGTTGAAGCTAAGATGACAAATGCTTCGATCTACTTAAAAAATCAGAATAAAATGAACATTCTCTCGCGTAACGAATTAGCTGAGACACAAACACTCCATAAGCTGGTGATATTGGAATGTTACTACTAATAAATGGAAAGTTAACAATCGGAAAGTCAAAGTCATCACGTTTATCGTACAATTTAACACTAAGTTTATGGCAATTGTCAAAATCGAGACGCAGATCCAAGTAGGAAGCGTAATTGTCACTGTCAGTAGTGTTCTTAATTTCGAGCTCATCAGGATATATGAATTCTACATAATCACTAAATTTTGGATTATTCAGTGATAGAACATCATCGATATATCGATAAGTGAAATTAAAATGTCTGACTAATCGTTTATTTGATTTTACGAGTGCCTGTATGTAATCGGCTTCGTAGGAATAGAGAAACAAATCAGCAAGCAAAGGTGCACGGTTGGTGCCCATAGGGATACCTACCACTTGCTGATAAATTTCCCCTCCAAATTCAAAAAAGATATTATCAATTAAAAAATCCAACATCTGAATTATCTTGTTGGCGGTGAATTTATTTTTGGAATCACTATGGTTCTTAACAAAATATGTGGAATTGTAATTTACAACTAAATATTGATATCTAACATTTCCCGATTTAGATGAAAAGACACTATGAATAATGTCTTTTAACCGAGCTTTTAATGTACTATGGGGAATTTTAGTGTACAAAGTAGAAAAGTCAAACGTTTGTATAGATGAGATTGAAGCAATTAGAAATTAGGGGTTAAGGATATAATTGGGGGATTTAAACAATTATCTTGGAAACTCGCTTATTGGTAGATACGGATATCAAGCGCTGTCATCAAAAGTTAAAAATTAAAACAACGTAATATCGAACTGGTATAATATGCTGCTCGGTCAAAATACATTTTAAATGATATTCTAAATTTGATAGTATGGCACCTGTACTATTGACATAAATAAAAGCAAACTGAGAAATAGAAAAGCAGACGCTACCTTGTCCATCCTGTAGAAAGGACGATTAATACATAATTTAAAGATGAACAGTACTGAACTTCCTCTACATTAGGCAGATCTCCAAACGACTATCGAAATAAAGAACAAAGTAAGAAAGGGAATAAAACAACATGAAATATATATCGTTTTAAAAGAAAACTATTAGTTAGTACTTGTGACAGGGTAAAAATAACTGGTCTCCTGTATTTGCGTCGCATGACTAACTACTGCGTTGAAGTTACCAATTGCAAGTTACTATAGCAAATTGGTGGACTAAAGCATATTTTGTTAGCCAGATATAATCACGGCTGTAAATCTCAGGCTACTGTATGAGTTGGCATTATAACTGACACGTCATAATAATTCACACTTCTCAAAATTGCTCTGTTCAGTGATCTTATGGATACTTAATTCAATGGTCATACAAAAATTGCCTTGCGTAAAAACGTTGTGTAAAACATGCACAGATCATCGTATTTAAAAATCATTTGTTTAATAAATAAACAGGTAAATAAAGAATACAGATACTTACTGATATAAGTTTAGAATAATCTTCTTTATTCTGTTAAAAAATGTATTTTTAAAAAATGTCAGAAATTAATTCTTAATAACTTCTAATAATCACCATTGTTTTAAATGGTAAATGTAAGAAGCATTGCAACAAACTATGACTTAAATATTGTTAATAATTTTACAATGTCAGAAATGACGCTAGGCCCTATTTTGTCTGCTGTAAAGATGATCAGTCCCGTCTACGTTGCTGAATGACCATGCTAAGAGTTTCGATTGGAAAATGTTAGGAATAGAGTCAGATGTTTTAGATCCATATTTACCAGCGAAGGAGGGGTCCTAAATTTGAATTTTTCTTATCCCCGTTAAAAATCCAAAATCGATTACACATTAGATAATTTGTTTGCCGTGTTACCTGTGGAGTAGACACATTAACTGGGAGATTCATACTTATTTTGCTTCCTTCTTTTCTGACAACCAGGTCTCCGCCACTTGTTATAAACGTTATACCATCAGATTGGTTATCTGCAATATAGAGGCTTGAAAAGTAATTGCCAGTTCAACATAACCATCCACTCTTTACATAAGGTACAAAAAAAGTTCAAGAAGAGTGGGACAATAACTTCATATATAACTGAAAAAAATGCGTTCCAATTTTAATCATAAATTCAATGTTATAACACCTTCTACCTCGTGAATCAGCTCCAATCTATCCCAAAAGCTAGCTTCCATGACATTTCATCTTATTCGTGACAACTTTGTGGACAAATTTACGTTCAACTTCGAGCTTTCTGGGTTTAAATCGGATGAAGATGTCGACTACCACGCGATATGAGTGTCGTAAAGCATAAAAAGTAGGAACAAGCGGTTGCCATACAAGATACGCCCACATTTTGCAATAGATGTTGTGATTGGGTCATGACAATTTGTCGAAATCTATCGTTTATTACCATTTTAGGCGATCAAACATTCTAGTATCGTCAATATGTAAACTTCTAGTAGCCATGGAAACTTCCGGAAACATTGTTTAGAAACAACTGGAAGGTTCTGGATGATCCTAGAAAAGGTTGGAAGGTTCAGGGAAGTTGTGGAAGATTTGACAATGTTACGGAAAGTTAAATAAATTCATAAAACTATATAAGCCGGATCTGACCAGTCCTAGTACAGAACTAAACGTTTATCGTAAGTTTCTATTTGAACCACGTGGCCTGTTTTTTTCGATTTATTGCCATTTCGTGCTGTTGCACTAGTTATTGTTCTGTTTTGAAAGAAATGATCTCTCTGAGATAAATTATCTCTCTGTTTGTCATCCAAATTTAGGATTATTGTTGTGGATTATTACCAAGTCGGATTATACGGATTCAAGGATTATTCATCCTGTCAGATTTGGGTCATCAAGATCCTGTGTAATACTGCCAGATTTGGAATTACTACGACAACGCCGAGAAGACATCTGTAAAGGACTGTCGACAAACTACTACTTAAACATACATTATGCAAGAGCTAAATCTGCCAATTGCAGATCTTTCTTTAGACCTGAAATGTTATCTAAATTATTAATTGGACTTTAATTAAAGGAGCTAAATCGCTAACATTTGGGACCTAGAAATTGACAAAAGTGGGCCGCAACGCATATAATACTGTAATATGAATGTATATAAACTGATTTACATTCAATGGTTTCCGTTTTTACTCCAATTTCAAATCAGTTATGTTCGGCGAAATAAGCCAGCAGTCTCAAGCGAGTTCAAATTTCTAGCGTCTGGTTATTCCAGTCTACATACGCCGTTTGATTTGGTGCAATGTGTCTAGCCTCGTCCCTCGAGTCTCTTGATACAACTAGGGCTGAAGCGCATTATGGTACACGATTCGTGTACCAATGGTAAAATGTTTATTTTGTCTTAAATATTGGATATCGAAAGCCCATCTTTTTTCGGTAAGATCACAACATGAATGTTGATTTAATTTTACAAATAAATCGTGATTTCAATGTTGAAGATTTTGGATGATATTGAGTTGGAGACTTAGCTACTTTAACTTATCCAGACCATAATCAATTCTCGATGGCATCGCTAGACTGCGATATTTACTGGATTTTATCATCCCATTTTCTGCTCGACTTCCATTCATAATTTAATCATGAAATGGATGATCGAGACTATGTTTTTTATCGTACAGACTTTAGTAATGATGATCGAGGCTAGGCCGAAATTCCAATCGCTTAATTCCCGGTTCAAAGTGGATCAATTTGAGTGAAATTTTAAGCAAATTGCCTTTACATTATCTAGTTTTTAACTATTATAGTGAGAACTGTCGGCTCTTTATTTTATCTCCCATAACGTATCTTTAAAGCAGTAAAAGCACCGAGAGCAAAGAAGACTTCAACCGAATGCTGATAAAATTAGACTGAATACTGTGAGTAATCTTGTACATTGATTGTAATCAATGTTGATATATTTGTACAGTATTTATACTCATTTGTCCTAATATTATTTTATTAATTGTAGTTGTTATATTCGTATTTATACTATTTGTTCTAATATTATTTTTATTATTAAATCAGTTAGATTTGTCTGATCAGGTATTGAGTGGATCGTGAACCTGCAAACTACAATCGCTAAAAAGAGATTTTCGTACAATCAGGGGCCATAATCTAGGATGTTACGGTCCGACATGCGACAATATCAAAAGGAACCAAGATCTTTGAGATATAAACATATATTTTAAGTTTCATCAAAATCGGATAAAAATTGTGACCTTATGGTAAAAAATGAAATGAAATGGGGTTTAACGTCCTACTGTTTTGCTCCGAACTGGGCTAATGAAAACGGGAATACGCCATACAGTGTGTTATGAGGGAAATTTTGCTCGGACAGCGGCACTACGGCCTACTCTTATATCGAATTCCAAGTGTCAAGGGATCTTTTACGTGCACGCCAATGTGTACACGGGACCTCGGTTTTTCGTCCCATCCGAACGACTAGACAGCTGTCCTTGTCAGCCCCTCCGTCCTGCATCACTGACAAGGGAGAACCACGCCGGAAAATCTGGATGAACTTTCTCGGCCAATGCAGGGATCGAACACCCGACCTCCAGGCTAGAGAGCCAGCGTCTTTTTTTTTTTCTTGTAAGTATGTTTATTCATGAACTACATAATCATAATACACTGTACATACATTTTAATCATGGAATAGCACAAAACATTCTTAGTTAATTAAAAGCATTATTTTTGTTTATCTTATTTTATTTATTTATTTTTAAAAACAAGAAAAAGGAGCCAGCGTCTGACCCACTTAGCCACCGCGATCCCTGACTTTCACCACCTTTGTATTACATGCTTATTATACTATTGGCGTAAAGGGGAGCGGCCATTTTGTCAGTCTCCGGTCATGAAGTTACAGTCCGATACATGCCAATATCGAAAGGTACGGAGATCTTTGGGATATACATGTAAACCTTTATCACCCAATAACACATTCTACAGTAGATATGGTTCTTTTTTGACATTTTCGACTTGTGTTGATATTTTTTGAATTCAAAAAAGACAAATATGGGATTCTATATATTTCAAGTTTCGACAAGCGGATAAAAATTGTGACCTGTAGGCGTATAAAAACTAAAACATACAATCACATAGTCACAACCCGTTTGACCTACAATGGGAATGTTAGCAATCGCATCGAAGGTCGTATCGGAGGACAAAGGTAGCATTGCTGTACATTAAATGTTTTGAGATAAAAAGTTTATTATTTACCATAATAACGTGTAAGTACTGCTCCTGTAGCCAGTGTTGCATGTCCGCATAATTTTACTTCACTTTTTGTCGTGAACCACCGTAGATTAAACTTATTGGCTAAAAGAAAATGACATATCACTAAAATTTACCCATTTTGTTTGTTATTTTGAGTCTATATAGCATACTCTTCATAAGGCGGTAAATACGATATTCCAATAATAGTGTAGTTTGCAAGAGCTTCCTATATCGCTCAAATCACACTTAGAGCGACCTTACAGGCATTAATGAAATGAAATGGGGTTTAACTTCCTGCTTTTCTGATGTCAACTGACAAACTGTCTCCATCTAGAAACGCAATTTAGGAGCCAAGACTGGTCGCATTTCATTGGGTACGAGACCTAAAATCCGTGACCAATTTGCGGGAAGTTGTTTTGAAGGTGGTTTCAATATGACAAAAACCTGCTGAAGCGATTAAGCTTGGGTGCCTCTCTCTAAAATGCTGACGGTAACCGCTGGAGGGCCAGATTCAAAATGGCGGTCAGATTAGGCGGGAAAATATAAAATTATTTAATTTAGTCTTCTGAGGTGTCTATTAGTATGTTTTAAGGGTCTCGAAATAGAAATATCATATTCAAAAATTTATCCGGCCACTTGTTTGGCCAATATGGCCGAAAAGGCCATTTCTTCCTAAGATTTTTTTTCATTTCAGCTATGCCCATGTTTGGTGTCAAATTGTATGTTTTCAGTGTCGAGGAATTCAATTTTGACCCGTTCTCGTTGATTGGAGTGATAGTTACAAATTGAGAGCCACAGTGGGGGTGTTCCCATCAAATGATCCGCAGCTAAAGAGTACGGATCCATAGCTGCTTCATAGCCTGATTAAACTTGTGCCATATTGTTTCTATTTACGGCTATCTTGGATTTTTCAGGCATATTGTCCAAACTAGTGGCCGGGTAAATTTTTGAATTTGATATTTCTATTCAGAGACCCTTAAAACATAGGAATAGCCACCTCAGAAGCCAAATATATTTCATATTTTTAGCGCCAAATTTGGCCTCCATTTTGAATTTGGCCGTCTAACTGATTCTGCCGGCATTTTAGCGAGAGGTACCCAAGCTTAATCGCTTTTTCATAGAGAAACTACCCTCAAAGCGTATCATTGACAGACGCGGAAGCCAAGAAATGGTCAAGCATGAAACGAAAAAACTTTCGCCGGCTACCAGCTGATAAGGAGTCAAAGGGAGAGTGGTACAAAATGGACCCTCAAAGTTTTGGCAAGGTTTATCTCTTACTAATGAGACAAATGTTTAATGTTTTGATGAATACGGATGCCTCATTAGTTGATAAATATCGTGGAATAGTGTAATAGTACGAAAATTCCATATTAATCTGACCAGGTCAACAAATATAGACAGACGTTTGGTGGTCTATTTTGTACATGCAGTTGGGGAAAATGGTTCAGCATGGAAATAAAAGAAAATCTCTCTATTCAAAAGTCCACATTCATAGAAGTTGCATATTTGTGATCAAATGACAAGCTCGTTGGCGTTGTACATGACTGTTATCCATGCTTGTTCACTAAAATGTGGATAAAAACTATAGACAAATAGCCAGATCTAGTTGATGAAAATAAAAGAACAAAACAAGTGTTTTACTTTACTTTAACACCATTAATGTATTAATGATGAAATCGCTCAAGAGCTGACAAACAGTGTCAGACAGAAGTCGCATGTGCACGTCCATGATCATGCACCCAGCGAGGACGTGTAGTGCATCGAACCCACCCTTAACCCGTTGTTTAGCTGTAGGTATCAGGGGCGGATCCAGGAATTTTTGCAGGAGGGGGTTTGCCCGGTTCCTAAAAAAATGTTTCCCCCCCCCCCCCCTCGGCTTGAAATATTTTGAGAAATACATGGTCTCTATAGTCATTTTGGCGTATATACATACACATTGATCTTTTTAAACAGAGAAATCCAACATCCTGTTTGACGTCAATTTTTATTATGAATCAATACGATGACATTGTGATTCAATTTTATTGATGCAAAGCCTTAATTGTGATATCACATATCATTATCTCGCGCTTTGAGTGCCCATCCCGTCGAACCATCTGACGATCAAGGATAAAGCACAATTTTCGACAGTGCCCTTTTTTACTGCCGAAAGTGCCTTTTCTCAGACTCAAATATGTCCGTTCCCAACCCGTTGTAGGGATCCCAAATGACTCAAACCATCGACTCAAACACACCAGTCTGGGAAATAGCTCTTGGAATGGCTACAGATGCAAGGAAATGACGGATAATTTCAAAATTCCTAGATCCGCCCCTGATTATGACACTTTTCTCATAAAAAAGTTTGGTTTACAAAAAATTTTATGTAGCTGAGCAGGGGGGGGGGGGGGATTCCCTGGGACCTTTTTTATTCAGACTAACCTGTACTAAAACTATCTTGTTCCTTTATTCTGGATAGGAAACCTGCAGTAGATCCCATTTCAGCAGAAATCTTCATCATTGTTTCATCCGATAAATTCTGTGAACATAGACTTTCATATGAAGCAATCGCTGATCGCCATTTTAATTATTCGGATAATTTTTGATTTATCATGGTTTAATCAACGCTAAAATGTACTCAGTTTGATTATTTTAAATTTACTTAAGAAAACATAATCTCCCGGGTTGGACTTAATGGGCCTACAGTGTGCTATGAGTGAAATTTTGCCCAGACTGTGTCGCTACGGCCTACTCTTATATCGAATTTTAACTACTAATGGATCGTTTACGTGCACTCCAATGTGTATAGGCCTACGGGACCTCGGATTTTTGTGCCATCCAAACGATTAGACACGCCGGAAAACCCAATGAACTTTTTCGGCCAACACCGGGAGCGAACCAGTGACCGAGCCAGCTATAAATATACATGTACTACTAGAGAAATTTTGCACGGAAAGCGGCACTATACATGTATATATATATATATATATATATATATATATATATATATATATATATATATATATATATATATATATATACGACCTAAGGATTATTTTACGTGCACGCTAACCTGTACACTGGACGCTTTTTGTGCCACCCGAACTACATAAGACACTGACTGACGTTGTCTGGCCCTCCGTTCTGCACTGACAAGTGGAAATCACGGTGGAAAATTCGGGGGAACTTACTTTATCGACCAACACCGGGATCGAAAAACGGACCACCTGGTTAGTGAGCGAGTCCCTCGCCCAATTAGTCACCGCACCGCGGCTCCCCGGATTTAAAACATAACATAACATAACATCCAAATTTATATAGCGCAAAATGAGCTTGCAAAGTTATACACTTTGGTTCCATTTCATCCATAGTGTTGTATGAACAGATGAGTTTTCAGTCTTGTTTTGAAAATGCAAACGGACTTTGATTCTTTTATATGAAGGGGTAGTGAATTCCAAAAATGAGCTGAAGAGTACTGGAATGAACGTTTGGTCATTTCTAAGCTCGTGGATGGTACTATTAAGAGATGTTTGGAAGATGATCGTAGACATTTTCCTGGAATATATGCGAAGATGAGATTTTTGATGTAGGATGGAGCATAGTAAGTTAATAGCTTTGTAGGTCAACATGAGTATTTTAAATATTATCCTTTGATGTACAGGAAGCCAGTGAAGGGTTTTCAGTATTTTGGTGATATGGGCCATTTTCCGAGTTCCAGTAAGTAGGCGTGCAGCCGAATTCTGAACATGTTGCAAACGTTGAATTTGTGATTTGGGAAGTCCGTACAGTAGCGCGATTTGATAATCCAATTTAGTGGTTTTAAAGCATAAATCAAAAGTTCTAGGTTTTCAGAGTTTAAATAAGTTTTAATTTTTCCTAGTTTATAAAGTTGATAATATGATGAAGAACAGGCTGTAGTTATATGGTTATCAAAAGAGAGGTACAAGTCAATAATGGCGCCAATATTCTTTGCTTTGCTTGTGGGATTAATGGTCTCGTCATCAGGTTGAAAGGTGGTTTGTTTAATTTTTTTCAGTTGGTGTTTACTTCCTAGAATACGAATCTCTGTTTATCTTTAGAAAATGAAGTGTCATCCAGTCATGGATTTCTTGCAGACATGTCTCCACATTTGCGACTGTGTGCGATTGGGATTGTTCTTCGAAGCTAATGTAAAGCTGTGTGTCGTCGGCAAAAAGGTGGATACTAAGACCATATTTCTGTGCGATTTTATTCAGTGGTTTGGTGAAGATGATGAATAACACCGGTCCCAAAACTGAACCCTGTGGGACACCACAGGGCAGGAGACCATCCTTAGAGTATTCATCTCCTATGCAAACTCTCTGTTTTCTATTTGTTAGATATTACTTTAACCAGCTGAAAACTGTACCACGTAGCCCGATTTCTGTCCAGAGAGGATCCAAGTGATCTTCCGGGTCCAGGGTGTCGAATGCAGCTGACAGGTATGAGAGAACTAATATTACGCAACTGCGCTTATCTAATTCGAAATAGATATCATTAACAATTTTGATCAAGGCTGTTTCAGTACTATGATATTCTTTGTACGTGGATTGGTAAGTATTGTCAAGACTAGATTACTCACAGGTCTGTAGTTTTCAAAGAGATCGGGGTCGAAACTGGCTTTCTTTATTAAAGGTCTTATAATTGCCTGTTTGAGCTGCTTTGGAAATATGCCAGATTTCAAGGAATTGTTAACAATTGAAAGCATGGATGGAAGAAAAACATCGATGTATTCTTTCAGGATCCAGGTCGGCAGCGGATCAAGACAGCGGATCAAGACTTTGTCTTTCTGTTCATAACAACTTCCTCCAAAGTGTTGGTGTCATACGGTTCAAAAGATTCTAAGACAGAAAAGGAGTTGTATTTATGTGATGGCACGGTGCTTCGGAGTATCTTCTACTTTTCGAGCATATGTAGTCTAATATTGGCAATTTTGTCATTAAAGTAATCTGTCTACCAGCTGAACAGGAGAGTTGTAGTCCGGGAGAATGTTGTTGTTATTAGATGAGTTAATAAGTGTTTTAGTTTTAAATAATTTTTGTGATCTTTTCCTCACTCAGCTACTTTCATATTATAGAATACTTTTTTCGATTTTTTGACCAGATTAGAAACAGCTTTTACTTCTTGTATATATAGATAGATCTTTTTATGGATATGGAGTCTTGTTTTCTTGCACAACTTCTCTGCCTTGCGCCTTCGTTTCCTAGCATCGCGTATCTCGCCATTGAACCAGGGACAGTTAGGTTTAATGAGAATAGTTCGAGATATCACGGGTGCATGTTTATCAATGATATTCTGTATAGCCTTATTATAATTTTCGATTAGTATGTCAGCGCCTGCTGATGGTGAATTTAGTATTGTTGAGTTTTTTATGCCCTCCGAAAAAACATTTAAATCAATGCTTTTGTATTGATTAGTTTTTGGGGCCGTGGTGGATGCTTTAATAAATGGAACTGTAAAATCGAGAACAAGGTGGTCACTAAGATGAGAATCTAAAGCATCAAAGTCAGTAATATAAATTTCACCAGATCTTGTTAGTATTAAATGAAGAGTATGACCTAATATGTGGGTTGGTACGTTGACATATGTACTCAAACCGAATGAACCGAGAAACTTAGAAAATTGTATTGCACTGGGATCTGACTGATTGTCGACATGAATGTTGAAGTCACCAGTTATTAAGAGTTTACCGGGTCTTAACACAAGACTTTCCAAATATTCTCCTGTGAAAAATTCTGATATTGATATTATAGTTTTGTTTTTCTTTATCAATGGGGGCCGATATATAACCACAGATCTTATGTATTCAAATGAGTTATACTGCTGTACCTGCTTTCTAACCGTAATAGAGAAATTAGACTTGAAAAGGATACCAACCCCACCTCCTCTACCTTTGCCGGGGATGTGTTCAAGCTTGTAGCCTAAGGCAAATAATTCACTGATAAATGTACCACTGGTAATACTTTTCAGCCAGGTTTCTGTTAGTAGTGCCATTTCACAACCACGGTCTGATAAATGTTAAGTGAGCTGAATTGTTTTACCATTAAGTGGTCGAATATTGATCAAGCATAACTTCAGACTTTTTTTGTATAATGATTTCTTTTTACAGCTCTACATCCTCTTTTCACCTTCTTGAATTTAAATATGTTAAGTAGTTTAAGAGAGTTAATCAGAGTAGTGTTCAGTTGATGACACTGTTCATTGTTCAAGGTGTAGAGAGTCTACGATGAATACACCACTTTATTAGCCATTAAAACACAACAACTTGGTCATTAACAATATCACCCCATTCAAATAAAAAAAATCAAATCAGTGCATAACACATAAAATATCCAAAAGATAAAAGATAAAATAGGAAAACTTTGAAAACTTTGCAGAGCTCTCAACTGCCGCTTCTCATCGCAACCGAGAACTCTGTAGATCTCAAGATTTCAGGGGATATTATAGGTGGAGGTGGGTGACAAATTTTCAATTCATCATATCTTTATAAATACTGAACGAAATTGAATCATTTATGGACGGATATTCCTTTTAATGTAGTTTGTAATGGGATTAAAAATCCTTCAAATGGTGATCAAAGACTTTAAAGAGCACTGCCCAAATGGAATTCTGTAGATACTATTTGAGTAATAATATTACTTACCAATCCCCATGTCAAAACACACACAGCTGCTGGATTTCCCGCAAAAATCGTGTCCGCGAACACATCCAACTTATAAAGTGTTATATCCGAATTTGACATTGTTAAAATCTGTGATAAACGAACAAAAAATATAAAAAACATCACTTGCCAGAATAACTTTACCAACCTTTACTTTTTAGGCGTACCCAATCTTTACAAAGAAAAAGAAAACAGCCCAATGTGACAAGTATGTCTGCCTGATGCAGTTAGCGACCTGCACCTCTTTATCCTTGCAATAACTTTCCTTTTCTTTCCACAAACAATATTTATTCAAATTGCTTTTCCTTAAACCCACCACTTACGCGGTACTTACACCACCCCTATGTCTTTAAAAAGGCATTTTAAGTTAAGTAGATTTTTATGTTTGGGATTAATAAACTTTACCCGCGGTGCTGAGAAAATACACGCAAGTACCGTAAATACGTCATGATTTGAACCCAGCATAGATGTAACACCGCAAACTCATCGTATTACTTCATAAAAATTGGATATCTCGCTTTAAGAAGCTCGGTGTGTATGTATACATGCCAAAAAGACGATATAGACCATGCATTTGATCCGCCCCTGAAACTTTTTGTTAAAGGACAATATTGGTGTCAGTCATAAATGCATTCCAAATATAATCTTAACACAGAGATCATTGCTACGGGAGATGTGTAACAAGCACGTGAAGAAACGGGAAGTGACGCCAAACATGACAAACCCCCAGTGGCAGAGCCACGCCCATTTTCTTTTTGTGTATCTGTGTGTCGCCTTCAGGCCACAATTATTAATCGATCGTCTTGAAAAAATTTCATATGAATTCCTTATACCCTAAGAATGATCCCTATTGTTTTTGGTGTATGCCGCCCCCCAGTGGCAGAGCCACGCCCATTTCTTGTATTTATTTGTTTGTCATCTACAGACCGCATTTCTTAACGTATCACCTTGAAACTTTGCAGACTTATTCCTTCTATCCTAAGGAACTTCCCTATCGTTTGTGGTGTATGCCCAACCCCCAGGGACAGAACCACGCCCATTTTCTTTTTGTGTGTCTGTATGTCACTTACAGCCTGCAATGCTTAATCGATCGTCTTGAAAACTTTGTTAATACTACTTATTCCTTATACCCTAAGGCTGACCTCTATTATTTCTGGGACATGCCCGACCCCCTGGGACAGAGCCACGCCCAATGTTTGTGTGCCCTTTGTGTCGCCTACTGGCCGCAATTCTTAACAGATCCTTTTGAAACCTTGCATACCTATTCCTTATACCCTAAGGATGCCCATTTTTTTCTTTGTGTCTCTGTGAGTTGCCTACGGACCACGATTCTTAATGGATTGTCTTTGAACTTGGGATATGTATTCCTTATAGCCTAAGGGCGACAACTGCATGTCCCGACACCCTGGGGCAGAGCCACGCCCAATTTTTGTGTTTATCGTTTACAGGCCGGAATTCTGAATGGATCAACTTGGTACTTGGCATATGTATACATTATAGCCTAAGGGCATCAACTATTGATTTTGGTGAATGCCCCGATCCCCAGGGGCAAAGCCACGCCCACTTTTTGCCTTTAGCGCTAGAAGGCCACAATTCTTAATAGATTATCTTGGAACTTGGTATACTTATTCCTTATACCCTAAGGACGGCAACTATTGATGTTGTCTTCAATAACAGGGTGGTACATTGTTTCATATCCAACCCTGCAATTCTGAATGGATCATCTTGGAACTTTGCATATTTATTCCTTATACCGTAAAGACAGCAACTATTTATTTTGATGCTTGCCCCGACCTCATGGGGCAGTGTCACACCCACTTTTTTGTTAGTATTTTGTCTGTAAATTTGGCAAAACAAACCCAACGCCTAGCTTTCTTTGCCTCTGATCATAATAAAGCCATTTCATATTTCATTCTCTTCATTTTAAAAAGTACCATATCAATCAAAGATGGAATGTGGACGTATATTGTAACGTTAGCGATGCTCTCGTATATTATTTAGTCGCACTATTTCTTTCGTATATTTGACTTTGAGAAGCACTGCATAAGTGTATCAAAATAAAATGATTCCTATGAATAATATTGTATTAAATAACCATATACGTGTAGTCAAAAATATCTGACCCTGACCTATCTGGGGGAAAGATCCACATATACCTCATCCATCAATGGCCCGCGAGAGCACCAATATAATTTGTGACAAAATAATATAACATACTATAATTCAATGTTACCTGAAGGTTAAAGTATAGCTACTGTGAGACCTACCTTTTTATAAAGAATAAAATGTGAAAAGGCTACCACTTCTTATCTGATAACAATGGGCTAATCATATGTCATAGCCTACTCTTTCAATAATGTCAATGGCTTCGCTGCGACCTCATTTTAAGTTGAACTACGACACAGGTTATCTCTCATCATTATACGCCCTCATTCGAAATGTGGACGCAGTACAGGAGGCAAGTATTTAACTCAATATTATCCACAGTCTTCGACATTGCAAACAAGGCTTATTTGTCAATTTAAATCAACATTGATGTTGCTATCTTACCATGAAAGAACAGGCTTCTGATATCCAATATTTAAGACAAAATGAAAAATTTAAAATTGGCACACGAGTCGCTTTAGAGCGCCGTTTGTAATGAGGCGACCCGATGAATGAGGCTAAACATACCCCACAGGAGAATATTAGCGGCGTAGACTGGAATAACAAGACGCCAAAGACTGCCGTTCAATTTGGACTCGCCGAACATAACTGATTAGAAATTACAGTAATACAGAAACGATTGAGTTTAACTTGTAAACCAGTTTATCTACATTCATATTACATTATTATAATAAATTATATGCGTTGCTACCCATTGTGTCCATTTTAAGGTGCCAAAGAATAGGGATTTAGCTCATCGTCGCACGAAATGGATGTCCTGAATTTGATAATTTCGCTTTCGAACATGAATGTAATATAATTTAGACACACTACTTAGTCCCAGCTTAAAGGACAATATTGGTGCCAGTCATTATCACATGTGATAGAACTGGTTAAACACGTTCCAAATATGATTTTATCACAGAGATCATTGCTACGACAGATGCGTAATCAATCTTTCAACAATCGGAAGTGACGAACGCAAAAGGAAAACACGAGTTATCCCTCTCTATAACTGACTGAAGTGACGAGTGATAACAGATACATGGGTGAATTTCTGCTCACTAATAATTCCTTCGGACTATTGAAGATAAGCATACGCTGTGCAAAGTGATATGACGGAAATTTCCAATGGACCGTGGCATTTCTTCATCGAATTTCAACTGTTAAGGATTTTTGTATGTGCACGCAAATGTGTACACAGGAGCTTGTTTTTTGTGGTTTTTTTTGTTCTATCTACAAAACCAGACACTGTTCTTTGCCAGACCCTTTGTCCTGCACTACCAAAATGGAGAAACCGCGCTGCAAAATCCCGGGGAACATAATCATAGTAGGCTATTGAGAGGAATATGGCCGATAATCCGACACTACATCACGATAACACATTTTAACCCGACGATACGACATTTTTACGCGACATTACATTTTTTTTAATGTCGTGGTGTTGGGTCCATCAAATGATCACAAAACCAGACCCAACTTTTCTAGAGTAAAATTTTGCGTAGAATACGACACCGAATGGTAATCAGTCCGCCGTTCGGGCGTTTTCGAGATATTCTGGGTCAAAGGTCAAATGAGGTCATTTGCACAGAAAGTGAATGCGCAGCCATTCTTATATCATGACAACTTGCTGAATATGATCGAGAGTAATCACTCTTTCAATAACCAGCGGCTGCAAGGCAGGATACGCCCACATTTTGCAAGAGATGAGTAGAGATCAAGCTAAAAACAAAAAGCATTTTTTGTACAATCAGGGCCCATAATCCAGAAATTTGTGGTCTTAAATGCGCAAATATGAAAAGGGACTGATATTTTTGGAATATAGAGATATGTTTTAAGTTTCATCAAAATTGGATAAAAATTGTGACCTCTAGAGGGTCCATAACCTTTGTATTACATACTTATACGCAATTTGCGTACAAAGAGCGGCAATTTTATCGGCCAGTTTCATTTCCATTTTCCCGAAATTCAAATTCAACCTTTATTATGGTGGAATGGTGATATACTTAATCGGTTTTAAAATCGGAAAAAAATGTGACCTCTAGATAATCCACAAGCTAAAAATGCGATTTTTAACCCAATCAGGGGCCATAATCCAGGAAGTTTCATTCGGATATGTGTGATTATCAAAAGCAATCAAGATCTTTATGATAAAAACATATAATTTAAAGTTTCATACAAATCGGATAAAAACTGTGACCTCTAGAGGGTCCAAAACCTTGATATACCATATTTTTACACTATTTGCGTATAATTTTGGTTCCATTTTCACGAAATTCGAACTCAACCATCATTACTAATTAGTGTATAACTGATATATTCACAAGTTTTTTTTTTAAATCGGATAAAATTTGTGACCTCTATAGGAACCACAAGCTCAAAACGAGATTTTTCGTACAATCAGGGGCCATAATTCAGGAAGTTACGATCCGATATGCGCGAATATCGAAAGGAAACAAGATATTTGGGTTATAAACATGCATTTCAAGTTTCATCAAAATCGGATCGATAAGCTAAAAACGTAATTTTTCGTACAATCAGGGGTCATAATCCATGAAGTTATGGTCCGATACATGCGAATATCGTAAGGAACCGAGATCTTTGGGAGATAGACCTATATTTCAAGTTGTTTCGTCAAAATCATATAATTGTGACCTGTAGAGTGTCCACAAACAAATTGTGGACGGACAGACGTCCGGACGGACATTGGCGACGACCATATAAACGTCCACATGAAAATGTGGGCGTAAAAAATGTAAACTTGCTAAATTCACCTTTGTTCTTTGTGACCAGGGAGGTCAAAAGGTCAAGTTTTGCACTATGAAGATTTAAAGCAATAAAATGTCAGCGTTAAATATAAAAACTAAAGCGAAACATGTTCTATTAATAATAGGAACATTAAAAACCTATCTGAAGGTGGTTTTTAGCACCGTACATTTACTTTGGAACGTCGAAAAAGATATTGCATAACAGAACCAAAACACTTCGAAACCCGTATCAAAAATACGTAAAAACTGTCAAATCGAAATCTCCCCGATTTAGTTGAACAACGATTGTTATACATAATGAAATTAGTTGTCCGAAAAATAATTGAATAGTTTCATGGTTTGCCTCCAGCCTGCAGGCCGCGAGAATTTCCGAGAATCCCAATCTTGGAAAACCGACGTTTATTCGTGACCGGAAAACACGCATCTGACGACTTGATTAAAAGTTTGCAAATTTTTTTTATGAGTTTTCATGAATTTTGCCGGATCATGGACACAAATAAAACCGACGGATGCATTGTACATAATAGCTTACGGGATATAAATGCCGTATTGGTAAATATTACCGGGTAAAAGTTTGGCAGGCTTCGTGGCGCGGCCTGCAGGCTGGAGACCAGCCATGAAACTATTGAATTGTTTTATTAGTGAGCAGAAATTCGTCCATTATCTGTTATCACTCGTCACTTCACTCAGTTATCGTATATAGAGGGATAACTCGTGTTTTCCTTTTGCGTTCGTCACTTCTGATTGTTCAAGCATTGATTACACATCTATCGTAGCAATGATCTCTGTGATAAAATAATATTTGGAACGTGTTTAACCAGTTCTATCACATATGTGATAATGACTGGCACCAATATTGTCCTTTAAATAATGCATATAAATTTTATACAGATCGGATGATAACTTTTGTCATACAAACGTTCACATGATAAAACAAGGACAATAACTCTAGAAATAATTATTGCAAATTGCTGAAATTCAATAGGCTTCGTGGTTTCACTAATATAAATGGTGCATATGAATTTCATACAGATCGGATGATAACTTTAGGCTTCTTCGTTTCACTAATTGAAATAATGCATATAAATTTCAGAAAGATCGGATGATAACTTTTGGCGTTAGAGCATTCACAAGGTTCAACAAAGTGAAACAAGTGCCATAACTCTTGACGTAATAAACTGAAATTCAATAGAATTCTTCGTATCATTAATTTAAATAATGCATATATACTCAGCCAAATTAAAAACTTGACACTGATGAATTTCAACAAATTTTTTTTTCTGGTAAGTCAAATAAATTTTAAAGTGTTTCTAACGATAGTAAGTAGTAACACGCCTTTAATTTCATATACGTGCTATAGGTAGGCTCTATGCTGGTCAGTCTGTGGTCACTGTTGCAAGAGCCTTTAATTGTTCACGCCAGACAATAATTAATCTTAGAATGGGAGTGCTTCAAACTGGAACTATTGCCGACCGCCCAAGGGCGGAACATACTGCACGCAGCGACCCATCTACGGCGACGTCTTCCTCGGGTAGTGTTTACTAATGTTCTGGGATCCATGAGAAGACGTTGTGTGGCAGTACGAGAGGCTAGAGGAGGCCACAACCATTACTAAACACTTTATTCCGATTGTTCTCCAAGTCTGTGAATTTCATTTTGGGGGGTACTGTGACATCACGAACGTTATCAATGTCAAGGACTTTCGGCGAGACGTATTCTTGCTTTCTGTTGATGTCAAAGTCGTCTGTGCACAACATAACACTAAAATAGTTGCCTTAAACCAAATATTAAAAATCTAGTCCCAAAAATCCCGAGTGTCAAAGTTCTTAATTTGGCTGAGTATATATTTCACACAGAGCGGATGATAACTTTTGGCATTCGAGCGTTCACAAGATTCAAGAAGGTGAAACAAGGGCCATAACTCTAGACGTAATAAATGGAAATTGCTGAATTTAATTTGAACAAAATGAAACATGAGCCAGAACTCTAGAAGTAATTATTGTAAATTGCTGAAATTCAATAGGCTTCGTGATTTCACTAATCTAAATGATGCATATAAATTTCATACAGAGCGTTCACAAGGTGCAATAAAGTGAAACGATTTTTGGATTTAGAGAGTTCACAAGGTTCAACAAGCCAACAGTGAGGCTGATGTCCCCCGCCGAAATACCGAAATAAAAAGATGACATATTAATTAATCGCACATTTATTTTTTTCAAAAGTATCAAGCATTTAAACCATACATTAAGTTTCATCATTCTCTACCAGACAGAATCAAGATTATCTTGTCCCAAACCATCGACAAATGAAATCAATTAGCTCTGCTTAGCTAGCGTCAGCTCGAAATGTTTATCATTGAACTCAGTCAAGACATTCACCTAATGAACATCTACATCAAGTTTAAACATTCTCCTAATGAACATCTACATCAAGTTTAAACATTCACCTACGCCAAGTTTAATCATTCTACCTCAATTAGGAGAGTTATTGTGATCCAAAGTCTCAACCAATCAAATTGCTTATCACTATCATTACTCTCAGCAAAAAATATTCATTATTGAACTTAAACAATACACCAAGTTTCATCACTCTCACTTAATTAAAACCAAAGTTATCGTGTCCCAAAGCATCAACAAATCAAACTCCTTACCTTAAGCAGAAAATTCTCATCTTCGAATTCCATCAAGGCTTTCGCCATTCACCTAATAGACACCTACGCCAAGTGTGAACATTCGAACTCAATTAGAATGAGTTATTGTGTTCCAAAGTTTCGACCAATCAAATTGCTTATCACTCTGCTTACCCTGAGCAGAAAATGCTCATAATCGAACTTAGTCAAGGTATTGATGTAATGAAACGATACACCAAGTTTCATCACTCTCACTTAATTAGAACTAAAGTTATCGTGCCCCAAAGCATCAACCAATCAAATTGCTTCCCCTAAGCAGAAAATGCTCATCTTCGAATTCCATCAAGACACTGACCTAATAAACACCTGCACCAAGTTTGACCATTCTAGGTAAATTAGAAAGAGTTATTGTGTCCCAAAAAGTGTGACGGACAGACAGACGGACGAACCCATTTTAATAGTCCCCTGCTTTCTTCGAAAGGCGGGGGACAATAAAGTGAAAAGAGGGCCATAACTCTAGACGTAATAAATAGAAATTCAAAGGGCTTCTTCGTTTCACTAATTTAAATAATGCATATAAATTTCACAAAGATTGGATGATAACTTTTGGCGTTCAACAAAATGAAACAAGGGCCGTAACCCTTGACGTAATAAACGGAAATTATTAAAATTAATTGGACTCCTTCATCTTACTAATGTAAACATATATCAATTTCAAAACAATTGGATCATAACTTTTGGCGTTTGGGCATGTACAAGAAATCGTGGACAATATACCTCCACATTTATACGTGGGCGTATAAAAATTGTGACCTTGAGAGGGCCCACTAGCTAAAAATAATCTTTTGTACAATCAGGGGGCATAATCCATGAAATATTTATCCGATACATGCCAATATCGAAAGGTACCGGGACATAAACATATATTTCAAGTTTCATCAAAATAGGATAAAAATAAAGACCTGTAGAGGGGCAACAATATACGTCCACATGAAAATGTGGGAGTATAAAAATTTGATAATGAAGAGGTAATATGTTGAAAATTTAGCCAAATTACTTTGTTCGGAGCGTGGTTATGGCCGTTTATAAAACATCATAGCTAAAGCTGTTACGATAAACAAAAGTCTTGATTATTCATTTTAAAATTAAATTCCATTCGTGTTTAAAATGTATTGAAAATCAAAAGCATCCATTATTCTCGAGTTGATAATGGCCTTGGCATGTGAATAAAAGTCTAATTATATAACATTTGAGGCCAAACCACAGATCTGCATAAGGCAGATTTATCTTTTACATTATGCAACTTTAAGTTTCATCTGAATCGCACAAAAATAGTGACCACGACCTTGGTATAACGTTTTTTTTTTTTTTTTTGGAACACTTTGCGTTAAAGGAAGCGGTCACTTTGATGGTAAGCTTCGGTCCTATTTTCACGAAAATTCTAAATCTATCGTAATTATGATACAGTGATACAATACGCCCACACTGGGCATTCCAAGAAACCTACCTTTCACCTGGATAAATTGTCTGGTGATCTGCTGACATATGCTCAGAATATTAGAAAGAAAACAACAAAATTATATTTCGATTAGATTTTTCTTGACTTTTTTAAAATTTAATTTTTTAACACAAATTGTACAATTATGAATACATGCATGATTTACAACAATGTCTTGACAACTGACGAAAAAACCAAAAGAAAATGAACGTTTATAAAGAGCTGTAAACATAGAAGTTTCAACAATATTATTCTCATAAAAAAAAAGGAGAAAAGTCCATACATATCATTAAATGCATGGATGATATATCATTCACTTGGGTATATTTTAACACACCATAATAAACAGTCAGTATTATGAAATATACAGTAATAAGATACTCAATCGTTCCCTGTTACATCATTATGCTATCGTTTAACTTTAATATTTAATACCTTTTTCTTTTTCAACCATTCATTTATTCAATTCATTTCACAACCAAAATACATACAATATGCTCAACTCTTTCAGTAACCTATAAATGTTGAATAGAATGCCCCTCTTTTCTCTGTTTTTAGTTTTAAATTTACTTACAGATCTTTGTAAACCGGTGCTCACCTCAAGAAATTTTTTAAAGATTAAGCTTATGCAAATTGCATAATATAAAATGTAAATTCCTTTTTCTTGCTGCGTTTTACATACATAGATGTTATAACAGGATTTTAATCAATTTTTGTTTTATATACTTGCAAGTCAATGAAAGTATCACAAAAAGTTTGAAATGATGCAACATTTAATCTTAATATAAGTGAAACAGGACTCTAAAATAATAATTCTAAAACTAAATTAAAAGAAGTTCACACTATTTATGCTAATATTTAGAATATCAAAATTTGCAATATTAAACAACTAATATTCAGAATATTAAAATTTGCAGTAATAATTCATTTTTAAATTAATAATGGCATAAATTATAATGGACATCAAAAGCAGGTTTCATTTCACAATAACTGTATTTTTTTTTGTTCATATGGTGTACACTACTGTCAATGGCAATATCTATACTCAACTACATTCAAAAAGAAATTTAAAAAAATGTTTTGGGAAAAAAAGTATGCAAGTGTTCATTTTAATTTTAAATTGTGACTTTACAGTTCTAAGAAAAATGTAAAATTGAATCTAACATCTACAGATCAAAAATACAAAAAGCTTTGTGAAATGCAAAAGTTGGAGAAAAGGGTATAAAAAATTCATTGAAGTAGAGGAATAATCAATTAGATTTTACAGATTAATGAGCAAACAAGGGATTTTTAACGTGAATTCATCATAGGAAAATATCAAGGTTTCAATGGGAATGGGAATTTATAACATACATTTATAGAACACTGGAAAAAAATTTAACCCCAGTTGAATACAACAAACATACATTAACAACCCAAAGTAGCAGTCAATTTATTTCTGCTATATTAGGGAAGAATTGTTCTATATTTTATAAAACAAAAAAAAACAAAAATTTTGTTCTTGAATATATAATAAAGATTTGTAACAGATCTATTGTTGCCAAAATATTTAGGCAGCTTCATGAATATAGCAGTTATTTCATATTATATGTCACACATACAAGTTTTAATATTCATCGAAATCATTCATTCATTCATATATATATTATAATAATAAAAGGACATTTGTTCCAAGGATTAAATAGCTATAGCACTAATGGAAATAAATTAGACTACATTTCTCTTTTAAAAGACAAAAATATAGAGACATGGAAATGTTTAAAATGTGCTAGTAATGCTGGTGCAATATCAATACAATGGAAATAGAGTTATCCTTTGATTTCAATTAAAACACCACACAAGGTAACCATTGCATGAATATCAAATTTGAAACGGAAAGGCTTTTTCCCCTTATAAAGTAATTATAGCACACACAATAACTGCGATGAAAAAAAAGAGAGGGAGCCAAAATTATTTTTAGTCGAGCGATACTGAGCTAGTGTATAAGATCTCTTATAGTTGGGAAAATGAAATCAAGCTCCTATAGAATTATAATCCGAAATATGTAGAAGTTACTCCATGTAAAACACAATTAGTATTCACAGCTGAGCAATTCTCCACAGATTCCATTGAACTCCAACAGATTGATCACAAATATTTCATAGCAGATCACTCATTAATAATATATATCACTGTAGAATAAAACACAGTGTTCAGTCCATAAAACACAGTTGGTAATCTTTATAATGGTAAAAAAACAAAACAAAAAAACCCCTTTTGTTAAAGCAACATCCAGTCACTGATAGATTGGGATAAAGTAGAACTAGCAAAGGTAGATTCATGTACAGTTCGGCCTTTGGCACCGGTTAACCAGTATATGACCTCAATACATACATAAATGTATTATGTGGTTTGGAGAGTTGAAGAGTCCAGTCACTGTAGCCCAGAAAGCTGTCTTTCCTGTTTTTCTTTTATTATTATTAGGTAACTGACTAGATTGAGTAAACTAAAGATTTAACAACAGAATTCCTTATCACAAGTTCAAGGACGTCATTGTAAGCACATAAAAAAAAAAAATAACATAATAAAGTGAAACAAACAACTTATATATAATATATTCAAAGATTCTTATATATATTTTTTAAATAGAAACAATAAATTACACCTTGTCGAGATCAAAAGGTAAATAATTTTAAAAAAAAAAGAAAAAAGAAATCTACATTTATCATGTACATGGGGTCAATAAGCAAGGAAGCCAGCTTCCTGTGGCGCACAAGTGACTGATCGACAGGGACTTCACACATGTAGCCCCTTCCATCCAGATTTTTTTTTTTTTTTTATCTATTTTTATTTATTTTTAAAAACAGCCTTTTTTATGCCTTATCTTTATTGTTAGAATTCAAAGCCTCCTTACGAGGTGGCATACGTTCATTCATTTTATCTAAACATTTAGCCTCTTCAAAACCACTGATCTTGTGCGTAGGAGAAAATCCACTCAAAGCTTAAAAAGCAAAAAAAAAAAAAAAAAAAAAAAAGTACAAATAATTTCAATAATGTATAGGTTGAACACAACAAAATATGAACAATGACTAAGCACAAGGCACTATTTCATACCATGTGTTTTGTTAGGTTAGTATCATAAGAGACAAGAGAGAAATGGGGTTTAACAGCCACTCCACACAAACTAGGTCATTTTGGGACTAACACATGGTACAATTTTATTTCAATAATTTGTGCGTAGGGGTCTTTAGCAGTGGGAGGAAACCGGATAACTCGGAGAACACCCACAAGGTTGGACAGTATCACAATGGATACATAGGGCTGTTGAAACTTTCATAAGGCAAGTATCTTGCCAACTTCTTCTTACACTGTTGAAATGAGGGTTCAACAGCTTTTATTTCATAGTATAATTTTAGGTTATAAAAATTTTTCAGCAGTCAATGTCTTAGATTGAGAAGCCACCACATATATTATATGCATATGTTACCACCATAAACAAATACAGAGAAATGAGCCAATTGTACACATTCATTTAAATATTTCATATTTAAATACTAATGTTTCATTTAACTAATCTTATGTCCCAAGTATTATCTAGGTTAAAATATCTACAAGCTAGTTGTATCTATTCACTTTGGTTACCAGGGCCCTTAGTAGATACCTCAATTTTGATTGGCTAAGCACTAAAATCAATCTAATATTATCCAATCAAATTACGAAAATTTGGATTTTTATCTTAGTTAAAATTTTGTGAAACAAGCCCCAGGTATATAGTATTTACATTGCTTTCCAATCACCAACATAAAAAAAAAAAACCTACCTGTACTAAGTGTTTCTTTACCCCCTGATAAAGCTCCTAGAGGCAATAGACCATTTGGTGTTAAACCTTTTAATTGTAGAACACTTTCACTCTCTTCTCTGCAATTAAAATTTACCATTTGTTAACAATATTTCTACAATTTTGTACTAACCTGATTACAGTTGCATCTTCCTGACAAGACTAATTTGGAATGAAAATAAAAAGCCTAGTTTGAACGATTTCCTGTGGAAAACTACAATATGTAGAACAGAAAGTGTTACCTATTTCAACTTTCTAGAGAAATATTATTAAGTTTCAGAATCTAAGCACACTCTGCCTCATACATAACAATAATCACTACCTATACGTAGCTCGGATTTGTGTTTGAATGGCCACTCAAGTTTCACAAGTCATGATATGAATAAATAAAATTGTTTTCATCAGAGTTAATGGTATATTCAGAAGAGAAATTGGTAAGCATGATTCTTTGAAAATTTTAAGTCATTCATTATTGAAACTAACCGGAGAACTGTGAACACTCTAGCCATCTTGCCAATGGCTCTAATTTTGTTTCTGATAACATCTTTTCTTGCTTCAACTGCTGCAACTGAAGAATAGAATGGAATATGATCAGTTAGGATGGAATGATGCGAATCAAAGAATACATAATGTCAATTCTGTACATCTATCAGTTGACTTATCACACTAAAAGCCCATTTGCCTATATAATGTCAATAATTGCCTTGATAGACAGCAGGCATTATAAAACATAAAATTAGAAAACTGGAAAAGTCAAATTTGTATGAAAAGAAGTTTCAGTAAGCGGTTTACGGCTTTATCAATAAATCTGACTGTGTACATAGTGCTTTTATCTATATCTTTTAACACTAAAATCTGAAGAAAGTCTTGTTTTGTATCTAAATTAAAGGTATGACTAGAACTATGTAAGCGTGATGTGATATCTTGTGAGCAATGATTTTCTCTGTTCAATGAGGTATTGTTAATATATGTTAATTACAGTTTAAACAATTCAAAAGTCAGAATTGATTAAACACTTTATTCCCCCCAAAATTTATTGCACCATCTTCTTTAAAATTTGTATCCATTTATATTTGTATCCAAGCATTACTACTGAGGTACATCTAAAGCTCTGGGATTATGTGATAACAAAACACTTAAACTGTTCTTCATGTGACATAGTTGACCTCAGTATTTGGCATTTACAAAGTGTTCGGCTATGTTGGTTTTTTGTTTTGTTCATTTTGCTTTTCATCCCAGAAACTACTTTTCAGATCATTCCAAATTCTCCTATTTCATAGGAAATGAAATGGGGTTGAATGTCCTACTTTTCTGCATCGACTTGGCTAATGAAGATGGGTGTATATGCCATACAGTGAGTGCTATGGAAATGAATTCGGTTATAGACATTTGGGACTAATAATGTTTTACAACATCGCGTGTTATTCCAACAATTGTATCACTCTTTAACGAATTGCATTTCTCAGGAATGGCTGAATACTTAGTTTGTGCATTCATAAATATACTAACAAATATTTCTGTTTACAATTAAATTACATTCTAATCTTTAAAATTTACTGATTTCTAGATATTACATTCCCACATTATAAATAATTCCGGTATATATATCTCACTTTTGTACAGCTAGTCAAAAACACCAGTCAAAAATACTTTACATCTGGGGAAGTAATGCAAACTGATTTTTAATACAGATGCAAAGTATCTATGGTTAGAGTCCTTATCCATATGTGAACTATATTAACATAATCAATAGATCATCTTTTCTCACTTTTGCACAAGTTAGACAGAAAGCTTATTAATTCTGACTTATTTTTAATAATTAACAAACGTTCTTTTATAGAACAGATGACCTGTTAAGGATTAAAACTTTGGCAAGCGACATCATAAAACTAAACTGATGCAGCAAGATGACAAATATACTTGCAAAATATAATAAAAAGATTGTCATTTAAACATCTTACACCACAGGAGCTATTACAGCATAAAATAAAAATATCTACATTCAAATATTTCAAATGAAGATCTAAATAACACCAATCCTTATGATCTACATTTTGAAAAGACCAACAAACTTTACAAAAGGCTTAGAAGTTACAAGAGGCTGGATTAATCGTAATTTATAATTTACAAGATTTTGTCAATTTTAAGTTAATTGAATCAATACAATCATAGAGATACGCTAAAGTTTTCTAATAATACTACTAATATACATGTAGTGACTATCAAATAAAGATAATGGATGACAAGCAAGCTATTCTATTAGAAATTTGCCTAAACTGAAAAATTAAATCAAAGTAAATATATACGTATCACAGCCTAATGACATTCCTGAAACCAGTTCAATACAAAATGTCTTTGTTTTACTACCATCAACACATTCTCCATAAATAATTAGAAATTTGATTGAAATTTTGTTTTCTTTCAATTTGACATGACAATTAGCTTAAAACTGGTTTTAGCAATGTCTCCAACAATCAAACTTCTAATTTCAACAAGCAATGCAAACTGTATTACTGTCGTTCATTTTCATTTCTATATTTTTAATGATTGTAGTTGACCTCCCATATATTCTTTTTCCTTTTCTTATCTTGAAAATACCATTATACATTACCCACCATGTTAACTTCTACACAATCAAAACAGGTAACAGTTAGCTTGGATTGTTATTACAGTAAGAAAGGGGGCAACTCACAACAACTTGAATATCATGGATTAAGGGATAATCTTTAGTTTTTGTTCAGGTCCGAGAGAAGAGCATAGGGGCATGCACATTACAGAAATATTAGTCAAGTAAGGACATCTAAGGTAAATTATCTTACAGCAAACCAAAGAACATGGTAGTTATGTTAACATTCTCAAACAGGTTTGGACGACAGTTGGAATTTCGCAGGCAAGCACTTTGTTTTGCAAGAAAAGTGCCTTTTACGAAACACCATGAATATCACTGGATTAGAATCAAGACAATAGGAGGCAGCGTACAATCGTTAAATAACAGTGGCTGTAGAGAAGTCCACTTACCAGAGTGTTTATCCTTTGGATCTAAATAATGCAGGAACAGCAGAAAAGGTAGAAAAGCAGAGGATATAGCTATCAACTTGTGTTGAAATGTCATTACCAAAAAATCCTATATCCTAATTTTTCTAAATTACTATTTGTATCCGGCCACAGATTTATACAAGTTGCACAAAATAAATTATGATTTATATTTGGATACCTCAATTACTACGTATTTAGTAAAAGCGAAGGTGTCTTAGTATTTTGTATTTGAAAATAAATGTTACGGGGAGAAAACAACTTCATAAAAATCTTAAATCTACTTTCTTTAACGCCATGCTGGTTTATCCCCTTGGCTCCCCAAAAGATAAGTTGACAGGCAACAAATCATACACCTGTAGCAGCTAAATCGTCTCAGCAGTCGACAAGGGTTGTCACATATATACTATTCAAAAAAAGTAGGGGATATTTGATTTTGGGGGCATAATACTAAAATATGCAAATGACTACGAAAAAAGTCACTATAGAACCTAACAGAAGAAACATTTCCAGTTACATGTGACGCCCAAACGCACCAATAGCTACTGCATAGAATGCAGGTGATGCTTGGGATCATCATGGGGGTCCAACCCAAGATTTGCACGACTCTGACTTTGAATGTTACAGTCATTGTGGCATTGAATTCCAGGGTGGAAACATCAGTTTAATTGTTTTAGTGACCAGAAAAATTTTGATATGCGTCGGCTTACCCAAAATGAAAGGTTACGTGCCCTTGGCATGCTACAGATCTGCACAACACAGGCGGTTGTGGCGCGGACGATGAATGTTTCTCAGTCTGTCATAAGCAGGCTATGGTCCAGATACCGTGATACACAATCTGTACAGGACAGACCATGCTCAGGTCGACCAAGGGCGACAACTCAAGCCCAGGATCGATTTATCCGTACCTTGGCCTTGAGAAATCGTGTCATCACAGCAAATCAGATCAGCGCTCGTCTTCAAACAGACACTGGTGTGAGAGTGAGTGGCCAGACGATTCGGAATCGACTGCATAGGGGTCACCTTCGCGCCCGACGTCCTCGCGTGATCCCTTGTTTGAGAGATCATCACATTCAGGCAAGACGTCGTTGGTGTAGGGATCGTCAACACTGGGATAATCGACGCTGGAGCAATGTGATGTTTTCAGATGAGTCAAGGTTCACTGTTGATTTTTTGGACAGACGTAGGAGGGTGTGGCGTCGTCGAAACGAGCGCTTCCAAGACGTTAACGTCATCAGACATGATCGATTTGGGGGTGGTTCTGTTATGGTGTGGGGAGGCATCACTGTTGCTGGAAGAACGGCTTTACATGTTGTTGCAGGGCGTGTTACAGGCCAGTACTACCGGGACAACATCTTGGCAGTCCATGTTGTGCCGTTCGCACGACGTCATGGCCGCCATTTCATCTTCCAGGATGACAACGCAAGATGTCACAGGGCCAGGATCGTTACAGGTTACCTCCAACAACAGAACATCACCACATTACCTTGGCCAGCACGGAGTCCCGACCTCTCCCCCATCGAGCATGTCTGGGACATGCTTGGACAGAGGTTACGTCAACGTCAACAACGTCCTGCCAATGCTTGTTTGGCAAACAGAGGAGGATTTACCCGTTACTGACTTGGTTGTGATGCTGTGGTAACTTTGCTGTTTGACCCCGGGTATCATTTTACCCTTATAATGGTCAGTCTGTGCCTTACTTAGTCTAACGATCATTTGGAATAAATCGATGAATGTGAACTTCATTTCATTTTGTCATTTGTTTCTTCGTCAGTTTCATTAGGTGACTTTAATAACACTTAAAATTCAAATATCCCCTACTTTTTTTGAATAGTATATATGCTTTTGTAGATCATAGGAGCATTTGCAAGACACTGATATCAATTTCATACAGATTGAATGTTCACAAGGTTCAACAAGCCAACAGTGAGGTTGATGTCCACCGCCGAAATCCCAAAATAAATAGATGACACATTAATTAATCGCTCATTTATTTTTTTTAAAAGTATCGAGCAATCAAACTGATTATCAACTATACACTAAGTTTCATCAGTCTCTATCAGATAGAATCAAAGTTATCTTGTCCCAAAGCATCGCCTAATGAAATTGATTAGCTCTGCTTACCTTCAGCTCAAAATGTTAATCATTGAACTCAGTCAAGACATTCACCTAATGAACATCTACATCAAGTTTAAACATTCTACCTCAATTAAAAGCAGAGATGTTATGTTCCAAAGTCTTGACCAATTAAATTGCTTATCGCTCCTTAGCCTAAGCAGAAAATTTCTCACCATCGAACTTAGTCAAGGTAATGAACGCCTACACCAAGTTTGGACATTCTACCTCAATTAGGAGAGTTATTGTGTTCCAAAGTCTCGGCCAATCAAATTGCTTATCGCTCTGCTTACCCTGAGCAGAAAATGCTCATTATCGAACTTAGTCAAGGTATTGATGTAATGAAACTATACACCAAATTTCATCACTCTCAATTAATTAGTACTAAAGTTATCGTGTCCCAAAGCATCAACCAATCAAATTGCTTATCTCTGCTTACCCTAAGCAGAAAATGCTAATCTTCGAACTCCATCAAGGCAATGGCCTAATAAACTTGCGCCAAGTTTGAACATTTTAGCTCAATTAGAAAGAGTTATTGTGTCCCAAAAAGTGTGACAGACAGACGGACGAACTCATTTTAATAGTCCCCTGCTTTCTTCAAAAGGTGTGGCACAACAAAGTGAAACAAGGGCCAATAATTGTAGAAGTAATTAATGGAAATTATTGAAATTCAATAGGCCTCTTCGTTTTACTAATTTAAATAATGCTTGGGAGATTACATAAAAAGCTGACAGTTCTCACTGCAATAGTTAAAAACTAGATAATGTAAAGGGAATTCTGCGAAGTTTACTGTATTGTCGATAGAGCGTTCACAAGGTTTAACAAAGTGGAACAAGAGCCATAATGCAAGAAGTTATTAAGGTTCAATAAAGTGAAACAAGAGACATAACGCTACAAGATTTTAACTTAAATTGCTGTTAAATAATGCATGTAAATTTAATACAGAACAGATAATAACTTTTGTAGTTAAAGCTTTCATAAGGTTAAGCAAAGTTAAACAAGGGCCATTACTCTAGAAGTTGAGTGAAATTTGATATGCTTCTTCGTCTCACTAATGTTAATATATATAAATTCAAAACTGATCAGATAATAAATGTAGTCTGTAGAGTGTTCACAAGAAATTATGGACAACGGACAGAGGCGAAGGCAATAAACCACCACATTTCCATGTGGGCATATAAAAATAAATGATTCTAAACTTATTCAGGACTGTAACATTAGCTAGAATTATCTTGACTGATGTTTATATATATATATTTACATACTATACTACAAAAGAACAGAAGGCTCATTCCAAATTCCAAATGCGAAATTCCAAATTCATGTCTTACCAATAAAATAGCAAATTGGCATCCCCCCTCAAACGAATAAATTTTTTAATAAATTGTAATTTTACACAACTAATTAGTGCTAGTTTACCTATCTGATGCCGAGCCAGATAAACACCCGTTCCAAATTACTAGATTTGAAATTCCAAATTTGACATAATTACCTGACATTACAATCATCATGGCTGCTAAAGAGAAAAGTGTTGCTGATGCTAATTTGCTATTTTATTAAGACATGAATTTGGAATGAGCCTTCTGGGATTTCGTACTATACTCTATTAGTCTCTCCGGCCTTTAAAACAAACGTTACAAAACAAACACAATACATAGTCATTAGAATAGATTTTACAATGGATTATCAAATTCTATAAATTTTGCAAACTGAACACAATATCCCTTAGAAAAGTGATCTTCATATATGAAGAGCATATGACATTAGTATTGTATCAAATTGCATTTATCTACAGTAAAGAAAATAAATAAACATAATTTAACATACCATCAACATTTTCATCTCCTTCTGTCATCAGTTCATCATCAGAACAAATATTGAGAATGTTAACTAGCATTTCAGTTACTGTGAAAAAAAAGAACCCCAAAACATTTTCAGCAATTATCTCAACATGCTGTATTAGGGTTAATTCAGCAATAGACTAATCATGGCACATTTCATTCAGAAGAAACCAAAAGTGACTACATTGTTTAGTGTTGAATAGTTATATTTCAGTAAAGAGTACAAATAATTCACTGTGAGATTAATCTTTTTTCTTATAAGCACTGGTTTTACAGGAAAAAAAACCCAAACTAATTTACCTTTTTCTCCTACAAATGGTAATGACCATGTGAACACATCCATAAAATTTGGTAACCAATATGGATGAGGAGAACAATTAAATTGCCTTATATTCATTACATTGTTTTCGTATTTAAGAATGGCAGCTGAAAAACAATGTTAAAAAGATAGGTTGCCAGGCAACAAAACATACGCCCCACAGCAGCTAAATCGTCCGGGCAGTCAACAAGAGTTGTCACATATTCCTACTTTTTTCGGTAATGAAATATTTATAATACACTAAAATCTGATTAAGAGCAACAACTCATGAAGTAATTATCAGAAAACCATTAGAATTTGTTTGGTTTTTATAAAGTTCTGCCACATGCTAACGTTTTGTATACAAAACTATTAATATCATGAATTTAGCTGTTCAAGTCATAAAAATTCATTGAAAATCAATATACTTGTTCATCTCAAGATCTTAAACTCTGTGTATCAATCTGAAGTCAATCGGATGATAATTTTAGCCTTTAGACTGGAAATCATTGAAAATCAAGGGCCATAAATTTGGCAGTAATTATCGGAAATCGATGAAAACCAATAGGCTTCTTCGTCTCATGACCTTAAACACTGTGTATAAATTTAAGGTCAATCGGACATTAACTTTGGCTTCTAGAGCGTCCACAAGATTTTTCAAAGTGATCAAGGGCCATAACTCTGGCAGTATTTATTGGAAATCGCTGAAAATCAATAGGATACTTCATCTCATGACCTTAAACACTGTGTATAAATTTAAAGTCAATCGGATATTAACTTTGACCTCTAGAGCATCCACAAGATTTTTTTAAGTGATCAAGAGCCATAACTCAGGCAGTAATTATCGGAAATCGTTGAAAATCAATAGGCTTCTTTGTCTCATGACCTTAAACACTGTGTATAAATTTGAAATTAATCGGATATTAACTTTGACCTCTAGAGCGTCCACAAGATTTTTTGAAGTGATCAAGGGCCATAACTCTGGCAGTAATTATCGGAAATCGCTGAAAATCAATAGGCTTCTTCGTCTCATGACCTCAAACACGGATATTAACTTTAGCCTCTAGAGCGTCCACAAGCAATTGTGGACACCGGACGGACGGACATTTCAATGTGGGCGTATAAAAAGGCAATTTTCCAGTTTTTCTGAAAGGATTTAGTTCCAATACTTATTTACATTTACAGCATGTTTCAAGGGACAAAAACTACAATGGGTCTTATTTAGAATTGTGTACCAGTGATAACACAAAGGTAATGGTTTTTTTTAGAATAGAAATGAAATTTAATATCCTACTTTTCTATGGAAATATTGCCTTCACTGAGGGGTTAATGTCTCCTCTTCATCGAATTCCAGCTACCAAGAGTTTTTTTATATGCATGCTAACGACTAGGCGATGTACCTTGCAAGGCCCTACTTCCTAAACCACTAATAAGGGGAAAGCATACTGGGATCGAATAGGCATTAAGTTATTCAAGGCCTACACACAAAAGATTTTGAAAGTTCTTGTAATTTGAACAGAAAAGTTATGAACAGGCATGATTCTACTTGTTATACACTTAATGACATTTCATTTCAACAATTTTAATTATCAAGTATGTGACATTTTAAAATTATTATCAAACAAAAAATGTTGAAATGGTTATTGATTCTGTTAATATGGTCACAATAATAGGAATATGGGTACATAATGATAAAGCCATCATCTTACCCTTATTATTATAGACATCCAGATAGTTTGGTGCAGAAAACATTGTTATTAAAGATGGAAAACCGGTAGTCTGACTTTTCCTATACATTCGATACCTGAAAATTAGAAAATGTTAATTCATCTTACCCTTATTATTATAAACATCCAGATAGTTCGGTGCTGAAAATATTGTTATCAAAGATGGAAAACCGGTAGTCTGGCTTTTCCTATACATACGATACCTGAAAATCAGAAAATGTTAATTCATAAACAAGATTTGTTTAACACTTTGAACCTGACTGGCCGATTAATACAGCTATATCCTGAATGGCCTGGCATGACGCAATCAGAATTCCATCATCAAGTCTAGTCCAATCAAAGATGTGCTACAAAGTGATGTCTGTTATGAGGGCTATCTAATTGTTACATGGGGAAATAACTCGCATCTTTCCTGAAAATATTTTTTTATACTATCGGTAATTGGCCGAAAGTAGCCTATCAGTAGAAATTAGTATCAGCCGATAGACGGTCATTTTGTCGTCATTTGCGTAGTCGATATCTGTTCAAAAAGACTTGGCAAATATCTTTAAATTGTTTGCCACTCAGCTCTTATTTTAGTTGCTGTGTGTGTGAGACTAGTTAGACATAATACAAGACTCAACGTTCAGATAGATGTATTTTTAACTCAATATAAAAATATGGATAGTTTCATGTGAAATTGTAAAAGACAGAAGCTATCACTATTCGCTATGAACCATTGTACGGGTTCAGACAAATTTGGGGATTAATATTCTAATCAACATTTAATAAATCATAATCTCCATCATACAGCTAGTGCTTGAAATTTTAACCACAGCATACGGCAAAACTATGGTAAAGTCAAAGCAAACAGACTGCTACGGCAAAATAAAAACAGCCTAAATTGTGCCCCTGTCAACGTGTACACGTATAAGTGTTCATGTAATAGAAATGACATACTAGATGGTTTCCTACACAAAAATGTATTCCTTTTATATAGATAGTAATATTATACAGTCAGAGGGACAGTTGGACTTGGAATTACAATGTAGGTCAATAATAGAGCGATGCAAGAATTAGTTTTAAATAGTGTTTACAGTTACAATTAAGTATTTCAGAAACATGTTCACTTTCTAAAATAGTGTTGGGTATTTTTAACTCCCAAGGGAAGCATGACCCAATTAATCCTTTAATAAATATTGTGTTTATCTGATTCCCCGACTATCAATGACATCAACATTAATTACCATGACATTCGAGGCATTTTAATGTGTAATATTTTTTTAATTAGCCACTATCGGTAATTGTATTTGTATCTGCGAATATGTTTCACTGTCAATATGTGATTTCTGTAAAACTGATAGTAGCCATATTGGTATATCACTCAAAAAATTGCACCCAGACTTGACATATGACTTTGACAATTTGTGATTATGGTATTGATGGGGACTTTCTACTGTATTTTTACAAACCACAAATTTCCATCCATGCACAAAGCTCAAAATACAATAAATATACACTATATATCTTCCATCTTTTGTTGGTGTACCATATAATTATCACATCCCCAGCTGTCAGAACAATTTACTAGTATTTGAGTAAATTTTATTTTAACCAGTTCCATTTTTTCAACATCAAATTTCCTAAGCACCTACTTATTTTGTTTGTATGGCCTTACTTTTTCAAATTACACTCATAAAAATAAGGCACTAATCTAATGAGAATTATTGACTTGAAAATGAAGCAAACCATTATTTAAGGACTTGTCAACTGACTTATTTGTTTTACATTAGGTGTCACAGCTCCATTGCTCGCATTGGAAGAAAGTCGTTTTTTCCCCCGATTTGTAACCTTTTTTCAAATAAACGTTACATAATCGCTATTTAATCATTTGTAATAATTTTAAAATATTTTGGAAGCAGATGAACTGTTCTTTTGTTTGATATAATTTTTATATATGCCGTGTTCCTTATATTAATTTCAAATATAGGTTGCCAGGCAACGAAACATACGTCCACAGCAGCTAAATCGTCCGAGCGGTCGATAAGGGTTGTCGCATATTTATTCCTTTGTAGGTAATTTGGGGCCTTTACAAGACAGTTCCATACAGATCAGATTATAAATTTTGTCGTTTGAGGGTTTACAAGGTTCTACAAACCGAAACAATGGTCTCAACTCTGGAAGTAATCTACAGAAATTGTTGAAATTTGACAGGTTTTTTCGTTTTACTAATTTAAATAATGCATATAAATTTCATACAGATCACATGATCATTTTTGTCATTCAAACCTTCACAATCGCCATAAGTCTTGTAAATTGCTGAAATTCAATAGGCTTCATGATAACTTTCGGCGCTGGAGCGTTCACAAGGTTCAATAAAGTGAAAAGAGTCATAATTCTAGACGTAATAAACAGAAATTTCTGAAATTCAATAGGATTGTTCTTTTTACTAACTTAAATGGCACAGATCGGCAGTTAACTTTAGCGGTTAGAGCGTTCACAAAGTCCAACCAAGTGAAACAAGGGCCATAACTCTAGAAGTAATATACGGAAATTGCTGAAATTCAATAGGATTCTTCTCTTGACTAATTTAAATGACACATGTAAATTTCATACAGATCGGCAGAGAGTTAGAGCTTTCCCATGGTGCATCAAGGTGAAACATGGGCCATAACTCTAGAATTAATTGACAGAAATTGGTGAAATTCAATAGGCTTCTTCGTTTCACTAATTCAAATCATCTCTAGACGTAATAAAAGGAAATTGTTGAAATTAAATAGGATTCTTCATCTCACTAATGTAAACAACATATATCAATTTTAAAACAATTGGATGATACCTTTTGGCATTAGAGTGTTCACAAGAAATTGTGGACGTTGGACGGATGGACGGGGGCGACGGCAATATACGTCCACATTTTTGATAGTTTTGCTATGAAATGAACTATGGCATCCCAAAAATGACTTTTTCAAAGTGTTGAAAAAACCTTTCTTCTACGAAAAGTCAAATATCACAAATTTTGAGCCTCCATAAAAAAAAAAAAAAAAAAATTTCCATCCAATTTTGAATCTATAAAGAGTTTTGTGAGAAGAATGATGAGATCTACTTGTTAAACCAATAAAATCAAATGTATAATCATAATCTCAAAATCACCTTTTCCACTTATTTACATGTTGTTACATGTACTTTGCAATACTGCTTAATTTTTTAGACCATTGTAATGCCGATTTTCTTATCTTCATTTGATAGGGTGACCCACCATAAATAAATATCTCGACAATTACACCACAATATTTATATATATATATCAGGCCTTAAATCAGTTTCGCACATTTATAGTCACTAAATAAACAGTAATGTTATACTTAATAAGCTATAACCATTTAAACATTTATAAATATACTATTCAAAAAAAGTAGGGGATATTTGATTTTTAAGTGTTATTAAAGTCACCTAATGAAACTGACGAAGAAACAAATGACAAAATGAAATTAAGTTCACATTCATCGATTTATTCCAAATGATCGTTAGACTAAGTAAGGCACAGACTGACCATTATAAGGGTAAAATGATACCCGGGGTCAAACAGCAAAGTTACCACAGCATCACAACCAAGTCAGTAACGGGTAAATCCTCCTCTGTTTGCCAAACAAGCATTGATCCGACGTGGCATACTCCTAATGAGACGTCTAAGGTCATTTTGGTCCAGATTGTCCCATTCCTGTTGCAACGTAGCAGCAAGTTCTTGGACATTGGCAGGACGTTGTTGACGTTGACGTAACCTCTGTCCAAGCATGTCCCAGACATGCTCGATGGGGGAGAGGTCGGGACTCAGTGCTGGCCAAGGTAATGTGGTGATGTTCTGTTGTTGGAGGTAACCTGTAACGATCCTGGCCCTGGGACATCTTGCGTTGTCAACCTGGAAGATGAAACGGCGGCCATGACGTCGTGCGAACGGCACAACATGGACTGCCAAGATGTTGTCCCGGTAGTACTGGCCTGTAACACGCCCTGCAACAATATGTAAAGCCGTTCTTCCAGCAACAGTGATGCCTCCCCACACCATAACAGAACCACCCCCAAATCGATCATGTCTGATGACGTTAACGTCTTGGAAGCGCTCGTTTCGACGACGCCACACCCTCCTACGTCTGTCAAAAAAATCAACAGTGAACCTTGACTCATCTGAAAACATCACATTGCTCCAGCGTCGATTATCCCAGTGTTGACGATCCCTACACCAACGACGTCTTGCCTGAATGTGATGATCTCTCAAACAAGGGATCACGCGAGGACGTCGGGCGCGAAGGTGACCCCTATGCAGTCGATTCCGAATCGTCTGGCCACTCACTCTCACACCAGTGTCTGTTTGAAGACGAGCGCTGATCTGATTTGCTGTGATGACACGATTTCTCAAGGCCAAGGTACGGATAAATTGATCCTGGGCTTGAGTTGTCGCCCTTGGTCATCCTGAGCGTGGTCTGTCCTGTACAGATTGTGTATCACGGTATCTGGACCATAGCCTGCTTATGACAGACTGAGAAACATTCATCGTCCGCGCCACAACCGCCTGTGTTGTGCCGATCTGTAGCATGCCAAGGGCACGTAACCTTTCATTTTGGGTAAGCCGACGCATATCAAAATTTGTTTTCTGGTCACTAAAACAATTAAACTGATGTTTCCACCCTGGAATTCAATGCCACAATGACTGTAACATTCAAAGTCAGAGTCGTGCAAATCTTGGGTTGGACCCCCATGATGATCCCAAGCATCACCTGCATTCCATGCGGTAGCTATTGGTGCGTTTGGGCGTCACATGTAACTGGAAATGTTTCTTCTGTTAGGTTCTATAGTGACTTTTTTCGTAGTCATTTGCATATTTTAGTATTATGCCCCCAAAAACAATTATCCCTTACTTTTTTTGAATAGTATAATACACTGAAAGATGGTTACGAGTGTCGGCCATAACATCCGGGCATTTGTGAGTAAAAAAATAGGTTACATGCCCTTGTTTTGAAATTAGTCTTGCTTAACAAGTCTACCGACCATTCTACGTCGGATTGACAGACCGGGATAATTAAGACTATTTTTTTTACGAAACGTAACAGAAAGCTGGAACAAGAAATAGAATTTAGAAACACGCCTGTTAGGCAACTCACCAATTGTTTTAAGAACCTTGTAAAAATAAAATGAAACTACTGTTAGTATCATGTTCTTGCCTAAC